ATAATTATCTATCGTCATATAATATGTTCCCATTTTGAATTTTTTTTTTTTTTTTTTTTTTGAATTTTCATATTTTAAAATTAATTACAAATCACTTCAACAACATGATAAATGTGTTTTTTTTTTCATTATTTTTCATTAACAAAATATAAGCTAAAATGTTCATATGATTTTTTTTTCTCTTTAATTATTTAATTCATTTAAAAATTTTAAAATAATACCAAAATTAAGCAGTTAAATAAGCAATAAATAGTAAAATATTGATTCCAAAACAAATGATTAGTGATCTGTCTTATTAATTAGTCTTGTTAATCATTTATTTCTATTTTCAACATTTTAATATGAGTGAGATGTGAACTATAATCTTACTATATGTTCAATGGAAAGAAATTAGTTTTAATGCTCTAAAACTGATTCATCTTTCGGATAAATGTTAAAAAAAAAAAAAAAGTTAATGCATCATATCATTAACGTTGTCAAAGTTATAAAAAAAAAAAAATTGTGTTAAAATTTCGATAAAAATATTTAAAAGAAATATATGAAAATAAAAAAAAGATAAAATAACTGAGTCTAATTTGATTTATTATTTTATCATATCAACAAATTATTCAACTTTATTACTTTCCATACTTTTTTTTGTTTTGTTTTGTTTTGCTATTTCTAAAATATTCTAAACAAATATGATATAATTTGAATAAAAAAAAAATAAATAAATAAATAACACATATAGAGTGATTTGCAATAGATTAGCAAGAAATATGGCGCAAATATAATTTTAATTATTAAATTATATCTCATAGACGGAAGATAGCTTGTTTAATAAAAATCGCTTTTTTTTTTTTTTTTTTTCTTTTTTTTGCATTAAAACATTTTTTGTTTTCTATCGATTTCAAATTTTGCTATTCTAATAAAATTCGTTCTCCCACAGGAAAAATTATAGAAATAACAGAAAAAAAAAAAAAAAAAAACTGTGATCGAGCAAATGTTTGAAAAAAAAAAAAAAATAACCAAAAGATCATCAATTCAACCAAAATCTCTTTTTTTTTCTGTTTCATTTGAAAAAAAAAAAAAAAAAAAAAGCAAATAACATTATAAGTTTTATTTATTTTCAAATGAAATAAAATAAATGTTAGAAATCATAAAAAATTGTATAATTATAATTATTAAAAGAAAAATGAAATTTAAATTTAAAAAGCTATTGTTACCAATTTAAAATCACCTTTCTTCTTCTTCTTCTTCTTCTTCTTCTTCAATCTTCAATCCTTTTTCCGCACGACAAAAAAAAAAAAAAAAAGAAAAAACTCATCAGCGTTTCTTGTGAATGGGTTGTGTACTTAGCTTCTAAAATCTATATGTTACTAAATCAACTATATAGCTATTTCTTCCGCAACATCATCATCAATTCGTTTTTCTTCTTCATTACAGCTATACTACCATCTTCTCATACCGACAGGTCCAATTTCCCTTTTTTTTTTTTTTTTTTTTTTTTTAGCTAAATTTTTTCCATTTTCTATTTCATTGTTAAATAAAATTAGGAAAGAAAAAAAAATTTATTTCAAAAGTTCATTTTAATATTTGTTTATTCTTTTGTCTATCTATTTTCATACATTTTTTCATTTTTTTTTTCGTTTCAAATTGTTTGTTAGCTTTTTTTTTTTTTTTTTTCAAATGATTTTTGCACTTAAAAAGAAAAGAAAAAAAAAAATTTTTTTTTTTTTTTTAACAGTATGAGGTCAATTGTATTCATTTGTAAAAATTACTTTTAGCTATTTCATATCAACAATCATTTTCTGAGCTGTAATGGAACATCGATTCATTTTCATTGGCAGGTGCTACTGGGTTCTGTTGTTCAACTTTTGATGATATTTGTTATTTAATGAAATTCAAGTTTTACCACTCAAACTATATATTTCTTCTTCTACATTTTCTGGTAAATATATATATATATTTTTTAGAATAAAAAATTGACTAATTTTGAGTACCTAAGCAAAAATTTATAAGAAGTTAGTTGTATATAAGAATATATATATATATAAGAAGTTATAAGAAATTTGGAAATTTAGAAAAAAAAAAAGAAAAAACAAATGAAATTTTTTAATATATTTAATGATATATTTCTTGAGATAATAATAAGAATAGTTATGTACAAAAATTTATACATTTAGTTAATTTTATTTCATCTTCCTACTCCATTAAATTTTTTAACATCTAAGTGTCATTTATTACGATTTTGATTTTTGTTGTGATATTAATTTCCGGTTGAAAGAGAAAAATAAATTTCATTTGAAAATTTCAAATTTTCATTACCACAAATACTAAAATACGGATCAGTTTTTAGAAATGAGAAATATTTAAAAAAAAAATGTTGCGAATTTGTTCGTTCCACAAATTATATATGCAATTATACGCTAAAATATTTTAGCATATAAGCAATTCTGACAATAACAGCGATGAATTTTTAATTTTTTTTTTTTTTTTTTTTGTTGAAAAATGAGCAATAAGTAGGATGAAGAGATTTTTATAAAATTTAGAAAAATCTTTTGAAATGATTTGTTTGAATAATGCAATTCTTGTCTTATAGAAGTTCATCTTTAAGTTGAATTAAGATAGTTGAATGAAAGTTTTTTGAAAATTTTTTTAGCAATGTTTGTTATCTTTTTCATTAATTGATCCCGAATTTATTTGATTAAATTATCAGTATTATCGAGAAATCATTGTCAAATTGATATTGAAAGCTTGAAAATAAGATTGTTAGCAAAGGTTTCATCGAGAAACCCTTTAAATGAACTACTAATTGTTTTGAATTTATAATTTGAAGATATGAGATCACTTATGCAGCTTATCTTTTTGAGATCATGCAAGCTCTCAAGATTCAACTTTGATTACACTCCATTTGGCTATCAAGATTTAAGCATAAAAGATGTGGAAAAGGCTTCGTGCAGTAAATTTGAAAAATATGAATAATGGACTAGTGGTCATCAACAACAAATACCTCACTAATTAATTAACTTTCTGACTACACAATTTTATAATTACTTATCAACTTCAAGAGATACCCCAAAATCATTCCTTTATCTTAAATATCTTTACTTTATTGTCTCCTTGTTTTTCTTTTGATAAATTGATCTCATCAAACACTGAAAAGTTAAAAGAGGATTGAATGTTTTTTCAGAAATTTTCATTTCCTTGTCTATTTATAGAAAAAGAGAAATCTTGAATTTAAAGATTTCAAATATCTTCTTAGTAGTAATCCTTCACATACGCTAGCAACTTTAAGCTTTTAAAGATTATTTGCAAAATACAGAAAAAACTGTATTAAATAATTTTTGAACTGATAAAATTTAAAGTCTGACTTAAATTAATATATGCTAACCTAAATTTCTCATCTCGATACGACTAACATTTTTCCGATTTCTTCTTTTCTAGCTTATTTTATAGAAGAAAATTCATCTTCAAATAAATTTTCCATGTTTCTGTGCTTAAGAAGACTTCTGGGAAAAGCAAAAAAAAAAAAGAGAGAAAAAAAAAAAACTTATACACAAATTCTTAGACTCTAGTCTAAAATCAAGTATTTAAAAAAAAAAAAAAGAAAAAAAGAAAAGAACAATAGTCTTGTTCAACTTGTCTTTCTGTTCAACTAATTACTTCAATTAATTATCTTTAATTGTCGCCCATTTCCATTTTTTAAATAATGTAAAAAAAAAAATGTGCAAATTCTTAACACTAATAAAATCAATGATATGCATTATTTTATCAGTTACTTATCTCATTAATTAAATAATCAATTAATTAATAAAATATTGCACATATTATCTTATAGCCTTCTTTTATATCACTTATCATATAAATTCGCTCATATAAAATGTATCACTGAAATGAATGCATTTGTTAGTTGGTGAAAAATTCATTTAAATATATTTTATTATCAATATTTCTTCTTCCTCCTCTACACCTATATTATTGATATGTATTAGCAGCAGTCTTTGTTAGCTGTAAAAAGTATACGACAATCGTTACACGACAACCACAATCTACTAGTAGACTTATAGTAGAAAATTTAATTGCACTTAATGTCAACTTAAGCAGCTGAAAGCAAAATTCCATTTTTCCTCTTTTTTTTTTCTTTTTTATTAATCAGTAACTTTAATGTTGTGTACACATTTTCTAATAAACAAACAGATGGACAGACACACACACACACACACACTTATTTATATATTTGTTATTGATTCAAAATAATATCATTTATTCCTCGATGATTTCATAAATTTATCCAAAAAATTTTACAGTAAATTTAACATTTCGGTATATTTAAACTTAAACTTCACTAATTAGTGAAGTATTTTTTCTCCATTTTTCTTTTTTTTTTTTTTTTTTTTTTCAAATTCTTACTATTCTATGTATTTAGGAATCGTTTCATTTTGAAACAAAAACAAAAAAAAAAAAAAAAAAAAAAAAGCTTTTCTTGTTTGCATTTATCTTCATTTCAATGAATTTCAAAAGTCAAAATGTATATCTTTTCACGAAAGCAACGAATCTTGATTAGCTAACTTGTTTGTTGTTAGCACTCATATCAAATCATTCATCTATGCTTAATCAATGATCAAAAAATGCTTAGTCAATGATCAAAAAAATTGCTTAATTAATGATCAAAACCATCGAAACGATCATCATTACCACAACAATGATAATAATTCTTCCTTCTCTTCCAAACGAAAAATTCAATGATTTGTTAATTCATTTATTCTGCTCTACCTCACCATAGATATAAAAAGAATTCCTATTTTCATTTTCCTTCTTCCTTTAATTTTTCTTTTTTTAAAAAGCTTGATTTCGAAAATAACAAATTTTCAGAGAAATGTTACAATTTAGCAAATAAAAAAAAAAAAAAAAAAAAAACGAAGCAATTCCTTTTTAAACAAGAAAAAAAGCAATAGTAATTTCAAATTGTTGATAGGAATGAATTTTTTAAATTTAAATATTGCAGGGTCACAAGCAACATGATCAGCGGGTGAGCCAATCCATCTATCTTATGCTACACTGCTTCGTGGTTGTTTACTTTTACTTATTTTAATTCGTCAAAAAAAAAAAAGAATAATTAAATAAATAAAGCTATAATTAAGCATCTGATGAACTGCTAAAATTCATTCCAAATATTTAACTTTTCAAGTTTGCAAAATTCAATCACTATAAAGTATAAATTTATCTCAGTAAGTATAAATCTGAAAATTTCAATCTTCACATTGCTAAATTTATGAAATTAATTTTGCAAATTATTTATCAAAATTAATTCTAAAGTTTTTTTTTTCAAATTTATATCAAACTAATATTTTTATTTCTTTTATTTGATTAACTGCGAGAAAAATCGAAATATATCACGAAGCAGCCATTGTCATTGTTTAGAAAAAAAAGGAAAAATTGCATGAAATTGGGAAAACAAAAATAAGAAATTTTTATAGTGCGGCCCAGCAGCACAAAAAACGGCTTGTTTCATACCGCAAGACCGATGCGGAAGCATATACGGAAAGAAACAATGCTACCCGTCTTGATGAAATTTGGGGAAGCGGAACGGACTGTTTTCAGGTTTCAATTCAATTTTATCTATAATTACGTAGCTTTATTTGAAGTTTATTAGTTAATTGAAAATACCTTTTTGCATGTTTGCTCGCAAATTTGCTTTAAAAAAAATTTTTTTTTTTCTTTTTAAGATATGTTTTCTTATTGACTAATATTACTATTTGTTAATGATGTAAATATATATATATATATATATATATATATACATATCAATTCAAAAGACATTTTAAAAATTCGTTTTATATTAAAAAGAAAAAATTTGCTTTAAAATATTTATTTTTTTTTCTTTTACTTTATTCATTTTTTAGATATGAAATTAAGAGATAACTTCTGCGTGAATTATTAGCTAATAATTTAAAGGCAGTACCAGCAGATGGACGTAGTGATAATGGCGAACCAATGTTTCTCAGGCTTAATATTGGTGGTACCTCATATTTATTATTGATAGAAGCAATTCTACGGACAGAAACAACTAGTTTTCTTTCTAAATTTATTCAACTAAATCATAAATCAAGATTAAAGGTTTGTTTTTCTCATATTTTAGAAGAAAAAAAAAAAAAGAATTGAAACAAGATGTTCGAGAAACTTTTTTTTTTCTCAACAAAAGAAGATAATCAGAATATGCTTAGAAAAATAGAAAACAAATTTTCTTTCTTCCATGTTTTCTTTTTTAAATTACTTTGAAAAGACATTTCAAACTAAAAATTTAATAATTTTGTAGGTAAATTTATATACTATAACTTATGTAAAAGATTTGAGAAAATTGAGAGACATCATTACAGATGGATAGAAAAGTGTTTTAAAAGAAATCTTAAAAATATTTTTGCAATATAGCTTTTTTTTTTAATTTGGGAGATGTTAAAAAAAGAAAAGAAAATAGTCATAATTTAAAACTTTTAAATTGATTAATTTCAAAAAAAAACTTATGAAATTAATTAATTAAACAAGGCTTACTTCTTTTCATATCTAATTTGTAAAAAGTATTAAAATAATTATACTTTCATTATGCTAAAACTGATGAAGTTATATTTTATGACAAATGAATTTATAGTTTGTACATATTCTAAAGGAAGGAATTACCTATGCAAATTCATTTCAGGTGGCGGATGCATATATAGCACGTGAAGATGCGTATTATTTTCAACGATCACCGTATGCATTTGATGCGGTATTTCAATATTATGCAACCGGTGTTGTGCATAGGCCACCGGAAATTTGTCCTGCTGCCTTCTTAGCGGAATTAGAGTTTTGGGGAATTTCCTATCGATCTATTGGCTCATGTTGTGCCGATATTGTAGCTCGGGATCGATTCGAGGAAAAGGAGGAAGAAAAAGTATATCATCAATGATTTTTTTTCAAAAATACAATGACAAAAGTCATAAAATGGTTTTTTTTTTTTTTTCAGGTTGATAATAAAACTTTTGATAATTTAATGTTCGGAAGAGTAAGAAGGAAAATGTGGACCTTTCTTGAAAGACCTGGTTCATCAATTCAAGCTAAAGCATTTGAACTATCCTCAACTTTATTTGTTGCTATATCTGTTATGGGTCTAAGTTTTGGAACTATTCCAGATTTTCAGGTTTGTTTTTTACATCTCAAATTTGACATATTTAAACATTTTTTATTTGCAAAGAAAGAAAAAGAAAAATAGATAGAAGTAGCAAGTATATTAGAATTAAATTTTCTCTGATTGTTTTTCTATTTAAATAATATCATGAAAAATGTGAAAAGTAAACATAAAAGGAGATTGAATAAATTTTAACTAGTAAGTATGATACAAAAAAGAATCTCGAATAATCAACTAACAGTAATTGTTATCATTATCATTCTATGATTTATCATTTGATAATAATTAATCACTAAGATTATCTGACTATTTATGCCCACATTATGGATTTTTGATTTCGTCTTAAAATGATCAAAATTATATTATTTTCTTTCTTTTATCGCTTTTTTTTTTTAAGTACGCATAGAAATCTATCTGTTTTATTTTTGCTAATAGCTTGTGGTACTCGGAACTACATGTGTTAAAAATGAGATTTAAGATTGAAAAATTTGAAAATGACTATTTCAGGTGACCCAATATTTGCCTGCTCATAATGAAACAATTCTGCTTCCAAATGGTACTATAACTGTAATCGAAAAAATTGAAGAAATGCGGGTTGAGCATCAAATTTTTGTGCTAACGGAACGTATTTGCATAGCATTTTTCACTGTCGAATATTGTCTACGACTATTTGCTGCACCAAGAAAATTTCGTTTTACATTAAAACCATTAAATTTGGTAGATTTAATGGCAATTGTTCCATTCTATCTCGAACTATTATTAACACTCTGTGGTGTAGACGATAAAAAATTGCGTGATTTACGTTGGGCTTTCTTAGTGGTTCGTATATTACGGGTTCTACGAGTGATACGTATTATTAAACTTGGCAGATTTAGTTCCGGTTTACAAACTTTTGGGATGACATTACAAAGGAGTCAAAAACAATTACAAATGATGACAATCGTATTGCTCACTGGTGTCGTTTTCTTTTCCACGATGATCTATTTTTTAGAAAAAGATGAAGATGGAACACCATTTACTAGTATACCTGCTGCTTATTGGTGGTGTAAGTTACTTTTCATTATCATTTAACTTATTCATAAATTAATAGTCAATGCTTATTAAATTCTAATTTTATCATTCTCATAATTTAACATAAACTAAAATTAAAGTTAAAAAAAAAAGGAAAAGAAGGATGTCATTAAAGCTGAAATATATTCTAATTGTAATACTTTAGGTATAGTAACGATGACAACAGTTGGCTATGGAGATGCTGTCCCTGCAACAACAAGTAAGTTGTTATTCTAGTAATTAACAAATAACAAGTAATTAACTTATTTTAAATTAAGAAAAAAAATCTAATCAAAATTATTCATATATTTTTGCTTACAGTGGGTAAAATTATCGCATCAGCAGCAATAATGTGTGGTGTATTAGTGCTAGCCTTACCAATTACAATTATCGTGGATAATTTCATTAAAGTGGCGCAAGATGAGCAACAAGCGGAGCAACAAAGAATGGATCATTTACGACAAGAGCGCCGAATACAATCAATATTAAACAAAGAAACGAGTAATGAAGATTCATAACTTTTTTCAAATTTGCTATGCTAAACTATCTCATTCTTTCATTGATGAAAAAATTTCCATCATAGCTTAACAAATTAATTCACTTCAGTTTCTTTGCTTGCTGTCTTTCTTGTCATCTCAAGTGTACATAAATATATATATATGTTACAATTGTTAAAGGTAATCTTAGTGCCATTGAAGTCGCTATCTGTCAGTAAAATGTAGATTAATTGATTTAAATTTTAGTAAATTTCTTCGTAAACGTACTTTCAACATTTTCCAATTTTTTTCAATAAATTTTTTTTTTTTTTTGGTTTTCTCGAAAGTTCGCTTGATGAACTGTGTGTAGAAAATCTTTCTAGAAATTACTGAACAGATCTCAAGCCTATAATTTGTCAAAAATCGGAACATTTAGCAAAAAAGAAATCCCTCACTCAATTTCAAGACAAAAAGCAATTTGCTAATGCTATTATTACTACAAAGACTAGCATTGACATTTTGAATTACATATAATTTTACGATTTTAAAATGATAGATGACTTCGTAATTTTAGTTTTTTACAAATTTGTACAAATTTTTGTTCGTTATTCAAATAAAACTTTTTAATGCAACAGTATATTAATTCTATTCTAACATATCTATGTGAAACTATAGCAATGTTACAACAAATCTCACTGAAAAATTTCATAAATCATATAGATTTAAGTTAAATCAATCTGAAATGTTAAATTAGTGTTAGAACCACTGATGAATTAATAAAGAAAGCTGTTGCTTTGAAAAGTTTTGAAAAGCTGAAAGCTTTAAAATATCATTTGATAATTAAGGTTTATGATGATCTATGTTTAAATTTATGTATGAAATTAATTAATTTTTCATTCCCACTTTTCTACATTCATTTTTATTGCATTTAAAAATGGAAATAAATTATTTCACCTCCTTTTTAACCTCTAATTTTCTTTTTGTAGTGACACTAATTAATTCAATAAAAACTTTTTTTAATATTAAAATTCCTATTTGTTATGCAAAGATATGATTGTAGTGATACAAATTTATGTAAATTTGAAATTTAAAAAAGGAATTATTATCGTAGCAACTGTTTAAAATGCTATTTCAAATTGTGTTGCGAACAGCTTTACTATAATACAAAATTTATTATTAGATACTGCTTAAGATTGTACAACAGAATTCCAAAAAAGTTTGGTGTAAATCGAATTTTACTAAATGGGATTGGACTTTAAATTATCTCAAAGATTTTTATAATAATTGAAAATTATATTTATTAATAATCTATCTAAAAATAAATCGAATATGAGAAATTCAGTCACAAATTTAGTATTAATTTCAATTTTCTTTTTTTTTTTTTTTTCATTGTTATACTGGAAAATTGCTGCAAAAAAAAAGATTCAAAAGTGAAACTAACCAGTGAAAGCAAGCTGTAATTTGACGTTTTCACCTTTATCGAAAACTTGCGGCTCTTTATACTTGTCAGCATCAATTATCATTGGTTCCGATTTTACTTCTAAGCTGAATTTATGTTGCACTTTACCGCCTTCATTTTCAACAACAACCTAAAAGAATTTCATAAATAGTAAATGAAGTGATGAAAAAAAAAAAAAAAAAAAAAAAAAAAACAGTAAAGATTTTTTGCTTTTTTTTAAAAAAAAAATTTAAATTTAAAAAATTCTAGCAATTAACCTTCGTTTTTTTTCTTTTTCTTCTGCAAAAAAAGCTTATAGCGGAAGCTTAATCAATTTTCATATATCTTAATGTAAGTTTAATCAATCTTCTTCTTATACCTGATAATCTCCTTCGTCATCTTCAATAAGTTTCTGAATTGTAAGCATTGATTTCTTATCCATTTCTGTTATCGTATTATCCACATTATCAATTATTTCTTTACCATTTCTATACCAATGAACTTTGGGTATTGGTTTAGCAGTAAATTCTACATTGAGAACAAGTTTATCACCAATTCTGCCAGTTACTTTTTCTGGTGCTTTCTTGATCTTCGGCTTTTCAATTGCTGTAATCAAAAACGATTTTTTTTTTTTTTAAAAAAAAGATTACAAATGATCTCAAAAAATGACAAGAGATGATTTTTTTTATCTAACTTATTGTCCAATTTGTCAAAATTAGAAAAGTACTTTGTTTTGATATTGTTAAAATTTAGTTACATTTACCTTTCATCTAATTCTATATAAATTTTCTTCAAGTTTAATTACGTGGTGAAAACAGGTAAGTAAATTGTATCTTCTCATAAACTATAGAAAAATTCAAATAAAAAAAATAATTACTCTAATAATGAAATATGAATTGGTATTATTTACCTGCAATTTTTATTGGTTGTATAGCATCTTTATTTTCTAAAGCTTGTCCGGTACCAAATGCATTTTCAGCTGCAACACGGAAAAAATATTTTGCAGTATCAGCTAAACCGGTTATTGTTGCAGTTGTTGTTGTAGTACGTGCGACAAATGCCCAGCTCGATTTTTTAGCATCACGTTTCTCGATGCAATAACCGAGTAAATTACTATTACCATTATGCTCGGGTGGATTCCACGCAAGTTTACACGAAACGTTTGTTACGTCAGATACTTCTAATGGACCAACTGGTACAGATGGAACTCCTAAAAATGAAGATAAAAGATATTATTCAAAGATTTTATCTATATATTTTTCAAAAAAGAAAAAAAAAAGGGAAACATTAAAAATCGATATCCGAACATTAAGATTTAATTATTTTATTAAATAAGATATATTAATAGTTCTATTCTTAAATACAATTTTTGTAATTAACTTTATAATTTCACAGTTATCTTTCAATCGCACTTCTATTAATAACATTATTTTTCTGAGATAATTTTGATACCTAACCTAAAAAAAAGTAACTGAACATTAAGATTTAATTATTTTACTAAATAATAAGACAGATTAATAGTTGCTGCTGTAAATATTCAATTTGGCATTTATCTGATAATGAAATAATCCAAGCAATCGAATTCCCGAACAATCATGATACTTGTAAGCTTAAAATAAATCAACAAAACAAAATAAGATCAACCTTTAATTAGCACTTTTATTTGATCTTCTTGTTTTCCGCATATATTCTCCACAATTAATTTGTAAAGACCCGAATGATCAACATTAGCTTTTTTGAACGTTACAATAGCAGTACCATCTTTAAACGTAATGATGGTATTTTCATCTTGCTTTAATTCTACACCATCTTTTAGCCATTTACAAGTTGGCATAGGTAATCCCGTAACATTTGCATGAATTTTTAACATTTCACCAACTTTTGCACCAACGACTGTTTCATCAAATTCAATTTTTGGCTTCTCTGAAGTATAGTATTACTTTGTATAGTCTTTTTAGAAAATTTCTTCCAAAAGTGTACAACTTAAAATATTATATTGTTATATTTATTTATTTTAAATGCTTATTTAACTCTCCCAATTTTATATCTAATTCTATTCCCAAATATTAAATTCACACATTCTGTAATTAATATTAAATTCCTAATAAACAAATGAATAACCTGTAACAGTAACATGAATTTCACCGGTTGCTTTCTCCGTTTTATTCGTTACAATGCAATGATACATTCCTGCTGTCAATTCATTAACATTTTTAAGTTGTAAAATTGAGGTATTCGCTGTCATTTTCATCAAATTTTTATCAATTACTTTTTCATCTTTAGTCCAAAAACATTCCTCGTAATCACCGCTAATATCAACGATTAATTCAAAATTTTTCATTCCATAATCAATCGTAATCGAATTACTGATAGGTTTTACTATCAATTGTTCCTTCTTCATTTCTTCTCCTTCTTCCTCTTTCAACTCAGTGATCAATTCACTGGTTAATATTTGTTGACCAATTGATTCCTCTAATTTTTCTTCTACCGTTTCCTTTTCCTTTATTTCTTGTTTGCTTATTGTTTTCTTCTTTCTCCTTGCTAATTTTCCATCATTTTCAGCAGCACTCTTCGCTTTATCATTTTCTTTTACTTTAGTACTTTCCTGTTTTTCAGTCATTTTTCCTGAATCATTTTCAAGTTTCATGTTTACATTTTCTAATGCTTCTGCACTTTTCTCTTCCTTTACTTTTAATTTCTTTTCTAAATCTCTTTCTTCCACTTTCATATCTTTCAATTCATTCAAAGTTTCATCTTTCTGTTCTTTTTCTAACTCAAATTCTCTTTCTGACTTCTTTTCAACTTTAACCTTTTCCTCCGTAAAATTCTTTGCTATATTAGCTTCATCATTGGGAATTTCCTCCTTTTCCACTTCTTTCTTCTTCCTCTTTTCCTGAGCTTTCTTCTTAACAATCTTTCTTGACTCAATTTTTTCCTCATTTTCTTTTACAACTTTTTCAGACGACTTAAATTCATCTTCCATCTTCATTCCATCTCTATTCTCTTCTTCCTTTTCCTTTTCTGTCCTTTTTCTTTCCGTCATGGCTTTGGTTTCTACTTTTTGCTCATCCTTAATTTCCTCTATTTGTTCCACTACCATCACTGTACCATTGTCAACTTCCTCCTTCTGTTTATCTTTCTTCTTCTTCTTCGAAACTTTTTTAACTGCTTTTTCCTGTTTGACTTGACCATCTGATTTTTCCGATGTTTGCTGTTCCATCTCAGTTATCTCCGGAATTTCCTCAAGCATTTCAATATTTTCACTTATTTGTTGTTTTGCTTCTTTCTCTTTCTGAACAGGAACGGTCAACATTTCCGTTTCCTCACTAGGATTGGACAATCGATCACCCTTCTTTGCAATAACACGGTACTTATAGTTCGAACTCTTGTCAAAAGAATCTTCAAATTTTGTTTCTGCTGTTATACCAATCTGACTCCAATCATTTTCCAATTTCGACCTTTCAATAATATATTCTTCAGCTTCCTCAACTATTTCCCATGTGATTAGGACAATTTGATTATCCTCAACCAATGTTGTTTTTAAACAATTGGGCGCTGGCAGAAATTTTGTTGCTTCCTTTATATCAACACTTTCACTTACGGTCACTATGTCAACTGGATTGCTTGGCGGTCCTTCACCAACCTCATTCACGGCAATAATACGGAACGAGTAACTTTCACTCGGGTATAGATCTTCAGCCAGAAATTCATATTGTTCCGATTCACATTTTCCAATATTGCGCCAACGTTTGATATTTTCTGTTCTTCTTTCAATGATATAATTTATGATTGGTGATCCATTATCTTCTGCTTTCTGCCATTTGAGCATCACCGAACGGCTTGTAATATTGAAAGCTGTTAAATGATCTGGTTTAGACGGTACACTAATCACATCCAATTGAATCTCTTCGCTTACACTTCCAATTTCATTTTTTACCACAACTTTTAATATACCAGAATCTTCCTGAGTTACATTTCTTAGACGTAATGATAGCTTATTATCATAGGTATGCATACGAGATCTCATTTTGTTCAGTGGCTTATCGTTAAGAGTTACTGTGATATCAACCTCAGGAAATCCTCCATAAATGAATTCGATATCAAAATCAGTGCCACAGTGCAATTTGAGCATATTACTTGGTAAATTTTTCGATAGTTTGATTATTGGTGCTATCTTAAGTTCTACTTTAGCTGGCGCACTTTCTTCATCCTCACGAAGTGCTGCTGTATATTCGGCGCAATCATTAAGCTCAAAGCCCATAATCGTTAATGTCGCAACGGTTTCTTCCACATTCATGCTGAATTTCTCTTGTCGTGGCCAAATTTCTTTTCTATTTTTAAACCATTTTACAACTTTCACTGGCTTAGTAGTTTCGCATTTCAACATAATGGTAGTACCAAATTCAGTAACAATTTGATCTTGTGGACCTCTCTTGATATGTGGCAATTCTTCTGCAAATTTATGGTTATTATTTTCAAATAGTCATATTATTTTTTAAAATCAGACCAAACCATTAAAATAATGAAGAATAGTGATAATAATTTAGAAAATGGATTAGTTACCTTTGACAATTAATTCCGCTTCAGATTGAGCTTTCCTATCAACAGTACTACATATATATTTGCCACTATCTTCAAGTATCGAATTTCTAATTGTAAGTTTTCTTTCAATGCCATCCTCACTGATCGTTATTCGATCATCTGATCGTAAAGGTTTGCCATCCTTTAGCCAAACAACAGAAGCATCAGCATCGGATAGCTCACATGAAAATCCAATTTTTTCTCCTTCGTCAACTTCCAGATATTCAGGGAATGAAGAAACAAAATGTGCGCGTACCTCTGTAAAATTTCATCAGTTGACTCAATTTAAAAAAAAAAAGAAAAAAAAAAATTATGAAAACAATTTTTGAATAGAAAGTGCATAATTTTGAATTTTTAATAAGAATTAGGAAAAAAAAAAAAAAAAAAAAAACCTGTGACAGTGACAGTAGCCTCTGAATCTACTGAACCAAGATCGTTAACAACCTCGCATTTATACAAACCAGCATCCAGTGTTGATGTATGATGAATTAGGAGAACACTCATAAAGCCTTCGTTAATAATCTGTAAAATTTCCATTCAACTTCCAATTGAAATTTTAGATTTTTTCTTTTTCATAAAGAATGAAAAACTGAAAATTATTAAAAATAGCATCAAAAATTTTCCTTTTATCATATTTTTGATAATTAAACAATCTGACAACTTGTCTTATATTATTTATAAAGTGCAGAATACCTCAATATTCTTGTTAGCTGGAATGATTTCTTGATCCTCTTTATACCAAATATATTGAGGAGCAGGTTCACCAGTTGCATGACATTCCAGTTTGAGTTCACGTTTGCATGAAACCGAGATATCTTTGATACCTTTTGTTATTTCCGGTTTTTTAGTTGCTAAAAATATGTGAAATACAAGATAAGTGAGAAGTTTTTGCTAAGTTATTGCTTAAAATATTCATACGCTCTCAGAAGATCATACTTTAATATTCCATTTAATTTGATTTCACAAAAAAAAATTCAAACTTACCAACTATACGTATCGGTATTGTTTCTTCGGAAAATTCACCAATAGTTGGACCACTTTTTGGCGCAACTTTGAAAAGATAGGATAGTCCCTCTCTCAAACCAGTTATGTCTGCAGGTGAATGTTCTATTTCTTTCTGCAATAAAACATTCACAAGAAATAACATTTTTACTTCCCAAAGTTTTGATTGGTACCTTTTATATAATTTGCAATAAATAAAACTAATAATTATTAAAATGAGAGCATCAAATGTAGTAAGTGGTGCTTTTACCTCTGACCAAACTGATGCCTTTTCTGATTTGTACCTAATTACGTACGACGTCACGTTGCAGTCCTCACGGGGAGCTTCAATCCATTGTACGCTAACTGCATCTCCGCTTACAACTTCTACTGCAGGTAAGCTCAAAACAGGCAATTCTGCTGCAACAAAATAAAAAATTTTTTCAATTATCTAAAACCGATGTTCAAATTTAAATATGAATTTAAAAAAAAAAAAAAACTCAATTTTTAGAAATTTATGAGCACGTCGAAATTTCTAAAATCTATGCATTTTATAAAACTATCAGAAGAAAAGGAAAAAAAAAAAAAAAAAACAGCAACAAATCACCTGCTTTGAAAATTATCAATGGTTCTGATATGATATCTGATTTTGATGTAAGACCTGCTTCATTTGTTGCTTCAACTTTAAATTCATATGTTGGCCCAGCTTCAATATTAGAAACAGTGAATTGTTCAGTGAATATCAATTCATCGTTAACTTTCATCCAACCACCTTTATCTTTTCGTACGAACAAATCGTATCCATAAATTGATGAACCACCATCTTCTGTTACTCTAGGCCACTTTAATGTACAACTCTGGAAAAAAAAAAAAAAAGGAACATATTAATCAAACAGGAGAGGAAACTCTAGACTATAGCATTTATCATTCATACTACAATGATCTGGAACGAAGCAGATAATAATGTAAAATTCGAAATGGACCATTTAAAATATATGTTTATTTATATTCTAATAGCTTTCCTATACATATACTTAATATTAAATGAGCCACTTGTTGACATTCCAAAAAATTCTACGGTCAACAACAAAAATTATTTTCAATAAATTACGAGATGAAATCAATACCGATAAATTACGATCAATCAGTGTTTAATTTACTGATAACTGATACAGTGAATTAATAATTTATATTAAGTATATAATCTTTTATGTAGAAAAAGAAAGCATAAAGAATTGTTGATAAAAAAAAAAACAATAAAAACATATTTAACACTACAAGAAAAAAAAAAAATTAATTTAAAGAGGAAATGTTACTCACCTGATCGGTGACATTACTGATGATTGGCGGATGTGTCACAGACGGTGCTTCGAATGGCAGAGATGTTTGAAACGAAATACATTCCAAATATTCACCAGTGCCATATTTGTTCATAGCTGCTATTCGAATCATATATGATGTATTCATCTTCAGATCATCCATATAATAATCCGTTTGCTCACTTGCTACCTGCATTATCATAAATTGATCTCTTTAATCGATACCAAATTGATTACAATGATAGTCGAATCAACAAACTTGAGCAATTCGGTGATAAGCTCTTCTCGATTCTTCCCTTTTCTCCACAATATAACCTGTAATCGCACTACCACCGTTATCACTTGGAGCATCCCAATGAACTTTTGCACTGCAACTCCCAATATCGGTAATATGTCCATTTTCAGGAGCTCCCGGTACATCTATAATTATATTATAAACGTTACTTTATCTGCATGATGCAGAAATAAAATGAAAAATGTATTTTTCTTTGCAACAACGAAAATATGATCATTTTACAAAATAAGTAGTAATTATTCATCAGAATAATTAAGTTCAAATTTAAGTTTAATTCAGATTAATTGAAATGTAAACAATAGCATTAAACAATGGATGAAAATCAGTTTGAGATAGATAAAAAGAAGTATTCTTAAAAAAAAAAACATTTGACTTTCGATCTTATATAAGGACATTCAGAATAAGTTCATATAGGATTTCAACATTCTTTTTTAATTTAATATCAACATATATCCGATATTGTATTATTTTAATGCAATAGTAACAGTAGTTCGAAAAAGAAAAAAAAAGTAGGAAGACGAGTGAAAAGTTAATAATGAATACATGACAACAGTGAAATGTGAGAGTAAAACTTTATCGGCAAGTAATACTAGAGAGTAAAACTTTAATATCGGCTAGTAATGACAAATTAGTTGATATTTAGATAAAATACAAAGTTGCTATTTAAAAAAAAAAAGAAAGTTTTAGGTGAATAAATAATAAACAATATAAATAAATGAAGCTTCTCTTCATTATAAATGATAGTAAAAGACAAATTTTGAAATAATATTAGAAGAATTTTTTTTTGAGAGCTTAAAAAATTTGAAGATTATTTTTTATTTTTCTGCTAAACGTATCAGTTAGCATAAATTCTCACAATTAATAATTAATATTCCTCATGTATTACGAACATAATTGTATCACTGTGATTCTAATTCAACTACCATCATCATATCTACGAAAAAAATACATTCTTTAAGGAAAAAGTTATTGTTGATTTGCAGGTAAACAGATCAAATAACAATTAATTTAATTTCTGATTTAAAAAAAAAAAAAAGCAAAAAATAACCTTTTATATTAACAGAAAATGTCTGTGATACTTCGCCAAAATCATTTTTAATTTTGATCGTATACTCGCCAGCATCACTTTTGTCCACCTTACGCTTGCGGAAGCATACTTTATCATTAAAAATATCGAGTTGCATCTTTGAACTAGTCGGAATTTTTTCATTGTTAAGAAAACATTCCAAAATTGGTTCCGGTATTGCTTTAAATGGTATTGTAAGTATTAAATTATCCTGTGATTCTAGATTGATCATTGTTGCACTTGTTTCTATTTCATGTAATACTGGTGCACCTTCAACAATTAGAGTAGTTGAAGTTTCTGCAGAATCTATTTTCATGGAATAACGACCGGCTTGATCGTAAGTTAAATTCTTTATCAGCAAATTGCAAATATTACCTTCAATATTTACTTCATAATGATCGTTATTTTTAATTAATTGTTCATTATTGAAAAACCACTGGCAATTTTCAGCCATATGTGATACGGTTGTTGACAATTTTATCAAATCATCCAATTTACCGGTTATCTTATATGGTAATTTTTTAATGATTTCCACTGGTATATCTTCAATAATCAAACGACTCTCTACAGAATGTTCATGAAGATTAGCTGTAATGATGGTACCGGTGTCTTCTGGAACAACATTTTCAATTTGTAAAATTCTTAAATATCCATCTACAACTTCCGTACATCGTATATCATCCATAACTGATTTTCCGTTTATTCTCCAATTAATCTTATCATCTTCATTAAGAACTTCACACTCAATTTTAACCGTATCATTTCTTAGTGCTAAAATTTCCTGCTCCGGAAGAACAGCAAAGCCACCTAGACGTTTATGCATTCGTCGTGTGATTGGTATCTCATCTGTCTGTAACACTGGTATCGTTGCAACAATGTCTTCCGGTTCCAGCATTTTACTTGCCGGAATTGCTGGTATATCAATAGTAACATCGATATCAGTATTACTTTGTTCTTCCTTCACTTCTTCATCTTTGAATCCGTTCATGTTTTTCTCTTCTGCATGCTTCTCCTCTCGAACCTCATCCGTAATCTGTTTTGTATCATCATCTCCAGTCTTTTCTTTTTCTTCTTCAGCCTTAGGCTTCTGTGATGCTTTTTTAGAGACTTTTTTTCCGGCAGTCTTCTTTTTCGGTTTCACTTCTTTATCTTCCACAGACTTTCCTGTTTCGACTGCGACTGCATCTTCCCCATCTTTCTCTTTTCTATGTTCTTCTGCTTTTTCAACTTTATTATCCGCCTCCAACTTTGCTTCCAGCTTTTCGGCTTCAGGTTTTTCCTGCTCTGTTCCGGTTATTTCTTCTGGTTTCTTCTTTATCAATGTTTTTGATTTCTTTGCCTTCGAAACAGCTTTCATACTAGTAGAAATTGCATTCTTGCTTTTCAAAATTGAGTCAACAATCTCAATGTTTGGAGTGTTTTTGAAGAATACGTTTATACTAATTACCTGAGCAGTCTTCTCATCTTGCTCCTTCTTTTTCTTAACTTTTGACTTCCTCTCGAATCCATCATTTTCAACTCCTCCTTTTTCCTCTTTAATCTTTATTTTTTCAGATGTTACCATTTCTTCTGCAGTAATTTCTTGTTGCTCAAGCTGCACCTCAAAATTTTCATCTGTAACCTCAACGGTTTCCATTGGTTCTTCAGATTTTTTGACGGTAGTTTTTCGGTTTTTTTCCTTACCACATTTCTTCTTTTTAATTTCTTCTTTTTTCTCAACCGTTGGCTCTTTTTCTAATGCAATTTCTTCAGTTTTTTCATCAATTTTTACAGTTTCAGAAGTGTCACTAATATCAACTTCTTTGTCCTTTTTATTCTTCATTTCAAAATTCTCTTCCATCTCAAATTCCACATCTATAGACTTCTTTTCATCTGTTTTTTTATCAGGTTTCTCCTTAAATTCTTTTTCATCAGTAACTGATGGAACTATTTCTTCCACATGCGCTCTTTTCTCATTATCTAATATTTTTCTGTCCATCTCATCTCCATGTTTCATTTCTTCTTTAGCTGCTTTTTCTTCTTCCAACAAAATCCTATCATCATTCTTCCGTTCAGCATGATCTTTGATAACTTCGCTTACTGATTCTAAAGTCTTGCTAAGGCTATCTTCAGCACGATCAACAGATTTCTGTTCTGTTGCTGGAATTATCTCCTCAGAAGGCTTCTTTTCCTTCTTTGATTTCGTTATTTTTGTTTTCTTCGGCTTTTTCCTAGTATCCAACTTTTCGTCCTTCTCCTTATCCATCACTTCTCCAGATCCTATAACTCCAGTCAATTTCTCTTCAACTTTCCCTACTTCGAGTTCAAATATCTCATTCTGTTCGAGATTTTTGACGATTTCAACATCTCCTTTGAACTCTGTCATTTCTACCTTCTTTTCTTCTTCTATTAACTTTGCTGGCGAAGTGTTATCACCTGCAGCAATTTCCTCACTAATCATTTCGTCTTCAAGTGATTCAGCTTTTTCTGATTCATCCTTCTTTACAGCTTTCTTGACCTTTGTCTTTTCCGGTTCAATTAATTCGTGTTCATCCATTTCTTCCACAGTTTCCTCTAAGTCATTTTTCTCTTCCCATATTTCTTGTAATTCTTCTGGTGCTCTATTAGTATGTACGATAGGAAATTCGGCGAATTCTCCAGTGCCATATTTGTTAATGGCAGCAATACGAAAAATGTATTCGGTGTCAGCATCAAGCTCTTCAATCAGACAATTGGTCTTGTCACCTGTCACCTAAAAATCAAATAGTTCAACTATTAAAAAATGAAACTTTTAGAGCTGAAGGAAATATCACTTTTCATTCAGTAGGTTACAAAAATTAAAGTGCAAAGTAATAAAGATGTTCACAACAAGTTCGATTCTCGCCTTTTACATATATCAAAATACATTTACCTGAATAACATGGTGGAATGTTCGACGACCAATTTCTTTTTTCTGAATGACATAACCGATAATTTTGCTACCACCATCATCTTTTGGAGCATCCCATTCTACACTTATTGTGTCACAAGAAATATCCATAATTCGCGGATTATCAGGAACGCCAGATATATCTGTGAAAGAATACTGATGGAAAAAAAATAATAAAAACCATATTTATAATTTTCCATTTTCACTATCGTTTCATTTTTCAAAAATTGTATCGTCTCACATTTTCAGATTACAGTTTATTTAACCTTTCTTTAAATCTTGAAAGGAATGAAGGGTTTTGGAAGTAAAAATTTTAACTACATTCATTAAAATGTTTTCTACAACAATGACTAACTTTTACCTTTAACATTAACAGTGAAAATTTTGGTAGCTTCGCCAAATTCATTGCTGATTTTAAAAGTATATTCACCAATATCATTTTTATTAGCTTTCCGTTTACAGAATTGAACCATATCATTGATAATTTCAAGCTTCAATTTTGTTCCAACTACCAATGGTTCATTATTAAAGAAGCATTCAACTATTGGTTCTGGTACTGCTTTATAAGGAATATTGAGAAGAAGATTTTCATGAGTCTCAAAATTAACACTTTCCGATTCCGGCTTCTCAATAATAGGTGCTCCTTGCATTATTAACATTGTGGAAGTTTCTAACGAATCAACTTTTATGGAATAACGTCCAGCATTATCATACAGAGCATTCTTGATTGTTAATGTGTAAATATTGCCTTCTCCGGCAATGACATAATTCTCATCATTATGCGACAATTTCTCACCGTTGAATTCCCAAACAATAGACTGTGCTGGATGGGTGACACATATTCCAAGTGTTACATTCTCACCGCATTTGCCAAAACTGCGACGTGGTAACGGTTCGATAATCTCTGCTGGTGTATCTTCTACATGAATAATTGTTTCAGCAATAATATCGTCCACTTTTGCAACAATTATCATTTCATCATCTTCTGGTGCAATATTTGTTATTGTTAGCGTTCTTATCAATGAATTAACTTCCTCAATGCATCTCGAATTTTCATTTGCAGGTTTATCATTAATGAGCCATATGAAATCATCATTATTTACCAATTCGCATTCAATTTTAATTGTATCACCGCGGAATGCGATAATTTCTTTATCAGGCGCTTGAATAAATCCAATACGCTTCTTTCGAGCACGTTCGTAAGGTTCTTCATTTTCATTTTCTTTTATTGTTTGTATTTCAATTTTTTCCAATTCATTTATCGATTTCTTCCTTTGTTTCTCTTCCTCCAAATCTTTTCTTGCTTTTTCCATCTTCTTCCTTCGACTCGTTGTTTTTGCTTGTACAGTAAGTGCAAATTCTTCTACAACATTAACAGGGAAAATGTGATCGATATTTTCCACATATTCTTTTTGTCTAAAAAGTAACTCCATTTCTATCTCTTTGTTTACTTTAGGAACCGGCGGTAAACTGGTTCGTTTTTTTGTTTTTCTTACATTTTCTTCATCTAATTTCAATTCTGTTCCGTCATCAGTTTCTTTGAATGTGAATTTCTCTGCGGAAGATGATCGACGATTGATGGATTTACGACGCTTCGCTGAATCTATCTTCATTGCAACAGAGGCAGAAAGAGATTTCTTTGGTGATGTTTCAACTTCTGCCATCACTTCATTCATTGCAATTCTTGTTGTCATAGTTATTTCGGACAGAAGTGTACTCTTGTCACCATATTTAGAACTTATTTCTGCTGGAATGATAAGCGCTTTCGGTACTTTCTTCTTTCTCTTTTCCACTTCTTTAGGCTTCTCTTCCTATAAAATAAAAATTTTATCAATATTTTTTTTAAGAATGGAATATTTGGCAAATGACAACAAAGTATTAAGAGAAGAAGAAAATAACTGACCTCATCAATTTCTTGTGATTTTTTTCTCGTATCTTTTAGTTTCTTTTCTGTTTCTAAAATGAATTTAAATTAGTTAATATAAAATATGCAATAATCTTTTTATGCTTGCAAACATACTTAAATTATATAACAAACAGTGTGGGCAATTTATTCATTATATCTACTAAGGCTTTTTCAAATTCATTAACAAAACATTCTTATTTATAGTTAGGTATAAGAAAATACGGAATGATGGTGAGGTTGAACTAGAACGATTCTAATTGTGAGGGAACAATGAACAATGAATATATCAATGAATTATTTATTAATGATAGCTAGCTCCAATTATTGTTATTGTTTGCTTATAATTAACAAGAGACAATAAGTTAAATTTTCTATATCATTATCAAAGCTAATGAAAAAATTACCAGAAACCACTGTTAATAACAGTTGCTTTCAGGAAAAAAGACAAAAAAAAAGAAAACAAAATTAGTTATGGATTTAGAACAATAAGTTATGCAAATACTTTTTTATCTTATTTTTTTCAAAATTTTCAGTTTATCTGTAATGAAAATTTACATTCTTTATTATTTAGAAACTAAAACTTCATTAATTTCTTTTTACTGTCATCAGAAATGAAATATATATACAGCTGGATGAATTTATGTATTAGAAAAGATTAGATTCTATATGAAGTAACTAAACTTATTTTACTATGATAATATCAGTGGGTAAGCATTGTATGAGATATCGTCGTTAAAGGCATATATTCTCGTAACCTTATTGAAGGCATTTTAATTGGTGAATTAGAACTATTCTAATTGTGAAAGAACAGTTAGAATTCAATTAACTAAAATAGTCAAGAGATGAATGAAAAGCAAATAAGAGTACTTTCTACGAAAATTTATATTTTTGGCATAAAATTTTCATTGAATCGTGAAAAGTTTAGAATTCAGAAATGTATGGATAACGAACCAAAATTTTCACGTGATTTCTGCCCAACTTTTTGTAATTTAAGGTTGAGCCGTTGCATTTTAGTTTCGTTTGCTACAGATATCAAAATCTCAGCTTCTGCGTTTACGGCAACCATTTTAACTTCTTCAATGAGTCGCGAAATGCTGGTAATTGCGGTGGGCATTTGAACCACTAAGGAAGCAAACTAAAATGACAGATTGGTTACATATAATTAATAGTTTTCACACTTCAGCGACAGGTAGAAAATTCTAATACTGCAGGCAACAATTTAATAATCAGTTGCATTTTTTACAATGTTTTACAGTATTGAAATTAAATCTATAGAAGTGAAAATCGTAAGTTAAGTTAACTTCAACATGTCTCATCATTTTTTTAAAAGTCATGAGAAATGTTTGTTACGCAAAATTGAATTGACTTTTTGTGTTAAATGTAACATTAATAAGATGCTGATTACTTTGAGATGAAGCTGTCTCAATAATTTATTAATTGTGACATATACCTGATTATGAATGATAGGACCAATAACTTCAATGAATTCTTCCTCCATCAAAGCATCTAAACTGACATCAACATCAAGAAAATCGGATACAAATTCATTTACAGCTAGTTCGGTTTCTTCAAAATTTGTCAGCATATCGACAATTGCATCCGTTGTCGCCATTTCTTCACCGGCATCTACTTCAATGTCAGCTATTACTGCAATTAGATTTTAAATAGATAATTGAGATTTTCAAAATTATTATTAGATTATAAATAGATAAAAATGAGGTTTTCAAAACTATTGTTAGATTATAAATGGATAATTGAGATTCAAAAACTATTTTTTATTTAATATTAAATGGTTTGCGAAAAACTATCATAGGAAAGAAGAGGTTCAATATGAAAAATAAATTAAATAAATACAACATTTCTACAATAACTTTTACAAATCAAACCATTTACAAATTAATTACAGTATCACAGAACCAACCAGATTTCGAACGCTCCTTCGTCCGTCTCGTAACTCCAGGTTCTGTCGTCCTCGTAATTTCAGTACTTTTCTCTTCCATACAAAATGACATGCAAGCGAAGCATTTTTCACAAAGTGCTAAAAGTCTAATAGTTTCAGCATATTGACTTGATCGAATTATTTCTTCAACAAGTTCAATTTGTTCCGTTGGACGTTCAGAATTAAAAATGGTACCAACACCAATTTTTTGAGTTCGCTGTTTTGTGAATTCGAAATTGATAGAAACCGTCTCAACAGGAATTTCTTCTAAATGTTTCCCTTTCACCATGTTCAACTGTGTTGGTCTTTCCATTCCTTCCTTCATATCTGCCGTAGCTTTCTGTAAACCAGGAAGATAAACAGAACGGCTACAACAACAAAAATCAGCTGCTGTAGATATCGTGTCGGCAAAGCCTTTTTCGGATGGTTTCTCGACACCCAATGAAATTAATGCTTCTTTGGTTAGAAAAGCCTTCACTCCAGGCAGATGTATATCAAACTCAGTTCCTGGTGAGCTCCCGCCTGCTTTTCCCTCAGCAATTAAATCTTTAGGCTCATTCTGCGGTTCCATTTTTAAAAGAACTGAAGCATTGGTCGATTCTGAAATCACACTGACTATGGATATATCAGCAAATTCATGTTCTTGACATTTTTCTAAACCAAACACAATTTCATTTCCCTTTAGCTTATCGGTCGTTTCTTCCGATTTTTCCTCAGCAAATTTCTCTTTTGGTTTCACCATTTTCTTCTTAATTTCACTCTTCAGCTCCTTTGTTAACGGGACTAAAGCTTCGGTCGAGCCTGAAATGTGCTCGCTTTCGAAACCTTTTTCCAAATCAATTATGGCTTCCGTCTCGCTTAATTTCTCCTCTGATTGTTCATCAGTGGTTTCCTTCTTCGGTTTTACTGTTTTCTTCTCAATAATTTCATCCTTTGGCTTTTCAATCTTTGGCTCTTTACTTAAGCGAACCAAAGCTTGCGTCGAATCTGAAACGGCATTGACGAGGAATATGTCAACAAATTCATGCTCGAGACCTTTCTCCAAATCTAAAGTAATTTCCGTTTCTTCCAATTTCTTAACCACTTCTTCCGGTTTTTTCTCAACAGTCTTCTCTTTTGGTTTCACCATTTTCTTCTTAATTTCACTCTTCAGCTCCTTTGTTAACGGGACTAAAGCTTCGGTCGAGCCTGAAATGTGCTCGCTTTCGAAACCTTTTTCCAAATCAATTATGGCTTCCGTCTCGCTTAATTTCTCCTCTGATTGTTCATCAGTGGTTTCCTTCTTCGGTTTTACTGTTTTCTTCTCAATAATTTCATCCTTTGGCTTTTCAATCTTTGGCTCTTTACTTAAGCGAACCAAAGCTTGCGTCGAATCTGAAACGGCATTGACGAGGAATATGTCAACAAATTCATGCTCGAGACCTTTCTCCAAATCTAAAGTAATTTCCGTTTCTTCCAATTTCTTAACCACTTCTTCCGGTTTTTTCTCAACAGTCTTCTCTTTTGGTTTCACCATTTTCTTCTTAATTTCACTCTTCAGCTCCTTTGTTAACGGGACTAAAGCTTCGGTCGAGCCTGAAATGTGCTCGCTCTCGAAACCTTTTTCCAAATCAATTATGGCTTCCGTCTCGCTTAATTTCTCCTCTGATTGTTCATCAGTGGTTTCCTTCTTCGGTTTTACTGTTTTCTTCTCAATAATTTCATCCTTTGGCTTTTCAATCTTTGGCTCTTTACTTAAGCGAACCAAAGCTTGCGTCGAATCTGAAACGGCATTGACGAGGAATATGTCAACAAATTCATGCTCGAGACCTTTCTCCAAATCTAAAGTAATTTCCGTTTCTTCCAATTTCTTAACCACTTCTTCCGGTTTTTTCTCAACAGTCTTCTCTTTTGGTTTCACCATTTTCTTCTTAATTTCACTCTTCAGCTCCTTTGTTAACGGGACTAAAGCTTCGGTCGAGCCTGAAATGTGCTCGCTCTCGAAACCTTTTTCCAAATCAATTATGGCTTCCGTCTCGCTTAATTTCTCCTCTGATTGTTCATCAGTGGTTTCCTTCTTCGGTTTTACTGTTTTCTTCTCAATAATTTCATCCTTTGGCTTTTCAATCTTTGGCTCTTTACTTAAGCGAACCAAAGCTTGCGTCGAATCTGAAACGGCATTGACGAGGAATATGTCAACAAATTCATGCTCGAGACCTTTCTCCAAATCTAAAGTAATTTCCGTTTCTTCCAATTTCTTAACCACTTCTTCCGGTTTTTTCTCAACAGTCTTCTCTTTTGGTTTCACCATTTTCTTCTTAATTTCACTCTTCAGCTCCTTTGTTAACGGGACTAAAGCTTCGGTCGAGCCTGAAATGTGCTCGCTCTCGAAACCTTTTTCCAAATCAATTATGGCTTCCGTCTCGCTTAATTTCTCCTCTGATTGTTCATCAGTGGTTTCCTTCTTCGGTTTTACTGTTTTCTTCTCAATAATTTCATCCTTTGGCTTTTCAATCTTTGGCTCTTTACTTAAGCGAACCAAAGCTTGCGTCGAATCTGAAACGGCATTGACGAGGAATATGTCAACAAATTCATGCTCGAGACCTTTCTCCAAATCTAAAGTAATTTCCGTTTCTTCCAATTTCTTAACCACTTCTTCCGGTTTTTTCTCAACAGTCTTCTCTTTTGGTTTCACCATTTTCTTCTTAATTTCACTCTTCAGCTCCTTTGTTAACGGGACTAAAGCTTCGGTCGAGCCTGAAATGTGCTCGCTCTCGAAACCTTTTTCCAAATCAATTATGGCTTCCGTCTCGCTTAATTTCTCCTCTGATTGTTCATCAGTGGTTTCCTTCTTCGGTTTTACTGTTTTCTTCTCAATAATTTCATCCTTTGGCTTTTCAATCTTTGGCTCTTTACTTAAGCGAACCAAAGCTTGCGTCGAATCTGAAACGGCATTGACGAGGAATATGTCAACAAATTCATGCTCGAGACCTTTCTCCAAATCTAAAGTAATTTCCGTTTCTTCCAATTTCTTAACCACTTCTTCCGGTTTTTTCTCATCAGTCTTCTCTTTTGGTTTCACCATTTTCTTCTTAATTTCACTCTTCAGCTCCTTTGTTAACGGGACTAAAGCTTCGGTCGAGCCTGAAATGTGCTCGCTCTCGAAACCTTTTTCCAAATCAATTATGGCTTCCGTCTCGCTTAATTTCTCCTCTGATTGTTCATCAGTGGTTTCCTTCTTCGGTTTTACTGTTTTCTTCTCAATAATTTCATCCTTTGGCTTTTCAATCTTTGGCTCTTTACTTAAGCGAACCAAAGCTTGCGTCGAATCTGAAACGGCATTGACGAGGAATATGTCAACAAATTCATGCTCGAGACCTTTCTCCAAATCTAAAGTAATTTCCGTTTCTTCCAATTTCTTAACCACTTCTTCCGGTTTTTTCTCAACAGTCTTCTCTTTTGGTTTCACCATTTTCTTCTTAATTTCACTCTTCAGCTCCTTTGTTAACGGGACTAAAGCTTCGGTCGAGCCTGAAATGTGCTCGCTCTCGAAACCTTTTTCCAAATCAATTATGGCTTCCGTCTCGCTTAATTTCTCCTCTGATTGTTCATCAGTGGTTTCCTTCTTCGGTTTTATTGTTTTCTTTTCAATAATTTCCGGTTTTTCCTCAACAGTCTTCTGTTTTGGTTTCACCATTTTCTTCCTAATTTCACTCTTCAGCTCCTTTGTTAACGGGACTAAAGCTTCGGTCGAGCCTGAAATGTGCTCGCTCTCGAAACCTTTTTCCAAATCAATTATGGCTTCCGTCTCGCTTAATTTCCCCTCTGATTGTTCATCAGTGGTTTCCTTCTTCGGTTTTACTGTTTTCTTCTCAATAATTTCATCCTTTGGCTTTTCAATCTTTGGCTCTTTACTTAAGCGAACCAAAGCTTGCGTCGAATCTGAAACGGCATTGACGAGGAATATGTCAACAAATTCATGCTCGAGACCTTTCTCCAAATCTAAAGTAACTTCCGTCTCTTCCAATTTCTTAACCACTTTCTCCAGTTTTTCCTCGCTTTCTGGTTTTGCAACCTCTTCGAAAATATCTTCCATAGGTTGCTTCTTAGCTTCTTTAGTTAAAAGAATCGATGCTTGAACGGATTCTAAAGCCAAAATCAAAACGGAAACCTCAACAGCTTCACATTCGAGATTTTTCTCTAGATTAAACGTGATTCCTGTCTCTTTCAGTTCTTCGAACACCTTCTTCGGTTTTTCCTCGCTTTCTGGTTTTGCAACCTCTTCGACAATATCTAGAGGTTGTTTCTCAGCTTGCTTGGCTAAAGGAATCGATGCTTGAGCTGATTCAGAAGCCAAAATTAGAACGGAAACGTCAACAGCTTCATGTTCGAGATGTTTCTCCAGATTAAACGTGATTCCTGTCTCTTTCAGTTCTTCGAAATCTTTCTCCAGTTTTTCCTCTATTTCTGGTTTTGCAACCTCTTCGAAAATATCTTCCATAGGTTGCTTCTTAGCTTCTTTAGTTAAAAGAATCGATGCTTGAGCTGATTCAGAAGCCAAAATTAGAACGGAAACGTCAACAGCTTCACATTCGAGATTTTTCTCCAGATTAAACGTGATTCCGGTCTCCTTCAGTTCTTCGAAATCTTTCTCCAGTTTTTCCTCTCTTTCTGGTTTTGCAACCTCTTCGAAAATATCTTCCATAGGTTGCTTCTTAGCTTCTTTAGTTAAAAGAATCGATGCTTGAACGGATTCTAAAGCCAAAATCAAAACGGAAACCTCAACAGCTTCATGCTCGAGATGTTTCTCCAGATTAAACGTGATTCCGGTCTCTTTCAGTTCTTCGAAATCTTTCTCCAGTTTTTCCTCTCTTTCTGGTTTTGCAACCTCTTCGACAATATCTAGAGGTTGTTTCTCAGCTTGCTTGGCTAAAGGAATCGATGCTTGAGCTGATTCAGAAGCTAAAATTAGAACGGAAACGTCAACAGCTTCATGTTCGAGATGTTTCTCCAGACTAAACGTGATTCCTGTCTCTTTCAGTTCTTCGAACACCTTCTTCGGTTTTTCCTCTCTTTCTGGTTTTGCAACTTCGACAATATCTAGAGGTTGTTTCTCAGCTTGCTTGGCTAAAGGAATCGATGCTTGAGCTGATTCTAAAGCCAAAATCAAAACGGAAACCTCAACAGCTTCATGTTCGAGATGTTTTCCTAAATTCAGATTTGCTTCTATTCTTGTAAAAACCATGGCAGCTCTCTGAAGGTCTTCTTTTTCTTGCTTCTCAGCTTCAATCACTTCTATGAGTTGCTCTATTTTTGCTGCTTTTTCCAGGCAAATTGAGGCTTGAGCTGTTTCTGATGCTATACTAAAGACAGAAACGTTGATTGTTTCTTTTTCCGAATGTTTCCCTAAATTTAGATTCTTTTCCATTTCTCTCAATTGTTCGACCGCCCTCTCAACATTCTCTTTAACTATTTCCTTTTCTGACCTTGCAACTTCTTCCATCACTTCTGTTGGTTGCTCTCTTTTAATTTCTTTTGCCAAGCGAACTGAAGCTTCAGTAGATTCTAAGACTATGCTAATGACGGATATGTCAACTGTTTCTTGTTCCTGATATTTCTCAAAATCCAAATTGGTCTTCGTCTCTCTCAATTCTTCTTGTGCTGTTTGCTCTATTTTTCTTAGTTTTGCCAAGCAGACTGAAGCTTGAGTGGATTCTGAGATAATGCTAAAGACGGAAACGTCAAGTATTTCTTGTTGTAGATGTTTCTCTAAATCCAGATTGATTTCTATCTGTTTCAGTTCTTCGACAGCTCTCTCTTCAACACGTTTCGCAACTTCTTCAATCGCTTCATCTATAGGTTGGTCCATATTTGTTGTTTTTGCCAAGCATTCTGAAGCTTGAGCCCATCCTGAAGTTGTGCTAAAGACAGATACGTCAACTGTTTCGTGTTCTAAATGTTTATGTAGATCCAGATTCGTTTCCATCTCTCTCAATTCTTCTTCTGTCGGTTTCTGCATTTTTGTTGCTTTTGCCAAGGGAGTTGAAGCTTGAATGGATCCTGATGTTACACTTACGACAGAAACGCCAGCTGTTTCATGCTGCAGTTTTTTCTCGAAATCAAGATTCATTTCCATCTCTCTCAATTCTTCAGCTGCTCGTTCTGCGATTGCTGAATGCTCGAGTAGTTTTTCCAACCGAAGTTCAATACCTGTAGTTGCTACCTGTTTTTTAATATCTGTGACAGCTATTTCTGTCTTTTCTTCAACAATTTCCTTTTTTGCTTCCACTGCCGTTTCATCAGGAGATTGTTCCATCTTGACTTCGTTTTTCAGGGTAATGGATGCTGAAACTGACTGTGAAGATAAGTTCATGTTAGATGCGTCAATTAATTTATCTTTTTTGTCACGCTCTTCTACTTGTCCTACTTTTTCGTTCATTTCTTTTGGTAGGAATGTGTCGTGATACGCTATTTCATGTTGGGCTGTTGCATATAGAATCTCTTCATGATTATTAATTGAAGGTTTTGCTGCATCGATCAGTTTATTAATTTCTTGTTCTGACGTTTCTAGAATTTTTGGCTCTGTTAGATCGTGAATGTTTTCTATTACAGAAACATATATCGATGAAACAGTGCGGTTTCTTTTGATAAAGACCTCCTTGTTGATTTCTTTGCATATTTCAGTTTTACTACCCTTTATCTTTCCCATATTTTCCACTAGTAATTGTTGCGATTGCATATGATGTTCGGTTAAAGTTTCTTCAATATTTTCCACTGATTCCATCGCTTCGCTGATTTGCTTACTTTGTTCGTATTCATATTGAGTGGTCGATGTTTGGACTGTTTCATTGTTTTGGGAGCTTCTTTCAGTTGATTCGGTTGTTTTGGAAGCATTTTCAATTCGTATTCTTCGGATTTTTCTATGTTGTTTTTCATTCCATTCTTCTTCCACTCGAATAAAGCATTCTGTAATAGCTCTTCCGGCTACACTGACTGCTTCACAAACGTAATGTCCTTCAAGGATATGTTGCATGTACAACGATATAACACCACTTTTGTATACTACATGAAAGAATCTGAAAATAAAATTGTAGTTAAATATTTACATTCTGCCTCTAGCTATTAAAGAAACTTTTTCAAACTTTTTATTTATCTTAATTTCGAAGGAACAAGTGTAATTATTTGGAATTGCTAAGTAATTATAATTATTAGAAAAATATGTTAGTTTTTGGGTAATATTTATAAACTCTTTTGCTGATTTTGTTGAGAATTCCATAGATAACGTTGCTTCTACAAAGATCTATCATTAGCTTCAGATAATTCATAATTTCTTTAGATAGTTAGTAGCACAAAATATAATAATTGAAATTAGTTTTTAGGCAAATAAATGAAATAGTTCACTATTCCATTTCCTTTAAGGTTAGTTTATACTAGATAGTATTTAGAAGTTAGAAAGTCAAAATTTTGTAATAATAATAGATAATGAAGCGTTTATGGAATTGATCATATTTGCTAACCTATTATTTCTTAGGATCGGACATCCATTATGCGAAATTCGAATATGTGGTATTGGTAAACCGTAAACAGAACAACGCAAACCGGTATTGAAACCTTCTTCAAAGATGGTAAGTGGTTGAATGAAGTGCGGTCCTCTCAAAATTGAATGCTGGAAATATTTTTGTCGTTTAACTGAATCTTCAATAGAAGCTTCAAATTCATTGTCAATAGCAATCGTTTGATACAAAGCAGCTCGAATATCAAATGTTGCCTTATATCTGTAACGTGTAATGAGAATCACGTACGCTTCTACAACATGATGCATTGCATTTGCTACGCAATGCACAACTGTGAAAACACCAGTATCCTCAGCAAGAGTTCCAGTTTGTTCTTCATATATTTCTAATTTACGCTTTTCTAAAGTTTCTTGTGAACCTCCTATTTGACGTAACTTAAATCGAGTTTCATATTCTTCGCTGCTTTCCGATGTTTCTGTCGTCTTTAGAAGTTGAACATAACGTTCAATAATGTCTTTATCTTCTAAAAATTCGTGTAATTCATCATTTTGGAATATTTTCTCAAATTCAGTCCTTTCATTAATAACTTCTCGACTCCAATATGAAGGTCTTTCAGTAGTATGACCTTGAAATGTCCACAGTGGTCTTGCACTACGTTCGACCACTCTTAAGTAAGTTCGTGTGCGTACAACGTCCTCTTCAATGATTATTTTAAATAGCTCTTCTTCCTTCATTTTTTTTGATTTTGCTTTCACTTTTGCATAAGCACAAAGTTTGTAACTCATAACTCTTATTGTCATTGCTTCTGCTTCAATTAAGTAATTCAGTGTGCCTGTTGGGATATATTGATCAGTTGTGATTTCTTCTTCACCGAATTCTTTCTTTAATTTCTTTCCTTCTTGATCTTGATCAATTGTTTCATTTTTTCCACTTACATCAGCTGTTGAGCAAAATTTCGACGTCGAAACTGATAAAACTACAGCTTCAGCTGACTCCATCGTATCTTTTAGTTCCATTGCTGTTGTCAGTAAAACTTCCGCGCTATATATGTGAACAAAACTTCGAGTTTGTGCACTTCCGATACCATTTGTTGCTTCACATACATATAATCCTTCTTTATCACCATTGATAATCTTTAGTATAACAATGCCATCCTCATAAACGGTAAATATATTCCTGAAAATTCCATCAACAGTTGAACACTTTTTAAACAATATAATGCAAGGATGAACTAAGAGAAAAAACTGATTCAAAATAAGGATAAATACGTTGCGTATTCTTCCTAAACTTCGCAGGTATTTGCTATACCATTGTAAAAAATAACAATATATTATGAAGAGCAAAAGTAAGAGTTTTCTCTCAAGAATTTTCTCGAAAAAAGTTGGATAGGTGACTAACTGGTTTTAACTCAAAAAAGAAATAAAAACTTTATGTTATTTCTTTCTGGAACTTTTGTTCAATAATTGTGTGATTTTCATGTTTAATTGTTTTTAATAAAATTGCGCTATCATTTCTAGTACCGTATAAAAAAAAAAAGAAGACTGATTAAAAATAAGAATAAATATGCGGCGTATTCTTCCTAAACTGCGCAAGTGTTTGTTATACTAATGTAAAAAGTAAACAATATATTATGACGAGCAAAAGTAAGAGTTTTCCCGAAAAAAAATATTGTGGAGAGCAAAAGTAAGAGTTTTCCCGAAAAAAGTATTATGAAGAGCAAAAGCAAGAGTTTTCTCTCAAGAATTTTCTCGAAAAAAGTTGGATAGGTGGCTAACTGATTTTAACTCAAAAAAATTAGAAATAAAAACCTTATGTTATTTCTTTCTGGAACTTTTGTTCAATAACTGTGTGATTTTCATGTTTAATTTTTTTTTTTTTTTTTTCACCAAAATGCGCTATCGTTTCTAGTACCGTATAAGTGTACATCGTACTTTATTGAAAATGGAAATCAGTCAGATAAAAGTTTTTACTGGAAGCGAAAAAAACTCTAGATGAGTTAGAACAATAGATAACTTAAAAGTGGATGATAGTTTATTAGATAAATCGAAATCAAAACTTTCCACCTGTTATCTGCTTGAATTTCTTTACCATTGCATGACCAACGAATTGTAGGCATTGGTTCACCAGTAACAATACATTTAAGTTGTAGTTCTCCTCTGTTCTCTATCGTTATATCATGTAATGGTAATGTAAATTGAGGTATTTGAAATTGAGTGGTAAGTGAATCTTGTGATGACATTGACGACATCGATATTTCACCTATGGTATGATCATCTATACTGCTTCTTGCTGTGGGACTTTCTTCTTCCTTTATGTTACTCGTACTTGCTAAGTGCGCTTCTTCTAAAATTTAAAATACAAAGTATTTTTTGATATACATACAAAACATTCTCTTAGCGCTTGATTCTATGAATGTTCAGTTAATTTCACTCACAAAAATTTATATCATTTGACATTTTATTTTAATATTGCGGGTAATGATCCAGAGGAAAGTAGTGTGTATGTTAGTTTGATTTTACTACTATATACCGTCCCATCATCCATATGTCAAAAAAAAGGAAACGTACTCATTTTTGAATGAAGGAGTAAGAAATGAAATTATAAATATGTATATACGAAATTCTCAATACCTTCAACAATCACTCTACTTTTGGTTTTTGCGGAACCGAACATATTCATCGCTGTACAGCTAAAAATTGCATTATCCTCCTCTGTGACATTTAAAATGCGCAAAATACAGATCCCATCATCACATATAGTCAAGTAATGTCTGAAAAGGTAATAAAAATACATTTGTAAAATTCATTAGACGAAGAAAGATAGTTCTGCTTTGAAAATCTAACTATAAAACTCAAATAAAACTTATGTAGCACTTGTTTTATCTATGATTCATCTATCTTACTCATTATTTTCGATGATAACATCATTGCGCTTCCATTGTACTGAAGGTAATGGACTTCCAGATATAATACATTTCAGTTGGATATTTTCTCCCTTCTGAAATTTTATGTAATTGCAAAATGAAAATCGATTCAATGCTTTTTGCAGATACAAAAATATATCCATACGATGCTAGAAAATTTCGATCATTTGATAGAAAATAAAAAAAAAAAACCAAGAAACTTATAGGTCATATTAAAAAAGTAATTAAATAAAATGTTGATCGTACTTCAAGAGCACATTTTTTTTTTTTGTTACCTACCTTAGCATTAATTTCGCTATCAAGCAGTAAATGGATGATAGGCATTTGTCCTCCGATTGAAGCGCTGCTAATGGAAGAACTTTCCTCAGATCCTGTAATATAGAATTTTATAGAAAATATAGAAAGTGCTATGAACTCTTCAATCAAAGATACTTACACTATTTTGCATCGGTTTTTGAATCCTATTTCAATTTTATTTCTTCATCTTTAATAAACAAAACAAACAAATACAGGAAAAAGAATTAGTTTACTTGTATGCTTGCATCATAAAAATTACTTATTTAGCAAATTACTATAACTTTCATTTTTTTTTTAATCTCCAAAATGTTTTCTTAATATAATATTGAAAAAAAGAAAAAATTTCTGAATTCATGAAATCAAAAGCAATTATGCTAATTATGCTTTATTTAAATAAGCCATTACTTTGAACATGGATAATGGAATGTGTGCGAGCTATTCCGATTGCATTTTCCGCTTCACAAACTAAATTTCCATTCCAACTTCTATCTATGTTATTTATTTTCAATATGTAGATACCATCTTCAGCGATTTCAGTTATGTTACTGCAACAATTATAATTAACCGAAGTACTCAAGAAAACTTGGCTTATTATAACAAACATAACATAAATGGAAATTACTACAGGAAAATTATAAAGGTCTTAATTATGGTCTTAAATATAAATTTTCTTAATTTTCATGGAAAGATTTGATAAGTGGTTCTTTTTAATCACAATAAAAAAAGAAGTTCTAGTAACTTGGAGTATCAGGAAGCGATAAATAAAACCGTTTGAAATCTTACTCGCTAGGGATGATTGCTTGCTCATTACGGTACCATCGGACTTGTGGCGCGGGTGTTCCATAAATAATGCATTTGAATAAATGAGTTGAGAATTCTTCAATTTCATAAATTTCACTCAATTTTTCCGCAAATTGTGGAGCTGCTTGAATGGAAGATGATGTGCTTAGTTCATCAGCTGATTCATCTAAGAAAACTTCATTCACTTCAATGATGGAATTAATCTTGCTAGTAATTAAAATTATCTCTCATTTTTAATTGGTTGAACTTTGAAAAATTTTTTTTTTGGTAAATTAATGTAAAGAAATAAATAGTGTGTACAAGAGGAAATATTCAATTTGTTTAGTAAGACATATTAGTTTCACATGCAGTAATTTTAATTTCAATCCTGAGAGGTAGTTGATGGTGTTTTGTAGAATTGAATTACAGTTAAAAACAATACCAAAAAAGATTTGTAATCTAAATGTAAAATTTAACTAGTAAATAAAAAAATATTAAGCAAACAAAAATGTAAAATTTAATCACAAAAATAACTTTTTGTTAATAATGGAAAATAAAAGTTTTGATAAAGTTCAAGAAACTGTTAAAAACAAAACTTTAGAATCATAACTTTGTTAATGAAAACAAAATTTATTAGTGTTTTAGGTTGTTCACCTGGAAGATTCTATCTTTTCATTAATGACCTTTAAACAAGTATTCTTCTTATAAAGACTCAAAAAAAAAAATTTCTAATAACTTTGAATTATTGTTTTGGTTATCATTGAAATGAAAAAAGAATGATTGAATTACCGATCAATGATTGCAATGAAATCTATTTCATGAATTCTATGCACAAGATGAAGCAAACAAAATGTAAATAGGAAAAATTAGGCAAGCATAAACAACAAACCTTCTTCGTAGATATTTTTGCGTAAGATAAAAGCTGAGTCGCTGGTTTGTGCTGATCGTGTTAAATCTAAGTGTTGATAGAATCCTACATTTAGTTGTGTACGACTCCATAATCTGTTCATCTCAAAAAATGTTAAATGTAACTTACATACATATGAAATGCCTATTATAGTATTTAAATATAGTAATACTTTTTTTCACATCAGAAGATTACCTCATTTTCTTCCATTGCTTGCCTTGATTGAAAAATATTTTGTAAATCAATTTGACACGATTGTATTGTTGGATTTCGAGATAATTCAATCATTATGCGAATATTTTCTTCAAACTGTTGCATAATATATTCATAAGTTGTATTGTTGATTTCTTCAATAAATTCACTTGCAAACAAGCATAAAGATCGATCATTATATATTTTGTAACTAGATTTCCACACTGATAGTTTAGATTCTATCAGATCTACTTTTACAGTTTCATGGTTTACAGCATCATAATAGATCTCAATATCAAGCTTTGTTATTTCATCGCTGTATCGCTTTTCGGTGATTGCAGTAATTTGTTCCAATGTAATAGTAATCCATGCTATCTCTTCTTCTGGACAAATTTCAAATGAAGTGTAAATTTCAATATTTTCAATAGATGAAGCTTGTACATTTATCAGTTGCTTTTCCTTTTGGACAATTAAGAGACTAGCAGCACAATGAGCTTCTGATTCCACGTCAAAAGATCTTTCGATATCGAAATTCTCTTCTTTTGTTGCTTCTATCCATGCTTCTGCAATTTCATGCATTGCAATGAGTACTTCAAAATAGTCATCTCTTTGTTGTGGTAGCACTTCGAAACTTGTCAAAATACTCAAACACTCTTCAGTGGAAGCTTGTAAACATATTTGATTATTATCATTTCGTTTAATTGGTATATTTATATTGGCGTAACTACTTTGAGTCTGACACCATAGTGTTGCAATCAAATTAACAGTTTTATAAGAAAAGAAACGATTTAATTTGTAAATATCAGCTCGAACGAACTCCAATAAAGTAACTTCAAGTTCTTGAACTTTAGGATATTCTTCCAGAACGATTGATGCATGCGTTTCTTCAATAGATGAAGCTTTTAACTGCATCTGCAACTCATCATTCCTAGCAATATAAATTTTAGCATCTGCAAAAGCTTCTCGACGAATCTTTGACCATAATTCTACTACAAACTTCATCAAACGATCTGAAAATTTCCGATCAATCCTTTCAGTAACAGCAGGTATCTGTGTTAGCAAAGTAGCCATGATATTTTCGATTTCATCTTGAACACAGAATTTTGCTATCACAGTGATATTTTCTTCTTCTGAAGCTTTTAGAAACATTTGAAGCGCACATATTCGAGCGACCATAATATTATTATATGTATGAAAATCGCTTTGTACGTGTAGCTCAGTAATTAAATTCACAACACTGTCCGAAAATGATCGACTAATCTGCTCAACTAATGCTGAAATTGGAGTTAGCAGGATGAATTCTAAGTCTTCCTTCTCCGGCTGTACCTCAATAATAGCTACAATATTTTTTTCCTCAAATTCAACACCTTTAATATTTTTAAACAAATTATCTTTTCGAGCAGTAAAAATTCCCATCTCTACTTCCAGATTATGCATATTTTGTGATCGTAATTCCACTGTTTCTTCAATGAAATCATCGGAAAACACAACGCTAGCTCTGTCAACAATTATCGGTGCTCGCTTCAGTAATGCCATTGTAGTATTACTTTCCTGAGATTGAACTTCAAACGATATGATAACATGTAAGTTTTCAAAAGTTGAAGCTCTGAAATTTGCCGTATGTATATCTTTTCGTGATATTAAAAAGATAGCATCTGCGTAAAATTCTCGTCTCACCTGCGATGAGTACTCTAAAATCTCACTGATAGTGGCATCTGAAAATAATCCAAATGCTTTTTCAGTAATTTTTGGTGCTGTTGTTAATAATGTAGCTGTTACTGTATCTATTTCTGGTTGAATATTGAAAGCTGTTGATAGATCGAAATATTCTGCAGTTGAACCGGAAAATGTTGTGCTCAATCGTTCTATTTCTCTTGTTCGAAAATTAACGTTGACGCAAATGTCACATTTGATTTGCGACCAAAGCTCCATTTCAAGTTTTGTGACACTGTCAACGAAGTCACGTTGACATGCGTAAGAGGACATATGAGGCTTCACAAATATTCTCATTTCCATATTTTCAGCTTTTGAAAAACTATAAGTTACTGGAATTACTTCAAGTACGGAAGCCATTAACTGCATACTGATCATTTCCATTCGAATTAGTGGTACTTCTTTAGTTACAAGTAAATTTTCATCCATATGTGACATCAAAATTAGTTCCAAAGACGACATTGAATCGATATAATTAGCATTTGTTGATGAAAATAAAATTTCTGGAACAGTTACTGCAATATTTTGTTGTTGAATAGGACCGCATACCGTGAAAATTTCATCAATTGTATTTGCTTTAGAAGCATCACATTGTAGATGAATTATTTCCCTTTGAGTAACATTAATTCTGATTGTAGTATCAAAAATTTGTGGTACTTTATAAATAGCTATAAATTCCAACCAAACAACATTCATGGTAAACTGTCTCGTAATCTTTTCCGGATAAATAATTGATTTTGTTAGCATCACTGCATCAGCAAATTCGCATTCGGATGTTTTGTTAAATGTAATAATCTCGCTATACTTTTCAAATATTAGTGCAATAAAATCCATTTCAAGTGCTATCATTCGTGGAATTTTGTTCGTAATATCCATAGCTATATTCTGCATTGGTGATAATAATATCACATCTAATTTTACCCACCGATCATCTAATTTTATTCCTAATTTTTTGACAATTTTTTCTTGTACATTTGTAACAACGGTTAATTCTCTTACATCCAACGATTTTATAAAACTAGTTGTAAGTTGAGTGAATTGTGAACTGAGATGAATATATGCTGACTGTTGCGCAATCAGTGTTAGTACTACAGCTTCAGCAAGAGCATAACTAATTGAAGTAGAAGATGTAAATTGAAAATGAACATTTGTTGTTACAAAATTGCACTCAATCATTGTTACTTCCATAAAAGTTAAATCGTTGCTAATTGCATAAGAAGGCTCACGATGTATGTGAAACTCATTGTCCACCGATTGAATTGATAATTGATGTGATAGATAACTGATCGATATCAGTCGTTTCTCATTCACAATCACTGGAATTTCATATGATTGCATGGAAAATCGCAAATCAAAATATTCTTCCATATTACACAACTGATAAGATTCCATTGTTTGTGCTTGTTGAAGACTGATAACATCATGTAATTGTGGATATCCTTCATTTATCGTTGTTGTTGTTGTTGGATGTAATGAAATATCGAAATGTTCAGTGGAAATTTGTCCCTGTGATTCTATAAATGAAAAAAATAATTTCATAGTTTTTAGTGAAGATTTTAAAAGAAATAATAATTACAACCACCAATGATTTCTTTCTTTTTTTCCATTTTTTTTTTTTTTTAAATTAAAATTGTTAATAAGTTTATGGATAATAATGAAAAGATTAATTCGAGTGCCTACAATGAATTTCTTAATGGAATGAAATTTTTTTTTTTTTTTTTCAGTAAAACAAAACAAGTCAAATGAACAACAAATATTATCGAAATATAATCATATTATAATTATTTAAATCTCTTTCAATTCTATATTTCATCTTCTAAAGTAAGTTTCTAAAAGAAAATTCTTAAATATATTTTTCTAAAAAAAATTTTTTTTTTTTTTTTTTGTTTTGAGAAATTTTAACCACGAATTTTCTTTTGGACTATTAAACTTTTTTTTTTTTTTTTTTTTTTCAACTTATGCAAAAAATAATTTTAAAGAAACTCAAATTGCAAAATAAATATTAGCTTTGTTTTATATGCTTACCAATTACAGTAATTTTGGTGACAGCAGTATATGAATCTTTTATTACAACGCCATATTCGCCTTCGTCACTCTTTCGAACACTGTAAATTGTAAGACTATGCTCAAATCCATCAGCCGTATCTTTCCTTTCGATTCGTTCATCTTGCACAATTGGCCGCAGATTTTTGCGCCAATCCAATGAATATTGTTGCGTAATAGTTTCACAATGAATTGTTGCAGCTGAACCAATTGGTACCAGCGATTCTTCTACTGTAATTTGACTTGAATATTCTCCTGTAAGAGGAGATTTCTATCAGTTCAGAATAACTGAGAATTTGATTTAATTGAAATTTGAAAGTTCAATGTGAGAAAATGAAATCAAATTCAAATTTGATCATTTGCTATAAAATGCAAATATTCAACTATTTCATTAGATATTTTTGACCAATGATAAAAGCAAACAATGATAGAGCTTTTTTTTTTTTTTTCGTTTCCTTTCTTTCTTTCTTTTTTTCCTTTTGCAAAACCGATCGATAACAATTTTTTAAAAAAAATTATTTTTCGTGGGAAATGAGAAAATGATCATTTCATCACTTATGTAAAATTAATTTGAATAAAATTTTATAAGGGATATTTGTGTATATCTTTTCAAATAGCTGTCGTGTTTGAAATTTGTTTAGAAATAATGGTGGAATGTTAAAAATTTTGAAGAATCAGCTGCAATTATGAATCAATAATTACATCTGCTACACCATGATTTCATAAATATTTTTTCGGCAATCATCAGTAATCTTATGATTATTTTTATATTAACCTTGTAAATGTATAAATGCAGGATTACTGATTGGATGTGCTAGAATTTTTTAAAAGCTAAAATTTATTTATATAGCTAAAGTTTATTTATACATGAAACTCAATTTTCGGATATCAAAATTCAGTGTCAACATTTTTTTAAATGATCTGATATTGTTAACTGATTCGTGCACTCCGTATCAATATGTTATGATTAACTGTCATTGTGTCATGATTAAAACTCATTAATTTAATAAATATTTGTACCTCTAAATTTAGCTAAAAGTATTATAACTATTCTTACTAATGAGTAAATCAAGCAAAACAATTTGAATATTATCAGTCTTTGAAATGCTTCTTTCTGGAAAATTTCTGTTCGGTCATTTATTTCTCGATCATTGTTCTCAGCATTGCTCCATAACTTCGAAAAATGTTATCAACTAATCGTTTTGTATTTTATAAAAATTTTCAATCAATCATTATGAGAAGGAGCTAAAAAAACAATTTAATTTTCCAGTTTGGAAGTATAAATTTTAAAACTCAAACAAATTCAAACAAAATCCATCGACTTTTCTCTAATCTGGGCATAAAATGTATTAATTTTGTTCATTTATTCTTAAATTTTTGAGTTGTTAAAAAATTTTTTGAAAATATGAAAATATTGAGATTAGTAATTAATTATTACTGATTCCTTCCTCATTATAGTTGTAAAAATACTGGAATAACTCATATGAATTCAATTATACTGAAAAATTTATTTTTTGTGAGAGAAAGAAATACTCCTTATACAAGCATTGTTAATTGTTTCATATTTCTTTCAACAAAAAAGATAAGAAGTGATAATGACGATGATAATGATGATGATGATGATATGTAGTGATATAAGAATAAGCAGAAATAAGTTTTACTTGAAACGAACGAAAATGTTGCAAGAACGAGCGAAATATAAGTCAATAACACATATGATACAAGTTATCAGCTTATCAGACAAATAATCAAAACAACAACATTATAAAAATGATAAAAATTTGATCTGATTTAGTTATTTTCAGTAAGAACATAAAAAATTTGTTAAGAAAAAAAAAATTTATAAAAATGGCAAAATGGAGTTCCAAACAAGGATAACCCGATGATTCCAAGGATAGCTAATTAAACGGAATATATCAGTTATACAAACAGCTAATTGTGCAGAGAACTTTTACTTATCTAAACTTCTTGTGTCTATTAATTTATCAAACAATTTCCAAAAAAAAAAAAAAAGAAAGTGAAAAATGTTCTCCGTAGAAAAACAGCAAAATATAGCGATGAAATTTTTCTTTTGAGAAAAAAAAAAGCAAAACTTCTTATAAACTAATTAGTCAAAGAAAAAGACTGAAGTTAGCATTTATACTACATGGAATCATCCTTATCTCTGAGGTAATTTAAACATTTTACAACAAAACAACGACAGACATTCTACATTTAATCGATTGCTAACTTAGCTTGATGGAAAATCATTTCGAATTCTCTCTATTATTAGAAAAGTTGAAACGAAATCAATTTAAGTAAATTTTAATTTCTGAATTTGCATACAGTTAGATAGTTCTTATTAACAGAATAGAATTAGAAAAAAAAAAAAAAAGGAAAATTAATGTAGAGAATTTCTAGAGATACGTTTGGTATATTTACTACCAATTGGTGTTGCATAATTGCTAACCAATAAATGAGCAATCTTGAATTCCATATTATTAATAGAGATACTATAAGATGCTGAATCATCAGCTTCTGTATCATGAATCACTAGATAATGCTTTAAGCCATTCACTACATGTTCAACTTTTCCATCATCTGTAAACTCAATTTGTTTACCATCTTTGCGCCATATCAATTCTTGCACCTCATCGGTATTTTCCAGTTCACAAGCAATTGTTGCTGTGCTACCCAGAGGTACCAAATATTCACGATAATCATCTTCTTCGGTGTCTGTTCCCAGTGCACTGATTGTCACTTCACGTTCGTCAATGCGTTCTGTTATTGGAGACAGATTAGATAAAAAGAAGAGTTAGTAAGATAGAAGAATCGATTTGAAAAAAAAAAAAAAAAAGCAGAAAAGCAAAAACAAAAAAAAAAATTAGCATGAAAATTGTTATGTTTGTGATTATAATAAAATTTTGTTAATGAAAATTATTTTTAAAAGACTCATTCATCGTATCATAAATTAATATAATACATTACCATGGAAAAATTTTCATTAAATTATAACTGCAAAAATTTTAATGCAATTTTAAATGCAAATCAACTATGCTTACCTTCAACAACTAGTGTAACTGTTGTGAAATGATCACCCAAAAATGCATAATATGTCCCCTGATCATCCAATTCAGACTTATCAATAATTAATCGATGAAATCCAAATTGATCCGCTTCTAATCGTATCCTTTCATTTTCAGTTATCCATTTTTTATTATCTTTACACCACTCAATTTTTTGATCTACACTATTTACTTGACAGGAAATAATTGATGGTTGTCCTTCCATTACAAATAATGTTTGTGGCGGACTTATAAAATGTACATTATCATCATTAAGTTTTTCAAATGATGCTGTATTAGCATTCTCTATAATAAGGTATGCAACAGGATAAATCATATCATTCACTCTAATGCTATAAATATCACCATCCATTAAATTTACATGTGAAATAACTAATACCTCTAATAGATCATGACTTATGCGATCCGTTTTACCGGGTATAATTTGCATTAAATTTTTACCCTTGAACCAATCAATGACACTTCCAGGAGCTAAGAAATTATTAAATTCGCATGTAATTGTAGCTGTTGATCCTTCTCTAACCACATAGCTTGGTATATTAAAATTTTGTCCACCGGTATTTCGATCACCAAATTCGCTCCAATCAAATGACTGCTGTGATAATGAGCAAACTGATTCATGAGAATGCAACGAACGTTTTTCAGTTTCATTTGATTCCGATACGGTTACATTTTGAATTACCGAATTTCTGGTTTCTGAGTCAGTTTTTGATCGAGTCATAATAGGTTGCATTACAATATACATAGATACTTCTCCCCAAGGAATCTCTTCCAGTGAAGCACGCGCAATGTCATGCATGCTTCGTGCAATAATGTTTACAAGAATACCGGTACGTTGTTCCTTATCTCCAGTAGCTTTGGATGAATGATGATAATGATCGTTATCACTTATCATACTTATTCGCTCTTCATCAGTTCCACTATCAATTAGATTTTCAATTTGATATGATAGAATACCTTCATATTGTTCACAGCGTTTTAGCGATAAATCCACTTCAACTGTATTTGGAAGCATCAAATCAAGACTAATCGAATCACTTATATGATCTAAAATATTCACCGTAATGTTTTGTACTTCATCTGGTTGTTCAACTAGAACATCAAAATCTTCACCAATAACCATATATGCTTCAGCCTTAGCACCTATCTCAGGTGATAAGATTGCTATCACTTTAAGCTTATTTGATGGCTTCTTATAGCGTACATTGATTGTAATTTCGTCTGATATTTGTTCAGCATCACTTTCACATATTACAATTACTCTTCGCTTGTAATTATCCAAATAGTTGACATCATCTTCGTCATATTTATTAAGCAAATTCTGAGTGATTCTATCATTCAATCCTGTTATCGTTGATTCTAATGTTGATGTTACTGTAATATCACTTTCTTCATCTTCAATATCATTGTTCAGTACATCTTTCATATCAATATTAGCAATCACTGTATTTGTGCTAACAGACATGAATGAATTTGCAAGTTTAGGATGTTCACTATCTTCCATTATTGTTGGCAGTAAATCAATGCCATCAATAATACTAGCATGAGGATTGCATATTATCATTAGATCATCTAATTCATCCAAAATTTCATCTTTATCATCAATTGATTCAATTTCATGCAAAGAATTTGCTTCATCCTCTAATGGATTTATTACAGTCGATTCGTGTGCTTTTGTATCCATGAAAATATGAGAATGTTGTGTTGGCTTCTGAATGCTCTCAAAAAGAGCATTTTCGGATGTACTACTTCTTAGATTATCGATTGATTTCGAATTTTCATTTGTATTTCGATCTAAACAAACTTGATATTTCGAAGTATTTTCATTATAGTTCTCATCTAATTTAAATGTTGTAGAAATCTTCTCATCTTCCAGCACAGTAAAGTTTTCGTCCAATTTTGCATCATTTTCAGTAATAGTTTCAGCTTTACTTATATTCATATCTGATAAATCTTCAAGTGTTTGCAAAAGTGTTCCGTCAAGTTCCTCTCCAGTCTTATCTGTTGACTCAAATAGCAATAATGAATGCATAACAGATTCGGGTGCATAGTCAGAATCTTCGCATAAAAGTTGTATGGAATTAGATTCATCAAATATTTCCAATAAAATGTGGTATGCTTCTTTAGATGGCCAAATATACGAACAATTATAAAAGCTGTTTTCTTTTCTGACAATTCCTTCATAATTGATAATTCTTTCATCAAATATTTGAGATTTCTGTTTAGGTATTGATACGCTTAAATCATTCATTAGCTTTAAACAATCACCGACGTAAAACTGCGACACTTCTTCATCCTCCGTTTGCATATTCACAGGCATTGGATGATAATTTGGCATATCAGAAGAGGATGATCGAATCAGAAAATTTTCATAATTATCACATGATTTTGAACGATGCTTCTTCACACGAAATGGCGGAATTGGTGGCGGTGATAATGGTGAACTAACTCCTTGCTGACTCATTTCTTTTGATTTTCGTGGAGGCCGAACAGGAATTGCTTCTTGAGTAGAATGACGTGAAAATGAATTAGCTTGTGGATCAATAGAATTTGATGAGAAAACTTCATCATCCTTGTTGATAGTTGATTCCGAAACAGCTGTCCATAATGGATCAATTTTTATCTCTTCTAAAGTCTTGTTTTTATCATCAAAAATTGCATTATCATATGTGGAAATTTGAGAATTTTCACTTTTTGATAATTGTTTGCCATATTTGTCAGATAAACTTAATAATTTGACAATAGCATTGATAACTTCTGATTCTTCACGTTTTACAAAATATAAATTAACCGAAGCATCTGTTTTAAAAAAGAAACCAGTCCTGGAATAAGGTGATAAATGATGAGTTGATCGTTTCGATGATTTCATTCCTTCTCTACTAACATTTAATCCTTTCTCAATAGATGATTTCTTCCCAAGTCTTTTTCGATACACTAATATTAGATCAGTCATTGAGGAAACATTATTGCGTACTTTATGCAATAAACCAACTGCAGCATCAATGCTTGTCTTTGAGATATTTCTTTGGCAGCAACGTTTGATAATACTTATTTCATTATTGATTTGCATCAGAATATTATGCACTTCATGTTGTTTAGTATCGGTATATACCGGGAAGATAGCTTCAGCTCCCGCAGTAGCAGCAGCAGCAGCAGTATCAGCATCATTTAATTCTTTCATACCTTCTTCGTCTTCTGCCTCCTCCTCAACTTCTCCAAGCATACATTCCAAACTTTGAAGTTGTTCCTTAATATTTGATGTCAATGGTGTCATCTTTCTAATCTCTTGCTTATTGATACTTCCAATTTGTTGCAATGCGCATAATGATACTCCACGAATTTCTCTCTCAATTGAACATTCTTCAATAGATTTGACATGCTCATCTTCAGCACTAAATGATTTTGAAAATCTGGAATGTACCTCCGGAATTGATCGTCTCATCGATGACTCATTGAATTCTAATTCTTCTCTCTTCAATGTTTCTTCCAAATCTGTCAACTTTTCTCGCAATAATACAACTGGTCTTTTATAAGCAGCCATTGTTTTAGTAATACTATTCTGTCCAATATTTTTGATAATATTTTCAAGTATCGTTTTTAGAAGTTCTTCGCTTGCTTCTGCTTGAGCTTCTGTTACAGATTGCTGATGTTCGATTCGTTCCGATATATCATATATCGCACGCTCAATTTGAAGTACTTCCTCGTTATCTTCTGTTTTCATTTCAATTTCATTCTCAATTTCTCTACAAACTTCATCAATTACTTTAATCTTTGACAATAACTCGTTGGTAGCAGGACTATGAGTTGAAAGTGATTCTTTTCCGGTAATTTTTGAAGTTGAGCCATCAACAACTTCCGGATTGACAGTGGAAAATTTTGTATGATCATCTTCCAATACACAATGATTACACTCACTTATAGGCATAGGTAATGATGTGGAGTAACTTTCATTATGTTGTAATCTAGGATTAGTTGAAGCAGTGAAGACATCAAATTCTTCGCTGGCATCAAAAGTTGCAGCAGCATCTGTGCTTTCTATCGAACTTGTAAAATACAATGGATAGGTTTCTGTAGTAAGATGAGAATGTAATTGTATGTTGTCCAATGTATTGAGACTATTGCAAGTATCTAACTTAGTATAATCTCCTTTACTTTCACAATTGCTAAGATTTTGTCTCGAATTGTCATCTGAATTGTAACCAACTTCACATGTTAATGATCTAGTTACCATTGGCTCAATGCTTTCTTTGCTAAGCACCATATTTTTGAAATTTGGATTTGAATTTAAGCAAGACGATAACATGACATTCTCTACAAGATGACTGTTTGCTGAAGTTAATTCGGCTATCGGTAAATCCTGAACTGCTTCAACATAATCTAATTTGTGGCAAAATGAATAATTTAAATAGTCGTCACTAGCAAAATCCTTAAACGGGTCATTCTCCATCTGATCACTTGTCGTATCCAATTTATTGATATCATTTTGCTTGTAAATGTTCGTATCGGTAGAAATCGTAGGTACTGCAGAGTCAAAATCAAACAGTTCATCTACATATCGTTGAATTGTAGCTAAAGTTTTGGTACTGATTCCGGGATACGTTTCAGATGCTTCAGATGTATGTCGAAATAATTCATGCTTGAACTGATTGTTGTCATCATTGAGTGAAATATCATCATCATCATCTTTTTCCTTTTTACAAGTGATTTTTTCAGGGATTATCGGAATTCCGGATTCTTTCTCTTCTTCATCTTTGGAGCGAATATTTCCCTCATTTATTGCAACTTTCAACTCATTGACACTTTCTTTCATTTGAAGTAAATTTGTTGCATCGTTTTCTTCAACAGTATCAGCTAGCATTTGCACTGCAATATTTTCCATAAGTTCATTTCTGCCACAGATATTCTCGGTAGAATTTTTAATAGACATTTCCAATCGCAGTTTTTGTGATCGACAAAATTCAATATCCCATGTAAATGCATTTTCAGATTTTTTAAGCAATAAAATTTCTTCCCATGGTTGATAAATTGCAAAGTAAACATTTTCAAATGTTAATTTTCTCACTGATAACAGTAAATAAGCTTCCTCAGTTTGTTGCGATAGAAAATTTTGAATGATAAAATCATTCGCTTGATGTGATAATTTCAAATGCAATGCAACAGTTGCGCAATTAATTAATGCCCAAATAAAATCACACTTCATTGCAGCATCTGGCAAAAAAACAGAAATATTAAAACTTCGCTCCTCTGATGCCAAATTTGTAAGCAATCCTTTCTGTGGCGCAATATAACGTGTCACAATTACCGCTGTCTCAGCACTTACTGGTTCATTTCGAGCAAACTCATAATTAACTATAAGAAATTGTTTCCGATGATTACTATTCATCTCTACTAAACTATTACAACTATCACTACGATTCTGATACACTATCCCATCAATATTACTAGATGAACTAATATTATCCACAAATGCGCAATTGTCGTTCTTGTTGTTGTTATTCCTGCCATTGTTGCTGTATGCTATATTTTCAATTATGGACTGTTGCTGGTATTTCAAAACATCAGCTTCAGCTAAAAACATAATACCATAAAGTTATTTTTAGCAAAAAAAAGAAGAAAAAAAATTAATATGGTTAGAAAGCAATAAAAATATCTGTTTTCCTTTCTAAAAAAAAAACAGATTTATTAACATGCTTGGTTAGAAAAAAAAATTGTTTATAAGCGCAATAGTAATACTTAATGGATGAGTAAGTAGAAAATTTTCATTGTCATCTAAAATTACAATTTATTTTTTTATTTTACTATATAAATTCAATACTATAAAATGATGCAAAATTAAGAATGTTATCATCCAAAAAAAAAGTATTACTATTGTTGATGATTGGTTTCAATTATAATTGGATAGATAAGAAAATGTGAGCAGAAATGCCGCGTGAAAGACACGAGACTTAAACGTAACAAATGAAGAAATAAAGCAAAAAAAAAAAAAAAGTATAAAAGGATAACTAGTCATTGGTAATTAAAATTGCTCTAAAATAAGGAAAAGCATGAAAGAGTGTAAAAAAAAAAAAAGATAAAATGAAAATTTTCATTTTTAAAAATTAACATGAATTCCAGAATCTATTTTAAGAAGAGTCATAATTAATGATTAGAGATTTTGATTGATGATTTCTTGAATAGTTCTGAAGAGAATGATTGAAAAAGATAAGATAAAATGGAGAATAGAATACGATGCAATTATCAATGCTTGTAATAAAGTTGTTGCCCATACTTTGGGTAGCAAAATTCATAGATATTTAAAAAGAACGACAAAAAGAAATTACTCTAACGTAATTTTCACTTCATACCATCACTTATAACGTTTAAATCTTGTACTTTGTAACAGCACATCTGCTGATCAAATTATTATCAATTATCATCGAGTAATTTTTTTTTAAATAAATTATTTCAAAAATACGAAATTATTTCCAGTTTTTAAATTACTGTACTTCAAAAAATATATAACCATTTTCACTTCCTTAATTTAAATATTTCTAATCTAACTAAAAAGTTTTCATTTAAAATTAAAAAAAAAAAATTTTTTTTCTTCTAAAATAGATAAAAATGGAACTGTTCGGTTGATGCCTAAAAAATAAACTAACTGATAGTTTGTAAGAAGCATTTTGTGATCGCTTGACCAGCATCATTGGTTGCTTCACAGGTATATTCACCTTCATCTTCAATCGCAACTTCTCGAATTTTCAGAATGCAAACACCGTCTTCATAGATAATTTGATAAATGCTTAAAGAACATAAAATATAAAAATACATTGTCGGCACGAATAACAAATATCTGAGAAATGACAGAGAAATATTTAAATTAGTGAACAAATTTAGAAAAATTTAACTTAGTTTTTTACTCATTATATGAAGAGCAATAATGGCAAAATTGAAGCATAATGGATATTTCATATTAAAATTTCAAATAAACGAAAATGCTTACAATAATAAAATTGAGATAGTCAAAAAATACTAAGCCTAAAGCCAACTTATAGAAAATAAACAGATGCTAATCTATGAATATACTTTTATAAGATTATATTTCATAGCTAATATATGCTTACATTGATACAATGCAAAAATGATCTACAATAGATTTCATTTATTTCATAAAATGATCTAAAATACAAATTTCATTTATTTCATAAAATGATCTAAAACACAAATTCCATTTAATTCAATAGCAATTTCGCGAATTATTTGAAATGATGCAAAAGAGGAAGCACTCACCCGGAATTATGGATGACGTCGCCATCTACATACCATCGTATCACTGGTGCTGGTGTACCACTAACAATACATTTGAATTGATGGCATTGTCCAACTATTGCTGTTGTATTTTCCAATGTTTTGATAAATTTTGGTACTTGAAATAATCCTTTAAAAAAAAATAATTTAAAAAGTTTTTTTTTAATCTTGCATATCTCAATTGTATTATTAGAACAAACAAATTTTTCCTATTATTTAGTTGATTCTGAAAAAAAAAAAAAAAAAAAAAAAAAAACATTAAATGGCTTATTAATAAATTAAGAAACATAAATTATTATAATTTAAAATATTTGAATTATCTAAGACAACAATGATAATAATAATAATAACAGTGATAGTAAGAAAGAAAATTATATCAACCTGTGGATGATGATTCGGACCATGAAATAGATGATGGTTCCAAAGGTTGTAAAGGTTGAGTTACATCCGTAATATCATGAACCGTTGGCGGTAGACTAACTGATGCTATCAGTTCAATCATCTTAATATTTAAAAATATGTAAAAATATGAATTTTTCTTTTTTCTTATTATAATAAAATTTGTTTGTTTCATTTATTATTGGCTAACTTATCAGATGTTTATCATTATCAGAATATAAGCAATCTTATTATGTAATGTTTTCCGGTTCAACATAAATTATTATTATTGAATTAAAATAAGAATTACCCTTTGTACAATTCTCAATCTTACTGTTTTTTCCTTCTATTTTTGTCGGGATAAGGAAACAGTTTAATTAAAAAAAAAATCAAATATTATGAGTTTTAGCTAGTTAAAGAAGAAATATCGTTTTTTATGATTTAACTTTTTCCTATAATTGAGATTAACAAAAAAAAAAAAAAGAAGTGTCACCTGATTTGGACATGTAGCATTAACTTCCACAAAAACAGCTATAACATTTGCTTCAGTTTCCTCAGATTTTTCATATTTCTTTTCATATGACCAAATACTTTCCTTAAATTTTAAAAATTTTTGATAAAATTGTTATTAATAAAAATTATTAGAAATTAAAACCATTTCATCAGATATTTGACATGCATACATACACACCTGCTTTGAATGAAATCCAGGAGCAGTAAGCATAGCAACATTTAAAGTTGCTTCATCTTCCACAAAACTTTCATATTCGATGACAAGCGCTTGATGTGCCACATCTCCTTTCTTGGTGAATGTTACAAAAACGCTGGTAAGCTAAAATTAATCAATTTATAAGAAAATATTTTAATAAATATGTCAGGAAATTTTCTGAAAACATTTAATATTATAGTACTAATGAGCACCGTAATATAAAATACTTCAAAAATTAAATAATTATAAGTTAATCAAAAAATCTGTAAAATAAGTAAGATAATCAAAAAATTTAAAAGACACACACACACAAACACAAAAAAAATAACGATCAATATTGTCATTTATAAATTGAATTATGATTTTGAAGTTTCTAAAAAATTAATGTTTAAAATTTATTAACCTTAAGCTTGCTAGCTGCAGCAGCAATAGCAAGTAATTCCGGAACCATTCTCCTCGTATCGACAACTGTTGTTACATACTCACCGATCTCTTCCGGTTTATATACTTTAATAGTTGCATGCGCTACTGTTATATCATCTTCTGTTGTTTCTTTAGAAATCTGAAGTATAAAAGAAATGATATACAATTTGAGCTGTTAAATTAACAAAAACTGTAAAGTAAAACTACCCTTAAATTACAGTAAAATTAAATAATAGATAATTCACTAATGATAAAATTTCCATTATCACTAATTGGCAGCTAGCTTAAAAAAAAAAGTAAATTGAAAAAACTTTTTTAATTACTTCTTTATTTTCATTTATTTACATGAATTAAGACTGAGCAATAGAAACCTTTTTCAAGTTCCATGTAATAGCTTCACTGAATTTTTGGAATGAACTTTGAAGTATAACAATTCTTTGTTCAGCTGTAGCATTCTTTCTTGGATATTCAATAAATATTGATTCTGCATGCAATGATTCCGATTTTTGTTGCAAGTGAAAATCGGAAGTTACAAGATTTTTTACAAGTATCGGTGCAATCAAATGTATGCTAAGATTTTCCTGTTCCGATTCAATAATTTTTATGAAATGATCAAATATGGCATCCGGACATCTTACGTCAACGTTTGCTTCCGCATATGCTTCACGGAACTTTTCCTGTATTTATTGCAATTATAGTTGATATAATATTATTTTAAATTAAATCATAAAAAAAATTTTTTAAATCTCTATAATTTAGGTAAAAGAATAAAACAACAAAACAAAATTCCAGCATACTAATTATTTGCTGAAATGTTTTAGGAAAATTTATTGAAAGAATAGAATTTAGAAACCTCTGTAGCCATAATGGTACTGATAAGTTCATTGACAATTTCAATTCTTTTAAGATCAATTGTACTAACAGCTTGAACTTTCTCTTTGCTTACATAAGCCTAGAATAATTACAACTTATGGTAATTAAAGAAGTAGATTACAGAAGTAGTTACAATTAATATAAGCAATGAGATACTAATACTCTGCAATTCGAAACATTGTATATAAGATTTAAACGATAAAATTTGTTATAATAGCAATAATAAAGTAATTTATTAGTTTACTGAAACAGTTTACTCACTAATATGTTCAAATGTAAGCTCGTTTATCTATACAATATGTGGAAGCATCTATTTCATTCAATATTCAACAAGCCTAGTTTTTAAAATTCTAATTCAATTCCAATTTTAATTACCACTTTCAATCTAATTCTAGAAAATTTTGTACTGATAACCTTGTCATCGTATAAGCAGGTAATTTCATGAAGAGCTCGTTGTGATGGCTTCTCGAACACAACTGTTGTTATGGCATTAACCACTGATTGATGTTGTTTCAGGACACGTTGATCACCAATCAAAAGTATATCATTAGTTTGAATTACTTCTTCTGCTCTCGTAGATTGCGGTTCACGTCGACATATGGTAACGCTTTCATCTGTTGATCGTAAAATACGTGCATCATGCTTGAAAACTGACGGTGTACGTTCAACATTTACGTTTAGCATTACTTCCGTTACTTCTTGCTCTCTTTCAATCATTTTTTGCATCGATTCACGTGTTATGATTACGGAATCATCGTGAATTTTACTGGTTGATGCAAGACACGAATAACCCAATGCAAAAGTTTCTGGCTGAATAGTGGAGAAATAATGATCGTAGCATTCGGCAGCGTGAGTGACATGAACATTTGAAGATACTTCCGTTTCAGTTTCTGTTAAAGTGTAAATCAGCGGAGAACGAATCATTTTATGCGTGGATTCGGACCAATCTGTAACATTTCAATCGATAACACAAAGTCAAGTTCAACTCCTACTGATCGACCGAAAATTATTTGAATTTCGAATTTAATTCTAGTATTGGAAAACACTATTTCCATAGTTTATAAGACAAAAATGTACCAATGGCGGTATCAGTCACGCGTAAATTGCATGGCAAAACCGTTTTTCCGTAATCGTTTTCCGCATGACAATAATAAGTGCCTTCATGTTTCTTTTGCACATTTTTAATTGTTAATATAGCTTGCTGATTCACATATTTCACTTCGATTTGTCTGTAAGAAAGATTTCTATAAATTATAATAACTGAGAACGACGGAAAAAATATGAAGTTCTGCGGTGGCGGAGATAAAATCCTTCAATTCATTCTCTTGCATCAGAATTAACCTTTCAAATGAATTCAGCATTTGTTTTTGTTTTTTTTTTTTTTTTTTTTAAAGAAACAGTAACTAAATTTAGATCTATATCATTAAATATTTGAATTTAAAAGCTATATGGTATAATTAAACCTATATTATTGGTAAGTACTTGAATTTCTTGAATTTAAAGACTATTGAATATATTAATTCAGACTAAATACATGAATTTAAAAATTTTGAAAATATTTGACATATTAATTTAGATTTATAGTAATTACTAAATTTCAAAGATAGTTAGATGGATAACATAAAAAAAGATGAAATCGAATTAAATATTATAAAATTGAATTAACATACATATATATATGTATGAAATGAATTTTCAACTTACTCAGATTGTTCAAGTTTTTGCTCACCAAAATACCATTCAACATTTGGCTGAGGATATCCACTAATATCAGTATGCAACACGACAGCATCACCAATATCAACTGTATAACATTCGATATTTGTTTCAAATCTATAAATTATACGATATATTAATGCCCTCTCTCTCCTTATTTTAATTCTAAAACATATTATAAATGTCATTTTAAATATGCTAATTATAAGCATATTTTGTCTCGAAAATTTAGTACCACAAAACTCTGAAATATTAAAAACAAAAATATAAATGAAATTAAAAAAAAAAAAAAAGAAAAAACCCTTGTTTCTAATGTTATGTTTCTAACATAAATCCTTTATAAAATGTTCCCTACTTCATATTAATTCTCCCTTTCTTTGTTTACATTATGACTGTGACTATCTTAGAGCCAAACAAAGAATTTATTATCATTCCCAGTTCGTCGCACTAAAACAGTTGGCATAACTAAAAAAGGTTCTCCTCCATTTAATACCTCAATCTTCACAAATTTTAAAATGAAATACTATATTCCTGTGTTACTCTCCACATATTTTCATCTATATCAAACAAATCTGTCGGAGATCAACAAACCCCTTTCCCAAATAATATTTATTTCCACTGTAACAAACCTTGGTGGACATGGCTGTTGTTCACTGATTGATTCAAATTCTTCCTCTTCACTAGATTCAATTGCTACTACATTCATTCGTCTCAGTGCTACATTTATCGCTTCATCGATTATTACTTTAGCGACTAATTTACTTGCAACAATTTCGGCAACTTTTACCAATAGCTTATATTCAGCTAAAATTAATTCTTTTTTTAAATTATTTTATAGGAAGTAATATAATTGAATCTAAAAACATTAAAAAATGAGTAATTTAAACCTTCAGTTTTTCGTAGTTCCGCCGTATGACTATATACCTCTTGACTACCGCTTACTTCAGGCTCTACTGATACTTTAACCGTTGTATCGGTGTATCTCTGAAAAAAATTTAGTTTAAATTTTAAGACAATACTTTTAAACAGAACTTTCATGGAATATTCAAGTCAAACTAAATTATTTTTTTAAGTTTCCTATTTATCTCCTTTAAATTTTCATTTTTTAAAATTCGTTTCTTTATAAGCTTATTTACAATTCATCATTGAGCACTTTTCCTCCATAAATGATTACAATTATTCTAAACAATTAAAAGTTATATATTACATACCTTCTTCACATAGCCAATATTATCCTGCAATCCAATTACTTCACTATCATTTTCTTCAACCAATATCTCCTCACTTATCTCTCGAGTTTTAACTAAAGGTCGAATAAACATGCTTGTTTCTGAGCTACCATATGTATTTTCAGCACGGCATGTATATGAGCCTAGAATAGAAAAGTTTTTATATTAGCTTCACAATATGCCATATTTTTTAAAGCAAAATTCTATTGTCTTATGATATAGGAAAGTAATGGGAAATTATTATCAATGTTATCTTTTTTTTAATACTTAAATAAATTTCCATACTTAATAAAATAAAATTAATAAATAAATGCACAAAAAAAAGAACAATATTTTGTAGTATCAATTAATTTATTTATGAAATTTATTTATTTATTTATTAATAAAATTACAACACCAATGGATTTATCATATTTATTTTGTCATTCATCTATTTTATAATCAGTTTTCTCTTCATTTCCATGTTTACTACTTATTTCTATCGTTGATTAATCATTCATTTAATCATATCAGATAGATTATACCTTCATCCCATTTGTCAACATTGCATATTGTAAGCGTATACGTATTATCAGATAATTTCTGCATGCGATACTTGTAAGTTTGATAGAGACGTTGTCCATCCTTAAACCACGATATCACTACTGGTGTTTCACTTATCACCTTGCAACTCACAATCATATCATCCTCATACTGTTTCGATATTACATTACTGAATCGTGGCTTTGATACTCCTCGATGAATCACTTCTTGAATTTCACTTCTCTAAATAAATTAGACAGTTGAAAAATTGAGCTAAATTAAATTATTACTAATATAATAATTAATTATAATATGACCAGCGTAAAAATTATTTATATAACAATTCTATTAGAGTGAGAAATTTATTGAAGAAAAAATTAAATTTGCATAATATTGATAAATTTTTTTATGACTTTTTTAATTGAGAACTGAAATTTCTACCGTTTCTGTTGTTGTCGTTTCTACTGTTTCTCTCCCTGAAATAATATTTTTTTATTGAAATATAAAATATAACTAAAGAATTTCAAATTAAAATTTAAATAATACAATTATAAAACTCATACAATTAATTCATTCTTTTTCCCGCAACATTTTATCATAAAAGAGGTTATTCCACTGTACAAAATTACTCGTTTTCTGCTTACTTTCAACGTGAATATAAGCTGAAGTATTTGTGGATCCATGGATATTACGTGCTGTTAACTGGTATAAACCAGCATCTTCCGGTTCACAGTGCGGATTAATTAATTCATGTCTGCCATCCGGATATTGAAGAGTGATGAGTTCTTTTTCTACCATTCCATCATCAACACGAATTCCATCTTTGGTCCAGAATACTTCCGGTCGTGGCAAACCATCAACACGACAACGTAATTCCAGTGATTCACCTACACATTTATATGCATGAAATTTGTGAAAAATAATTCAAATATTTTATAAATTAATGAGTATGAGAAGATGGAAAATTTAATTTCAATTTTTTAAGTCAGATTAAAAATTGATCATATTACAGAAAGTATTAATGTTAACTTCATAATTTCTAATACATTACATTGGAGGATTAAATGATGTTTGCCTTATAGTAGCACTTCCTGATGTATCACAATAATATAAAAAATGAAAAAATCTGATCAATTACCTACCTGCTCGAAAAACGAAAGGTCGTAAAGGTAAAACAATTCGTGGTGGTCGTTCAGCTGGTATAGTTTCTATTTCCGAAATAAATTCATATGATTTTTCACGTACTGAAAGGCAATACAAAATACTCTTATGATGATTCCAATGGAAGAATTTAAATTTCACTTTTGACTGATGAACTACTCTTTATTTTCCTTCTAAAAATTTCTGAAAAAATTTTAAAATGGAAAGAAAGAAGTAATTCCTTTTCATGAATAAAGGTAAGATAATTAAAATAATTATTATAATAATTACGATTAAAACTCCAAACATTTAGAATAGCGTGCATCTCTTCTTAAATTACTATATTTTTAGATGAAATCATTGTAACTACTCCTATGTTAATAAAATACTATAATATACTGTAAATAAAATGATTATAGCTATATTGTAATACTTTTTTAGTCAAAACTTTTAGGTAAATAATGAAAAAAAAAATCGGTTGCACGAGAGTAATAAACGTTAGCTTCAAATATTAATAGAATTAATTAAGCATATATCTATTACTAAGTTTTTAATTTAAATCCGAAGACTACTAACATGGATGAACGATGATTTTAGCTGTTGACCTTGCAGTACCATATTTGTTACTCGCTACAACTGATAATTCACCAGAATGTTTTGATAACATCGATTTGATGTAAATAGTAGATTCATAAAATGTAGATTCAATATGAAATCCCGGAATTGTACGGATATCACGTCCGTTAAGAGTCCAGAAAAATTCACACGGACTAGATTCCACATTAATAGCTACATGTGCGGTAAATTCATCATTTTGTTGTAAATCTTTATCGGCTAAGATGATAGTATAACGTGGTGAGGATGGTTGTGTATCATTCACTTCTGCTAATGAACTTTCCACTGAAGTAGCACTGCTAGCAGTGAAAGATGTCGTTGGTGACGGTGGCCTTACTGTCGTCTCAGACCATACAGCTCCGTAAGTATTGGAGACTTCAACCGCATAATCGACATCACATACGGTTTGTTTACGTACAACTAATGTACTGTTTTCTAAATCATTAATCATTTGATGTTCGACACTATTTGACAAAAGACTACCATCTGCAAACCAACGGAATGTAATCGGTTGCTCACCATGTACCGATACAGAAAGACGGAATTCTTGTTCATCAGGATATAACTGTGTTTCACCTGGTAGTGCTTTTATAAAGACAGGAATTTTAGGAATAACTGGTCTTACGATTGGTTGAATTGGGGCAATTTGCGCCTCTTCTGCGTAATCAACAATTACTTTCCCAGAGCATGAATCTTGACCTAATAAATTTGTAGCTACCACTTCGTATCGTCCACTTATCGGATTATGGAATGTAGCTTGTGAAATATTTACTCCGAGGCGTTCAACAGTAACCGTTTGACTTGGTCTTACTTCGAAATTATTTAACATCCAGCGGAATTCCGCTTCCGGTATTGCATCTGCAGTAACACGTAACATGAGCGGTTCATTATTGGCAATTTTGAGAATTGGAGCGAAAGCTTCCACAATTCGAGGAGCTTTGGGTAAATCATCTCGTGTTCCTTTATGAGATCTTTTTACAAGCTGATATTTTGATTCTAGCTTCTCCGGCACTGATCGAATCACGGAAACAGTAGACTCAGTTATCCATTCTTCAGTAACTTCAGTAATCACACGGGTTGTACTGCTACAGGAACCATGAATATTGGAAGCAACCATTTTATAAGTACCACTAATTGGTTTCAAAAATGTAGCCCGACTTTCGTTCACTGCTGGACTTTCAAGAATGATTGATGATGATGGTCGTACTTCAAAGTTATTCTGATACCATTTGAATTGAGATGGTGGTGATGATTCAACTTTAGATTCTAACACAAGCTTTTCACCTGCTTTTAGACGAATTTCCGGCTTCGGTTGCTTTAAAATGAATGGATATTTTGGAATTGGTTCCGGAACACGAGGTACTGGAATACGGAATGTTTTCTTTTCGATATCAATTTCATTTTGTAATTTTGTTTTTGTGGATGATACATTATCATTTATGATTTCATATCCGTTTTCCATACCATTAACTTTCTCGTATTTCTGTTCCGTAAATGTTGTTGTATCTAACATTGGTTCAGTAAATTTCGATGGTAACAATAATGCCTGCGGTGTTTCATAAATAATTTTCGAAATGCCACTTGTCACTTCTTCGTATCGTTTTTCTGTGTAAGGTGATGCATGTGATATTTCGGAAACATTTACTCTCTCTAACGGTTCATGAATGATAGGTGTTATTGGTTTTGGTAGTAATTGTGGTGGAATTTTTGATGTTTCATAATTAATTGTACTTCTTCCATCAATAATTTCTTCATTTTGACGTACGTTATACGTAGATGAATGAAATGATTGACGTGAAGCAAACGCTTCATCACGTGGTGTTGGTGTTGGTGTTTCATAACCTTCTGTAGCTGCTCGAACTGTCTCCACATATTTAACAGTTTCAAATGAATCAGCTGATTTGCTCGATCGTTGTTGTTCATCGATCAATTCCCAACCATCAACTAATCCAGTGGTAGTAATAGTAGCAGCAATCGGTTGTTTATTCAATTCCAAATGATATGATTGTTCTTTAGTCATCTTTTCATCTTCTCTGTTCACATCATAATGAACTCGTGTACTTTGATTACTCATACCATATTCATTCATTATTGTCACATTATAACGTCCATAGCGAATTGGTGATCGAACGGTAAGCGTTGAATGATCATTTTCATTAACTATTGTAACTTTTTTTGAATCTTTTAATTCAAATCCATTTACATTCCATTTCACATCTGCTCTTGGAATTGCTTTAAAATCAACATTGAGCACCAAATCATCATCTGAACCAATTGCAATTTCAACTGGTAATTTACTAGTAAAAATTGGTTTTTGTGGTAGCAAATGTTGTGTTGTTTCACTGTAACGTCGACGTTTTATAGGCTGTAGTAGTTGCTCTTCTTTTGTTTCAACAAATTCTTTTAATGATAAGTATTGTTGTTCACGATGTTGCTCTTCCTTCCTTTGTTGTTGTTGTTGTTGTTGTTGTTGTTGTTGCAATTGTTCTGAGTCTAAAAAATTTGATTTTGCAAGAAAGCAAAAAAACTAAACAAACAAACAAAAAGAAAAAGAAATATAACACAAAAGAAAACAAAATAACAAATCAAAAGCAGAATGAAAATTTGATTTAAAAAAATTTACAAATTATTTATTTCAAAAAACATATTTTTCAAAAAAAAAAAAAGAAAAAGAAAAACGCAATTTTAAATAAAATAAAATAAGCAATTCATTTTTTTCATTTTGTTCAGTTAAACACTGCATGCAAATTTTGTTAACAGAAAAGATGCACATCATTTTGATTGGAAGAAAAATTCAAACATTCACCAAAGAATTCTTATAAATGAACAAAAAAAAATATTTTATTACCTATAATGAAATAAATCATAAAGTTTTCGTTCTATACAAATACTTACTAAGTATAAAATAATTCATTTTTTTAATTTTACTAATTTAATTTAACTCATATAAAACTAGTTCATAATTTACGAACATTCAAAAATAATAAATTTTTAGTGCATAGATGATAAATGATTTGAAAAGTTCTTTTTCATTTGCATCAATTTTAAATCAAAAATAAAAGATTAACTATTTGGTCACTATTGAAAGAAGAATTTGCAATTATGAATATTATTCACAATTTTTTCGTAAACTATTCATCCTCAACACTTTATCCCTCAATCAATCTTTGCTATCATTGAACAAAAAACAGAAAAAAAAGAAAAAAATGTTTGATGAATAAAATTTTCGAAAATAATATTACAACATTTTTATTAAAATCATAAAGCCATTATGTTTGAGAATTTGTTCCTTTTATGTTTATAATATTTCATACTTTAAATAAACTTTAAGTGTCTTCTTCATTCATTAAAATTTGTTAATTATGAATAACTGCTGAAGATATTTCATCAAATTGTATAAGATAACAATTTGCTACCAGTAAAATAAATTTTCTATGATTTTTTGCTAATGATATTAATTTTATTTAAATGTTAACACAAAAACGAACCATCTTTTCGCTTTCGAATGATTTCCGTTGTTTTCTTAATTTCATATGGATAATCAATTTGTCGAGGTAAGCTTGTCGAGCGTTGATAATAGCTACTTTCTTCATAATAATCAATTATTCTACTTACTGAAGATGCTCGTCCTCGACCTTGTAACAATGGTATATCACCTATAAACACTCATAAGTTTGAAATGATAATTTAAAAATGAAACTTTCATTAATCAAAATAGCCTCGAAAAAACAAAACTTTTGAAATGAAAATAGTAAATTATAAAATGCTTACGATGCTCAGATTCGGCATACGATGAATGATGATAGATATGATCATTTGGTAGAGGTGGTAATTGTGTTTGATGATGCATAACTTCTATAAATAAGTATTATGAGTTTCGTTATGTCAATATTTAAAAGAAAGTAAAAAAGTTTTTTTTTTTTTTTTCTTATTGTTTACTTTAAATTTATAATCGTATTCAAGAATGAAATAATATCTAATTTATATTTTTTTTTTAAGTCAAATAGATTAGCAAGAATATAATAATTACCATTTTTGATATCAATATATCCGATGCTGTGCTCTTTACCGGCTCTATTTTCCGCAATTACTTTGTATTCACCCTTTTGAGGAATTGGAAATCGAGCAATACAACGATTAGCTACCGGATAATAAACTTCGATCTGTCCCACCGTATCACGAAACTGGACACCGTTCACGTACCAAGTAAATCTGAAATAGTAAATAGGTCATATTTCTGACCATAAATAAAATCCTAATCTCTTTTGATTTATTTATTTTGATTTATTTGATAGTAATATTGCAGTCCTAACGAAAAACATTAAAAAAGAAACAAAAAACAGCACAAGCACTTTTCCCAACACTGTTACCATCTCATTATTTGCCTTAAAATTTATGTTAAAAATCATTTAAAAATAAAATCATAGCATTTGAAAAAAAAAAAAAAATGACATCATTTCACTGATAAAAAAAATTACTTGTAGTTTAGAAAAATTTTTATTTGAATTATATCGTTTCTGAATCAATAATGAACATTACTCTTTCTACATTCCAACAAAAAATGTTACTTGTTTGAGCATTTCACATTTCAATATTTGAACTTAAATTTTTATCAAAAAAGAGGATAGTCAAAAATTTTTCAAAAATGTAAAATACTTGTTATGAGAAATAAATGCTAATTCTGGGAATTATATTATACTATTAATATAAATATTAAACATATACTTGACGTATTCGCGTAAAGATTAAAGAAAAGTTTTAAATATCATTTTTTTTTTTATTTTTTTCGGTTCAATTTTTTCATTTTTTTTTTTTGACTTGCACATTATGTATTCATCAAATAAGTGCACTTAATGTATATGCATAATTTTGACGTGTGAATTTCACGTGTAAACTTAAAATGAAGAAATAAGTTTTACTTGGCTGGTGGCGATGCTTCCACTTCAACATCAATAAGTGCTTCAGTACCAGGTCGTAATGTTAAATTTGGTATTTGTTGGATAAATTTGGGTGGAATATCAGTCGATGTTTCTAAAATAATAATTTGATTTGAAAAAATATGTTATATAAAATAAAATTTAATTATAAAATAATTTAAACCATTTTCTTTTTAAATAAATAATTCTTCACCATCCTCAATTATCACTAAAAAATGATTGGTAAATTTACGGATGTTTTCTTTATCGATAATTTCCATATTCATTTCTTCATTAACTTCATGTGTTTGCTCTAACCATGTTTTGTATGATGGTGGAGCTGAAAAAGTATTTCAATAGAAATGAAAATAAAAATTCTAAAATAATAATTTGATTAAAAAAAAAACATATTTATTTGATTAAAAAAAATGGAATTTGATTTGCGATATTTTTCCATTTTCTAATAATATAATTAGAAATTAATTTGCATTTATGAAAAAGATAAAATTTTATCAATTATTAAAACATTAATATCAAAAATAATATTTTAAATTTTAACTTGCATATAGCAGTTTAACAACAAATTTGTTTAATAAATGAAATTTCAAATTAAAAAAAAAAAAAACTAGAAAAGAGTGGTACCATTGACAGTAACATAGCCATATGTAGTGGATATGCCAACCGGATTCCGTGCAGTACATTTATACACACCCTGTTCCGGGCCCTCAACGGTCAGAGTGGTAATGTTAATTCCATGACGTGCCTAAAATATCATTTGTTTACTTTAACAAACTTTATTTTATACAATTTTTTCCTTAATGAAATTTTATATTATAGCCTTCAGAATTATAAAAAAATTACTATTTCCTTAAAAACAATCAAACCTTAAATTTGCGCCGATTTTGTTGTATTGGTCTATCATTACAAAACCATTCAAAAATTGCTGGTGGATCACTTTGTACTTCAACAACAAGTGTTAATGTATCAGTGGCTAATACTCGAAATGCTTTAATTACCTGGAAAGAGAAATAATAAGGTAAGGATAAAGTGAAAGTTATAATTAATGTTAAATTTTAATAGAATACATTCATAGAGCACTAATCTTTTAGCAAGAAGTGAATGAAAATTATTTTTACACCTTTAAATTTTTATATCAAACTCATATCACAACATATTAAATATATTCTTATAAATGATAAAATAAAAAAATACACAAATAATCTAACTAATTTAGCAAATTGCTAATTACCTGTGAGAATGTAGAGTTTGTTAATTGAAAAAATAATTAGCATATACCTGTATAAATTTAGGTGGTTCAGGCATTACATATGATTTAATTTCCGATGACCAATGCTCTTCGGCAAAATCTCTGGTAGTTCTACCTGAACTTTCCAGAACATGTATCTCTTCAATAGTTCCTGCGTTTTTATGATAAACTTTTTCACGATCTAAAATTATATTAATCAAAAACGATCAACTATTTTATGAATGCTATTTTATCTTATTCAAACTTAATTAATTACCTGAATAAAAGGTATGAAATAGCTAGGTTATTCGACGAACTTATTCGATAAATTATTTATTCAGATCGTTGAGATTTATTTCAACGTACATTAATTGGTTCTCAAAAATGCAAAAAGGGAAAAAACTATAAATAAGACTAGAATGCAGTAAATTTTCATAAAATATAAATTTTATAATTGAATGTGTAAAATAAACAAAGACTAAATGAACTAAAACATTGGTTCAATTATTAATTTAAAAAATTTAACAGTTTTTTTTTTTGAAGAATTTATGCAAATTTCCAAAAATCATTCTCATTTTTACTTTCATCAATCATTCATTTTTTATTTAAAAAAAATATCAATATTTCGTTAAAAAAAGACAAAAATGAAATGTAGAAAATTTTGAATTTATTAATTAAGCACTTACTTGTTGAATAAGATATGACAGCATCTTTATCATTTTTATCAAGTGTTGATGAATGAGCTATTGGCTCATCTTGTTGAATTGTTTTAACATTCATCCAATTTCCATCTTCTATTATTTCCATTCTATAATTCATTGATTAATCATTGCATTAATTTCATAGTTAATTGTGTCAAATTAAACAAAATAATAAAATATTTGTGAAAATGTGATCATATTTAAAAGATATAAGTATATTTTATAAATTATCATATTGTTTATTTCAAATTTTGTCTATTATTTATAAAAAACAAAAAAAAAAAAAAAAGAAAAAAAAAAGAAAAGGAAAACATTTACTTTAAACTATCTTGAGAAGTAGAAGCATTTTTGCAGTGCGACTTTTCTCGCTCATCCATTTTCCGCTCGAAGATAAACACACACACACACAAAATATACAGTGAAACTATTTAAGTTCGATCGTCTTCTCACTTCTTAACCGACTTCTTTCCTATCATTAAAAGATATTATTATTATTTTAATTAAAATTAATTTATTCAATTAATCAATTTCTATCATTGAAATTTCATCATCCAATTTCATGTTTACATTATTAAAATTTCTGTTACAAATAATTTTAATAATATAAAATGAAAAATAGAGAGAAAGATAATCATAAGTTAAAGAATATACCTTTTTAAGCGCTATTTTGGCGCATTAGCGCCCTTGATCTATTCCACCAAATGTTGTATTTTTAACAAAATTCAAGATGTCGTTCGTCTAAAAATTCAAAATTGTTTAAATTCCATTTCTATAATTGAAAAAGATATCAAGGATGTAATTACATATAACCGTTTTTTTAATTATTAATTAATTATTTCGAATTGTGAAATGAATTTTTTAAATTCAATTAGATTTATTAATTCTATTATACTTATTATTTCTTTCAGAAAAATTTGCTCTAAATAAAGCATTGCTACACATAAATTTCAATGCACAACTAAGCATACTATTGCTTTTTTACTAAACGCTCACATAAATCAAAGGTGTAATACCAACTGTTATGCAGTTTATTTAGAACAAAATATTTATCATATTATCAGCTATTATCAGCTTTACAAAAAGGTTCTGATATGATGCATTAGAATAAATTTTACATTGTTTATTTCATTATTAAAAATTTCTGTTATTTCAAGGATAAAAATATATGGATGAGGACGATTGGAAAATTCATTTCAAATATATAAATTTAAGAAGATATAATGTTGACTGATTCATATTTGTAAATTATTCTTTCTAGATTGGATTCTTTAAAATCTATTACTTATTTCATGGCGATAATGATGTAAATTTGATTTATGGTTGAAATTTTTAAAATTATTGTAAAATAAAAAGAAATGAGGAAAGATTCAATTGCCTACCAAATTATATTTCAATTTTTCAACCATAAAACTATAAATATAGCAAATCAGCTGCAAAGTTTTTATAGTTTCATAAAATCTGCAAATTTTGTGTGTCGATTACTATATAGTATATTATAATTCAAAATTTTATTATAATAATTCAAAATTTTTAATTTTTCCTCATAAACTTTTATTATATTAGTTCAAATTTTATTAAAGTTTGAAAGTTTACATATTTTTTGATGTCAAACATTCATGTCAAACAAAAATTACAACTGTTATTTACCATTATATCGAAATTCCGAAAAGAATGATAGCGCAAAAAAAAAAATTCCTTTCTGGCTGAATTGGTTCTTGTAAACTGTCTTAGGCTCAATTAGCAAAGCTTTGCTTTATTTGAAGAAAAAAAAAAAAAAAGTAAAATTAAGCACTTTTTTCATTCTTCCATTATTGTCGAAGGATAATATTTAAATTATAATTTCATAACAGCAAAGCCATATTATTAGAACTAATTAATAATCATTAGAAATCAAAAATAGCTTTTTTCGTTTTTTGCATAAATTTGTTTTTTTTTTTTTTTTTTTTAGATAACGAATCAAAATATCAGTACTGATGAATATGGCCTTATAGAGAATGAGGCTTATATTTTCATCCTATTATAGGTTATTACTTACTCGCTTAGTAATGAATTAATTAATAGATATAAAATTAAAGTTAAACAAAATTATAAATGTAGAAAAACTTTGTGAAAAAAAAAGTCAAAAGACTAAAGCAAAGAAATGTATCAATAAAACAACGAAAGATTATATTTAATATAGCAAGAATATAGCAAAAATATTCGTTTACATGAAATAATAATAATTTTTAGTATAAGAATTGAAAGAAAAAAAGATGAACAAAATTGGAATATAAAAAATGCAATATTTGCTTATTATTATTATTAAGTAAACAGTAAAGTGTATTAAAATACTTATACTTTCAGGTAAATAAAGTTAAACAAAATTAGTAATTTTAGCAAACTATTCGGAAAAAAAAACTATTCTTCAAAACAAAATTTAAATGAAAATGGGATAATCTTAACTGATTTTTTTTTTTGTGGTAATTGGTAGAATAAGAATTGGATCAAAAAAAGCTAATCTCGAAGAAGAAATAAAAGCTTTAATTACAGAAAATAATGGCTTAAAAGCAAAAATAAAAGATAAATTGGATTTGAACTCAAAAAAATCATCTCTATCATCATCACAAGGTATATCTCTCTCTCTCAAAAAAAAAAAAAAGAAAGAAAAGTGATAAAACAATCAAAAGATCAGCTAGGATGTGGATTGAACAATTTGATTAGGTTTGTGAATGTGGAAATAAAAAAAAATATTTTAGAAGATGAAATTGTCCATTAAAAAGTAGAATTATACCAGAAATTAAACCAATCATAATTGGTTCAAATTTAATAAATTTCACTAACTGAGCTGCTTTTTTTTTTACATTTAAATTTTATTTTAGCCTTTATTACTTCTAGAATAGTCTTATGAAAGAGAATAATATTTTATGTCAAACCTAAATCTAACCTATTGGCTTCGAAATATTTTGATGATTTTTGATTTTTTTTTTCCCATTTCTTTCTTTGATAAAAACCAACTTTATATTTTTAACTTCAGTACCAAAAAGATTACTTTGCTAATTACTTAGAATCAGATTTCTTATAAAATTTTTTGATTTATTTATATTTGAAACAATTTGAGAAAAAGATTTTCAACTAAAACACAGTGAAATGAAATAGGAAAAAAGTGAAATGAGCGAGTGAAATTTAAATTTTTGGAAAAATCAAATCATTCGAAGAAAAATATTCAAGGAAAAAAAATATTATTTCAAATTAAATTATTAAACATTGAATTTGGTTGAACAAAAAAGAAAAAATGAATTCATATGAATTTTAAAAAAGTGAATATGAATAATGAAGCATCCCGTCTCTTTTTTTTTTTCGCGTTTTATTAAATTAACATGATATATTGGTATAATCTGATGATAAGCAAATTTGATAAAAGTTTTAAAGTGAAAAAGCAGCAAATAAAATCTTTATGGAATATCATTTTCTCAATGAAAGAAGCAAAAAGAAAGTATCAAATGAAATCGAAATAGTGTTTGTTTTAAAAAAATATGCAAGGAATATCTAGAAAAAAGGGAGAAAAGAGTTGGAAGAAATGTAAATGTGATAAGTATTCCACATTTCTTCGGATGCAAAAATGAAGCAAATGATAAATAAATAAATAAATAAATAAATAAATGCTTATTTTTTTGTTTTTATAAAAAGGATGAAAAATTTATGAAAAGAAAAAAAGAATGAAATATACAAAAATAAAAAGTAGTAGTAATGTTAATAATTACTTAATAACCTAATAATTTCGACTATATTTTTTAATTTTAAATTAAATTCACTCAAATATTACAAATAATTTAGGATGTATAATTATTGATAAGCAAAATTTTTGTAAAAATAAGCACGATAAATAAGATATATTTGTATTCAAAATTACAATTAAATTTGATAATTGAAATTAAAGCATAATAAAATTAGAAAAAAAAAAAATAAAATTTAACAAATTCATAGCTTTAATTTTTTAATGGAATAAATTGTAAGAGAGAGAGAGAGAGAGAGAGGAAAAAAAATATTGAAAACTTACTTGAAATTTGTTAAAATTTCATTGATTAGTACCCCTCTAATATTACCAAAAATTCAGACTTCTATTTCTAATTTTATTAATATTTACAAAATTTTTCGTTTTCTTTTTCTTTCTTTCTTTCTTTTTTTTTTATTTTTCTCGATTTCTTTAAATAGTTACTAATAAGTGAAAACGTCTAAGAGGGGCACTGTACTTGCACCAGAAAGTCGGTCAAGTTAGTGTGAAGGATGAGATGTACACTGATAGATGTTAAATGTTGATTTCAACTTTAAAATCCTCTATATCAATGTCTTCCTCAAAATTGATTTGCTTCTCTTTATTTCAATCAAATCATACAATCTTATCAGTTCTCTCATTATCATTCTTTTGCTTTCTAACAATATTTCTCAATGATTTTTTTTCATACTTTTCTTTATCTCTAAAATTTCAATCATATTTGCAAAATCTTTTTGTGATATTGTAATGTCTACTTGCAATTAAGAAAATGTAATATAAGAAGATAAAAGAGAGAGAGAGAGAGAGAGAGAGAGAAGAACAATTCATTTTAGATGATCATATAATCCTCTCTCCTTCTCTCTCTCTCTCTCTCTCTCTCTCTCTCTCTCTCCTTACAGCAAGTTCAAAGCGTGGGCTAATTGCTTTTAAGCTGATGTTGTTGCTTTTGTTGTTATGCAAATCCTCAACTGAAATGCTTCATCCTTCAATTTCTCTAAATTTTCAATTTTAACAAACAAAAAAGAAAAGATTTTTGCACAATTGTTTTCTTCTTTTCTCTCACATACCGCTAAGATAACTTATTTTCACTGATTCTTCTACAAATAACACAAAATTGAAGGATTTATTCGTTTTCTAAACAATCATACAAGTATTGAAGGTATTTTAGCATCGTAGCGTTTTCTTTCCTCGAAGACACGTATACCTACCTATCAATTATTAAGTGAAATGATATAACTGTGACGTACGTAAAAGACGAAAGAAAATTATTTGACGTATTATTTTCTATAGTATTAAAAAATATCCAACATTGCGTAGAAAGATAAAATAATATTAGTTAATATTGAAATAATTGTTTTGTATAATATTCAAAGTGTGCAAAAAATAGCGTAATTTTATTACAGAAGTAGTATTTTTTTTTCTTTTTTTTTTAATACTTTGATATTATATATACAAAAATAAATTTCAAAACAAGTTTGTATTATATGTTACTTTTAATCATTTGATTAATTAGTTAATTAATTAATTGTTGCTGCATAAAATTTGATATTATTGATGGAAAGAATTTGATATATGAATGATATGTTAACAATATCAATAATAAAGTAGGAATTTTAAGCAAAATGAATCAAGTGGAATAGAACATTTTCTTAGAACAAAACGAAAGTATAGCTTAATGGACTTGGAGTATCATATGGGCTTGTAATATTTTTCGAAATTAAATTTTTAAATTATTTGAAAACTTCTTGTTTCTTAATTGCTTTACAGAAATTTAATGTCACAGAAAATATTTTTTTTTTTTTTTCATTTATCAAAACCGCTACAAAAGAATATTTTGTAGTTTAGAAAATGCAAATGATAAATAAAATCACAAAAAAAAAAAAAAAAATTGATCAAATTATCAAAAATCACAAAAAAAAAAATTAATCAAATTACCATTGTTTGATCTTACTGAACAACTTCCACAGTAATAAATTGCTGTGATCTAATTCATCCAACTTTATCCTTTTTTTTTTTTTCAAATTTTGTATTTTAAAAAATCTCTAGCTTTTAAGACATTTAAACCAATATGATTCATACTTCAAAAAAAAAAAAAAAAAAAAAAGGGAAAAAGAAAACAATGAATTTGTATTAGTCATTGGAATAAAATTAAAAATTTTCAATATTTCAGTTCATCATATTTTGAGAAAAACATCTCTCAGAATACAAATCAATGTTTCAATTAATATTATTTAGTATCGAAGATAACGACGATTCATTCAGAATCATTAAGCTTAATTTAAAATAACATTTTTGCTATCTTTTCTCATAACTTACAGGTGTTTCATTTTCTACCATATGATAACTAACACACATATGTATCCAAAGAATTTAGAAAGGAATTTCTTTTCTGGAATACTTTCCTTTTTTTTTTTTGTGAGAACGTTTCACTTAATCATCAGCCGGAAAAGCAGTTGTTGTCTTTTATTGATTAGCATTAGATAGAAACTAAGATCTATTCGATTTCATGATGAAAAACAGCTAATTACTAGTTTATCCTGAAAGTACGAATGTGTTGCAAAAATGAATTATAAGAAGAGATATGCTGTGTGAATTCTGTTTAAAATTCATTTTTAGTAGTAAATCTACAAAAAAAAAAAAAAAAAAAATTTTTCAATTTTTTCCAGAATTTATTAAATGTGATCAACTTGGCTCATTCATATTTGTTATGCTAAGATTTTATAATTAATCAGTTATGTTCAACATTTAATCTTACTATTGAAGATAAAAGTTAGATTAGGAAAAAGTTTTTTTAATCAATCACTTCACATTATATTAACTCAAATGCATAAAGATTTTCGTACATTTAAATTTTTTCTAAAATTCAGAAAATTCAAATACACAATAGCTTTTCAAAAAAAAAAAAAAAAAAATTTTTTTTCAGCAAATTTTAAATTGTAATAATTCGAAGGTAGACTGTTACACTGTTATCAGCTCATTTGCTCTGTATCAGAATTTATGATATAAAGAGAACCATAACATTATTTAAATCATTTTGTTATTTGCTAGTTCCCTTTCGGTTTTGATTTCGATTACATCTTACAATTAAATAAACTTTATTAAAATCATGAAAAAAAAAAAAAAAAAAAAAAGGAAAACAATTTGGGAAAATCATGAAATGTGTGGAAAAAAAATGAAAAATTCATTCTTTAAAAAACATTGCCTAAAATCAAAAAATTAGTATAAAATTTCAAATACTTTTTTATGCAATATTATCATTAATAGACATTTGTGAGTAATTTTGCGCTCATTTACTCTACTGAAGAATGAAATTTTTTTTTCATTTTTTTTTTTTTTTCATTGCTTCAATTGAACAGTGATAAAAAGTTTGATGTGGAATAAAAGGGATGCAAGTAGAAGTGTCCTTGTCAGTTCTTAATTATCATTCACAAACACTAAAACATTACTATTCAGTTCATATTTGAAATATATACCGCAACAATATGATATTTATAAGATGATATTATTTTAAGGCAACACTCAGACAATTTGATTTACAAAAATTTTGTTTATAAATATTATGAATTAAATTGAATTATTTCTAATTTATTTGTCTAATTCAATATTTCTTGACGCTCATTTGCAATTAAAGCACAAATTTAATAACACATTTTATACTCGTGAAGAAAAAAAAAAAACGCATAAATACTGTTATTTAACACAGAAAGTTAAAAAAAAAAAAATGAAATAAAACATAATTGAAATTTTAAACAAACTGGCATAAGTTCAATTCTTTCTTACGGCACAAAACAATTATTAAGAAAGTCAAAAAGGCAATTTGACAAAATAAACTTTGAGCCGTTACATAGAAAGAGACTTATACAAAGGCTACGAAATTTGAAGGCAGCCTAACAAATGGCAACACAAACTGTAGAACTGCATAGTGTGGCAGCATTAATATATACAAATTTAGCAATAAAAGAAAAAATTTCTCACCGCAATATATGATATGAAAATTTAAATTTACAGAAGCAAAAGATAACTAAACAACAGTCCATAATATATATAAAAAAAAAAAAAAACACTGAAAATTAAAATAAAGAAAGACGAAATTTCAAAAAATTCAGAAATTAAGTATAATCAATCATCAGTCAAGAAATAACCAATAAAAATCAATGCTCGAATACTTAAAAACTTAGATAAGCCATCATAATAGTAAACAAAAAATTAGGTATTTTCAGTTTCAGTCATGAAAAAGGACAAAAACTCGAGTTTTTTTTATATAGCTGAAATAAGATATTTCTATCGGAACTGAATCTTAAGCTTTGCTTGGCTCTGTGAAGCACCTAGGGGATTTCGAATGATGATGGTATAATCGCCAGCTTCTGCTTCTGAAATTCGTTGTAACTCCAGAATTGCTTTATTACCAATTAATGATATCTGAAAAAGCAAAACATAATACAAACCACTGACAGATGACGAATATAAGCTTCGTCTCTCAAGCAAAATATTACATTTTCATATTCATATGATTATTTAAGTAACTTTATTTACTTCTTTACAGCACTATATTTCTTACACTAGTTATAACACTAAAAAAATTAGCAAATGATTTTCAGTTTCAGTCCTAAAAAAGGACCGTAATACCAAAATTTAATGGTCTGAACAGTTCATTACATGAAGAAAGATACTGATAGCTTAGAAGATAAACTCTCGCTTCATAATCGAGTTAAATTAAAGGGTTTTAATCACTCATTAGCATTTCTAAGAATTTCTGATTCATTTTATTTGTATTTGCTTCTTGCAACGACTGTAACTTATAATTATTGGAGAAAAATAAACCATTATTCTTGAACAATCTAATTACAAAATCCAAGTTCTCTAATGAGCATTCCAAGCCTCAAAAAATCAGAGTAGTACAAGATAGATATAAATAAATCATAAAAGTAGCCAGAACTGAACATAAAAACAAACTTTATGATTGTGTCCATCATAAAGTGGCTTTCCGTTAAACTGCCATGCAATAGTCGGTTGTGGATTGCCTGATATTTCGGCAACAAACTTTACCGTGTGTCCTGATGAAAAAAAGACCAAAGTTAGAATAGTGAAAAATCTTAAATTACTTCAGCTTAAACCAAACACATGGAAATATCAAAAATATGAAAAAAAAAAAAAAAAAAAAAATAACTGAGGAAAATTAGCTGGCTGTTTGCAGAATAAAATAACCATGCTTTAGTATTTCTTCAACACAATTATCTTAATTTCACCTGGTCGAGCGGTTATATCCGAAAGTTTTAAAATAAACTGCGGTGCGCCAGAAGATGGAGCTTTTTTCTTCATTTGAGCGCTGTCAACAACAGTACTATTTGGTACATCCCCAGCTGCAGAAGAAGATGCCGCAGTTGTCGTTCGCATTACAACACCACTTTTTGCTGCAAACAAAAATTGATGAATATTTTAATCATTTTATATTTTTAAATTTTTAAAATATATTTACTAAAAAAATAAACAATAAGAATACTTACGTTGTAAAAGTAAGTTGGCAACACTCGTTGCTTTACCAGCTGGATTCGTTGCTTCACACTTATATTCGGCTACATCATCCTGATAACACTTCGTGATGCGTAGTACCGCCTCACCTTTACCTTGACTCATTTCGAAATATTTCGTCTTTTTGATTGGCTCATTATTGCGATACCATCGAATCATCGGTTCTTAAATGATAAACGATAGCAGTTAATGAGTGCCGAAAATCGGTATGTAATGGATGAATACATTCGAACGATATAATTTATAATATCTTAAAATAAGAAATTCTGCAAAAACCGAACATAAATAAACATAACAGAACAGAAATGGTACCAGGAGAACCAGTATAATTTGCTTTAAATTGTGCTGGTTCACCCTCAGCAACCACAACAGGCTGTATTTGGGATTGGAATCGAGGTGCCTCCAATCGAGGTCCAACTTCAGCTCCTTTACCAGTTTTTGCCAGTATTATATTTAAACGAGCCTTACATCTAGAATAAATCTTCTGGATTTTGTATATGATTCATAATATGAAAATTTAAAAAAAAATGATATCAAAAAATGCAGTTAAGTACAAAAAATAATCTCTTATCCAATTTGTTTAAGTTGGTTTTCTTAAAACAAGAAAAATTAGAAAAAATACAACATATAAAGAGGTTTCTCTGTAACTGATGCAGTTCAGAGAGCGAAAGGAACGGACAAAAAAAAAAAAAAAAGAAGTTGAGACAAAGGAAAACTTGAAAAAGCTGATTCAGTCTTGTATAAATGGATGAAAAATAAAAGCTGCAGGAATAATCGAAATCAAGAACTCAAAAAAACTATACAATACAGAATGCTTGAAAACTTACCTGGCTTCACCAGCGCTATTTTTCACTACACATTCGTAAATACCCGCATCTTGCGGCAATGTATCGGATATAATCAATACACGTTCGTTACCTTCACTGATAATCTGATATCGTGCGTCATTCGGCAGTGGCTTACCATCCTACAGTTTCGAGACTTTTCAAATAGCATATCAAGCTAATTTCTAAAGAAATCAACAGAATCTCAAATAAGTTAAAAAAAAAAAAAAAAACACCTTCATTCTTAGCCTATTTGCATGCGGTTTCAAGTTTGAAAAAAATTTACTTTGAACCAACTAGCAATAGGTTCAGGATTGCCAGTAACAATACATTTGAACTGTGATGATGCATTTTGTTGAACGCGAACATCAGCCATTCGTTGTGTGAAGTCAGGTGCTACTCCATGTTCTGTTGGTGGAACAACCACTAAATTAGCCATCGATTCTTGAGCACCCGCAACATTTGTTACACGACACATATATTGACCATTGTGGTCCACCTTCAGCTTTCCGATTGTCAAAGTTGAGCTTTTTGTCGTAGTATTGATCTGAGAATTAATGTAAAATAAGTTAAAAGATCACATATTTCTACAGACTATCAAAGATCACATATTTCTACAGACTATCCTCAACCATGTAAAAACAATTGGTCTTATCAAGTAAAACTGTGCCTACATTATGCCGGCAATCATATTTCAATGCATACATCTACTACCACTGACTTTAAGATACTCTGAATTCTCAACTAAAAACTTGCAAAAAATTTTTTAACTGATTCATGCAATTTCCAAACATCTTTAGTTTAGCTATTTTAAGTGATAAAAATTTTAGACACCTGAAATTCGAAGCTTGGCTTGATTTCTTTACCATTTCGGAACCATTTTACTGTAAGAGGTTCATCACCGCTGAATAACACATTAAACTGCGCCTGTCGTCCGATTTCAGCTTGCACTGGCTTCAACTGTTGGGAGATTTGTGGTGCCACCTTTTGAGTTTGCCCCATTTTAGTAGGTTGCGGCTGAAGAAGCAAAAAAAAAAAAAAACTCAAAAACTAAGTGGGTTTCGATATTTTCATGGTCATTTTGAATAACCAAAAAAAAAAAACTGGGAACAGATAAAAAGCACAGCAAAAAATTTGGTTGATATAGTATACAATAAAACTTAAGTATATTGAATATAAATTATTGGTTTTTATAAAACTCAAAGTCCAGATATACAAATTTTGAAGATCAAATAGTGTGAAATGCTAAACGATTATATATGATTTCATTTTAAATAAGCTTTTCGTCAAACTATTCTGTTGGCAATTTTAGATGTTTTTTTCAGACTTAAACCGAAGTCTATTATGCTGTTAACAGATTAGATAACACAGCTTTAGTATACAGTTGAGAATCAACAACTGGCTTAAAGTTTTTAAAAATATGCCTCCCAACATGCTTCAATGTAAATATTACCATTTCCGCATCGCGATGATGCGGCCAAGATGATTTTCTTGAAAGCCCGGTTAGACACTGAGTTAAATTTCATTAAATGACAGCAAGTAACTCACACTAAAGGTTACTGAAATTGGTTATATAAAAAACTTAGGTAAAAAATGCTGACATGTCGAAGAATACGAAAACCCGAGACTCGTTCTCGGATTCGATTGCCGTAACTGTATTCTGTCCGTTCTGCATATTCTTCCGACATTAGATCTTCCTGTTGTGCTAAGTTCACTTCAACTGCATGCTCAGAACGTTCACGATAAATTTGATGCAATACAGTATGCTAAAGTAATTTTTAGTTTGTTAATAAAAGCAACAATGATTACTTTCTAAATATTAGTTTCGATAAAGAATCATAAACGATTTCAGAAATAATATAAGAAATCTTTCCCAAGTCACCAGAAGATACTCAATGAATAAAGTCTTGTTAGAGTTACCAAATATCATTTTCCCAAAATTAAGGATTATTTAACTCATCTAGAATTATAGGAGAAGGAAGGAAAAGGTCATTTTACATGGAATTTAAATGTTTTTAATGTTATCAAAAAGAAGATATACTTGTATTACAAATCATGCAGTTCTGTGTAAAAAAAAAAAAAAAAAAAAAAAAAAAAAAAAAAAAAAAAAAACGAATAACAATGTGATTACAAGAAATATCACTGTAATTTAGTAATAGATAGACATATAAACATGAACAGAAATCACACAAAAACTTATTTTCAGGACAGAACTGAATCCATGCAAAAAAGAGCGCGAAAAAAATACTAACTCACCTTTGAAGGTACTGTTGATTCTATAATCTTCCTGCAAAATTGAAAGAAATCAAAATGAATACAGTGTTTTAAAATTCTGAAAAATTAGTAAAGACATCTCAGCTCTTGCGGCTCTGATTTTAACCTTATCCCTAAGAATGGAAAAAGTCGGTTGAACATGCTTTTTTTTTTTCAGTTAAATATAATCAAATATAAATAAAAATATTAAATGTATCGTTTATAAGGTTTACAGCCAACATTACAAAAACATATGAGTAATTTTAGTTAACGATAATTTGATATTCAGCACTAAATGCTTTTAAGATGTAGGTTTAAAAAACATACAACAACCCGACCCTGGAAAAACCATTAACACAATTTTATCACTTACGAAGAATCTAGTAAGATATGGAACGTCTACTAGAAAGGCAGAAGAACAGTTTACCCTTTGACAACAGCAGGCGTTTCTTTCAGAGGGCCACTTTCAATAACTGATGCTTCTGACGGTTTCATTACTTTCGGCTGGAATTTCTGTTTTATCTTTACCTGATCTTTTGCCGGCACTTCAACCTAGAAAGATCGAGATCATAAATTATAACTGCATCGGTTTAGCACAATTTTAATTAGCACAACTTCATGATAAAGCTAATACCTGTTTAGGTGCCTCCGGTTTTTGTTTTACAGATGCCAATTTCGCTTTTTCCTTCTGAATCTCCACGTGTTGGGCGGATGGTAATTCAGTTGCCGGTTTTGGTTTCGTCAATTTAAATTTCACCTGGTCGCGTGCCGGTACCATTACCTCTTTTTCTTGCTCAGGCAGCCGTCGGAATCTCAAACATTTTTGGAAGTACTTCTTACTAATTTTGATAAGGTCCACTTATATATCACTCATGACCGGTTCGAAATGGAATTTCAAGATTTTTTTTTACTACTTATTGAGCAATATCCTTCAATTATTCATTACCTTCCCCCGCCTCATCAATATTCTTGCTAAACAAATCCAAAAGATGTTCCATAGTGTTAATATTATTTCATATTTGCATTATGTTACTGTAATCGTAATACCACTGAATGGTACTCAATAGGTAGAAATTAAAAATTTAAATAAACCAGCTGATTTTAATTAACCTCTTTTAAAACTTTGTGGCTACAAATTAACTTGAATTATATTAAAAATTTTGGTTGTATAACTTGAACTTCTTAAACTGAATTAAAGCCAAACCGTGACTCAACGTTGCCAAGTTTCTTTTCGATTGCCCATTGCGGCTTTGGTACACTAGCACCTGCAGGCGCTGCTTCTTTTTCCACTTTTGGAGCAGCTCTTAGTTCTACTCGCTCCATCGTTTCTTTCGCTGGCTCGTATTTCTCAATGTGTCCAGGCTTCAAAGTTACATCTTCCAACTTCATGCTTTCAAAGGTTGGACGAGTCGTCTCGATCTATATAAAATTTAAATTTATCGTTTATATGAGTTGATCAAAGACCACAATGCATTTACAGTAGTGATGGAGGCGCCAATTAATAACTGTATATTACATCAAAAAAAGATACACAATGCAACCTTTTCAACCTTTTAAGCCTATAGTCTATCCTCAAGTTTTTGTTAATGTTATTTCGTGGTTATTTCTACACTTCGAAATTTTTTTTTTAATACAAAGTCTTCTTTCTTGTTGCACGAAGTTATTTCGCAAAATTCAATTTTTTGCAGCCCTTTGGGAAATCTACGTGAGCAAAAATAAAAATCTTAAACTTGTAGATGTAAAAAAGTTCAACAGATCAAAAATTTACATAAGTAAGTTGATTATAGAACTGTTCGTTCTTAGGTTTGGTAAACTTCTCGATAAGTTCTTCACTTTCAAGAGGTTCGGTAGGTGACTTCGACCGTTCAATTCTCATCAATTTTTGCTGGTCAGCTTTTGGTGCTTTCTCAAAGGCTTCTCCAAGAGAGCCTAGAACTTCCTGAAAATTTCAAAAACATGAAAAAACTTTTCTCCTCATATGAAAGAGGAATATCAATGTTTCTTGAGAGCATTTGAGATTGAACTCTACCCCAAAAAGTGATTATTAAAATAATTAATTAGAAGATCTTAATTTCACGTAACCTTCTGCCATCTGACTTCTCTCTCGTGCAGTTCATCTATGGTCATGAAAGACGTCGGCTTTAGTTTAACATGTCGGAAATCCTTGGTCTGATAAACGTCCAGCATTGCAGAAGCAAGTACCTCACCTTCTGAGTTCTTCGCAATCACAACGATCTAAAAACATTTCAGCATTCACTTCCAACATCGAAGCGGAACTTTTTTTCACAGTTATGCAAAAACAAAAAAATGTATGGCTTACTTCACCAGCATCCGATATTTTTGTCTTCGAAATTGTCAAATAATGAATTCCGTCATAATGTAGCTTATATCTGCTTCCCTGGAAATAGCTTTTTTGAAAATTTCATTTTTTCCAAAAACCAAGTCTGAAGTAAAATTAGAGGAATATGAATACGTCCAAATATCAACGGAGATCTGTTGAACAAAAAAAAGCGACAAAATACTCAGTTAGTATCTAGCTGGTTGATATTAACATAATCATCGCATGAAACCTAAAAAAAAAAAAAACAAAATATTCAAAAAGAATCAAATTAAAAAAAAAAAAAAAAATACATGTATGGCTTGATTTCCGTTTATATACCAAATAATTTTCGGTTTTGGATTACCGATTACTGCACACTCAAATCTTGCAGGTTCATTTTCTACTGCCTGAATATTCATAGGTTTGATTGTAAACCTCGGTGGTTGCTTTTCGCGCCGTTGTTCGCTCATGTGTTCCGACCTGAAAAAATTATAAAAAGGTACAACGTATAAAATGTAATCAGGAGTCTATCGGCGATAAGCACTACCTTGTAGTGAATAAATATCTTATAGATGCGAAGGTACAAAATACATTTAGCACTCCGTTAAAAGAATACTTCTCAAAACATAAAAATTTCGTCGCACCTATAAACTTATAAACATTGTTGTTATTATTCTTGTGCTCAGAAATCGTTATTAGCAATTAATTTTTCGCTGGTTTCAAATAGGAAACTAGAAATATATGTTGTAACATCAAACATCTGAGAGAATTAAAAAAAAAAAAACAAACCAATACGGCTGATCACCAAGTTTCTTAACATCAGAAACTAGAACACCCTGCGGAAGTTGGCTTTCAGTAACAATGTGTTTAGAACCTGAGCAAGCCAATTTCGCTGATGTTGTTGCTTTTCCATATGGATTTGTAGCAACACAAATATATTCACCAGTATCGTCGGGTAATGCGTAGAGGACATCTAAGCATGCAAATCCAAAATCTAACATTGAACGGAATCGATGGCCTACAACAGTTTTTTATAAAGAGCAGAGAAAAAGATATAATAATTAATGTGAAACTTTAAAAGATGTTGGAACAAAAAATGTCAAGTCTTAATCTCTATTCTGACTTTACCATATTTCAAAATTTGAAATAATATCAAATATATAATACATTTAAAATACTATACTGAGTTTTGGAGAGAAGGAATAGCTCTGAAGCCAAATTTTCAGAATTCTATTTGAAAACAAAGCAGAATTACCAATCAAAACGGGTTTTCCATCCTTAAACCATTCTACTTTCATATACGGGTCATTAATTGGTGCAATTTGCGTTTCGAAACGGCAATAATCGCCCTCCTCAACACCAATATTCGTCAAATTAGTTTTAAACTCAGGCGGTCGCTTTGTAGCTTCATTGTAAGCATCCTCTTTGCTAAGCGCCAAAGGAACACGGGTGTGTTGACGCAGATGATTCTCAAGATTTTCCATATTGGCCCCGGGTGCTTGCGGCGCAAATTCTACGCTTGGTTTTGAAAGAACCTGAATTCAAATCAAAAATTAGTCGATAAATGAATTCCTATCTCGCTAAGAAAATAAGACGGAAAGCTTTTCAAGCATAGCAAAATTATAAGGTTCCATCAAAAAGATTTAAATACAAGGAATTATAATACTTCAGAAATTATTACCGTGACATGAGTTTCAGTGGACGCTTCGCCTTTATCATTCATAACAATACATTCATAAACGCCACTGTCTTCCGGAAGTGCATATAGAATATCAAGCGTCACGAAACCAAATTCGCATGATGGCTTAAACCGTGAAGCTTCCGCGAGTGGTTTGCCATCTTTCAACCAGTTAATTGTCAATTTCGAATCATTGATCGGTGATACACGACATTCCATGTGAATAGAGTCGCCTTGCTGCAATGAACCAGATTTTTCTCTGATACTGTGGTTTCGCATTGTTTACTGGATTGTCAAAATCTACTTTAAAACATAAATCACCATTTAGAAACGTTCGTCCGTTCAACAAAGAAACATACCTCAACTCCATCAATGTTTTCAACGAGTGGTTGAATTATTTGTGGCGCATCGACTTGGATGATGGATGCAACTTCAATATGACCAATACTTTCTGCCTTACCTTTAGAATTATAAGCTATACACCTAAAAAATTCTGTATCAAATTGCGATTCCTGGATAAGACTCAATAAGGGTAAGACAATAAGATGAAAATTTTATATCCGAAAAGGAACAGGATTGCATTTAACTCGAAAGAGAAGTTGTAATGAAGTTCAAAATTGCTGGTATAATTTGCTGATTAATTAATTTTACGAAAAAACAGCTGAATCGATACTTGTATTCGCCACTGTCTTCGCTTATCAGATGTTTAATCAACAGTGTAGCGACACCAAAATCGTTTGACATATGTATTCGATTGGAATAGGGTATAGAATGTCCGTTATGAAGCCATTCAATGCGAAGTGACGGATCACCAATTGGTTGCAACACACAAGTAAACGCTGTTGCCTCTGCTTCATTCATCTGACAAAAATCATATGTAGAGCTTACAATTTAAAATCGTTTTCTTTTCTGCTTTTTCTGTTTTTTTTTTTTTTTTTTTTAAATGAATTGAGAATGAAAGAATCTATTAACCAAAAAGTTTGAATGCTACGAAGTTATAGTCTAAGTAGAATGCGAAATTAGATTCCCTCATATTCCCCAAATTCTCGAAAACATTGCTGATATTGAGAAATATCATTCAGAATTTTGATTCCTACTTGAGTTTTCGAGCGAAAATTACATAAGCTGGATTTGAATGCAATTTTGAAAGCAATAATAAAATTTAAACTCAATTGTTAATGCAACAATGTTACATTAATTTCTTTACCTGACCAAGATCAACGAGATTTTGGGTGAAATACGGTGCATCAAACTCTCTAACTGGCTGATCCAATTGATCTCTTGGCCGATGGATATATTCTTCCAACTTTTCAATACGATCTTTGCCTTCAGCAGTACTCTGCCATTCGGATACAACACCACCCATACCTTTGACCTGGAATTATTGATTATTAAAATCCTTTTCCTCGAAAATCATTCGTCTCCATCACATATAAATGATGATAACAACATAAACTGAAACTACTGACGGTATCTAGTAGAAGTCATAACTTTAAACCTGCATATCACATGATGTCTCGGCTTGTCCTTTCCTGTTACTCGCACGACATACCCATTTGCCTGAATCTTGTGGCTCTGCAGGGATTAATTCCAGAACCACAAAACCAAAATCATGGATTGTTTTCATTCGAGCTGTGTGTCCGACAGGATGTTCATTATGGAACCATTCAATCTTTAAGTTCGGATCACCTACTGGTTCCACGCGTGCCTCCAAATGCGCTAGCTGTCCTTCTGACAAATTCGTCAGTGACTGCAAGGAAAAACTATAGCTTTGAATAAGGAAGTAATTCTGGGAAGCGAACAACAGATTTTACGACATTATACCAAAAATGAGAAAATTATTGATACTGGAAAACTAATGAAAGGACTATCGAAAATTGGATTTTTCGAGACAAATAAATTCAAACCTGCAACTGGGTTAAGAACCTTGGTGCTTCATAATCAAATTCTGGCTTCTCAGGAACAGGTATTTTCGGAGCCTCAATTTCAATGATTTTCTTATAAGCACCAGACATACTATCTGGAAGCTGCGACTTTGTGATGATTTTCTGCTTCGGATTACATGTCAGCTGTGTGCTGGTCACTGCTTCACCAACCTAGAATTTTTCACGTTTAAGTATTTGATTAGCAAGCCGAGAACAGAAACAGTTGAATAGCAATTTTGTAGATTCAAAATGCTTTAACCTTGTTAATGGCACGGCATGTATATTCGCCCGAATCTTCAGGATATGATGGCGATATTTCCAAAATAACAAAACCAAAATCATTGATTGTTTTGACACGACTTCCTGTTTTTAACGGTTTTCCATTCAGATACCACTGGATCTGGAAAAGTAGTCTTGAATCAGTCTAGATTCGGAAAGTAATCGGTGAATATCAAAATATAAATTGTATAAAGAGATTTTTGACATTTCTTGTATAGAAATGCATAATTACGTCCCGTAGTTTCAATTTCTCTGAAAGGACCTGAAAAAAGCATATTAATGAAAGCAACCTGCAACTGATTATCATTCAGTGGTTCATATCGGGCAGTGAAATGAACACGATCCCCTTCCTCGCAAGTGACAGGAGCAGAAAGAGGTTCGATAAATACAGGAACAGTTTTCTGCTCTTCTACAATTTTCTCTTCCGGTTTCAAATGCAGATTATATTCTAGTCGTTCAATTGCTTTTGCTTTACCTTCATCCTGCACAAAAAATCAACAGACATTATCAAGCATATGTAATAGACTGACAATCATCTCAAGTTATTGATAAAAAATATTTGTGCATAACAGTAGTTACAGTCTATCCATGAAGACGAAATTAAACAGAAGGTTATATGTCAATATCCGACAAACTTCTTATCATCAGTGAATTTTTGCACAATTTCGCTTTCCAATTCATAAAACTCGAATAAAAGCTTATTCAATCTTCTTATCATAAACAACCTATTTGAAAAATTAAAAAAAAAAAAAAAAAAAAAAAGAAAGAAAAAAACGAATCTCCAAATCACCTGAGGTTGCAGTAAAAGAGCCTCTTTTGATGCAATTTCTAAAATGGTTGATGAACTCGCTTCACCTGCAGAATTAGTAACTTTTACAGTGTACTCACCAGCATCCTGGAACAACAACAGCAATTATTCCAAAACTATAGCCAATATTCCATTATTTTTAAACATCAATCATAGCAGAGAAAGAAGGCTAACATAAATACATCTATCATTTAAAGAAAAAAAATTGGAGAAGACAGCATTTTACGTCAAGTTTCAAGTCTGAAACAAATTAAATTGTATTCGCAGAATAACTCTGATCAAAAAATCTGTCTCATTATTTTTATGGAGTTTAAATTCAAGTATTAAATATCCAAATTTATGATAAAGGATCGGAAAAACCTGTGCAAAGAGATGCAGGATATCAAGTATTGCAAAGCCAAAGTCTTGAACCATTTTATATCGATTTGCATGAAACAAGGGTTTAGCATCACGGAACCATTCTACTTTGAGATTTGGATCATCAACCGGTGTGAATTGAGCTTCTAAATGAGTGCTGTCACCTTCAGTAAGATCTTCTGGCTTCTGTAGATGAACAGTAATTTGAGGTGGATCGAATATCTGAAAATAAGGAACCATTGAATATTTCTAATTTAAAAAAATCCACAGTTAATTTCCTGTAATTAAATGTCATAATTTAGAATGCTCTGCATGATGCAGATATGCAAGGTGTCTGAGGACAGTCGCAGCAGTACGAGACATGTTTTTATTGTCCATGTGGCCCAGTAGTTAACCAGGGGAAAAATCTCCAGTGCTTCACAAATTTAATTTAATTAGTCTTACTTACGACCATAATATGTTCCAAACTTTATACAAATCAAAAATTTGTTTCTGCAATGTTAGATTCAAAAAGATAGGCGCAGATGGAACAATTAAACCAGTGGGTGAAGAGGAACGACCAGGAGAATCAAGTATTGATGCAGAACAAGTTGTAGGAGTTCCAGGTACAAAAGGTCCCTGCTTCCGATGATCATAGTGACCAAGGTGATGCATGTGAAGCTGGTTTACCAGATCTTGTAAGGCACCAAGAGAACGTAACCTGCTGGTGAAAAAGGAGACGATGGTGAACCTATAACTATCTGTCCATCATATTTTTTTATGTTTATTTCAAACTATCGGACTAAATTGAATTTTAATTCCATTTATACCAAATTTACAATAAATTAATGAAAGTAAGAGTTTGCAAAGAACATTTTTTCTTAAATGTTTAAAATCAAAATAAATGAATTTCTTTTTCCCGCTTTTCCAATGAAATATTCACAACGGTGTGCTTGAAAAATGAACATTTATAATTCTTCTGCTATTTAACTCCTTACTAATAATCAATACTCTAAAACTAACTTTCGGTGGAGCTTCATAAGGAATTGGTTTCTCAGCTTCCATTTCCATAATTCTTTCAAGACTCTGTGGTTGCATTGAATCAGAAACGATGCTTTCTTTGCTTAAAACATTAATGGATGCAGAACTTTTCGCTTCGCCGACTTCATTTGACACGACACATGTCCATTCGCCACTGTCCCGTGACTCAGTTGCATTTATGTCCATAATAATCCAACCAAAATCGTTAATCATCTTTATTCTTGAGCTAGCTGATATCGGATTTCCATTCAAGAACCTAAACAGACAGTCTAAGTGATAGAACAATTGAATTTCATATAAATAGAAAGTATCAGGAAAACAAAAATACTAACATACTGCTTATAAATATTGAAAGGTACTCACCACTGTATTTTAAGATCAGGATCATCTACTGGTTCTACGGTAACTTCAAAGTGCGCTGGTTGCCCTTCATATAAATCGCCGCCGGGGCTTTGGATATTTGTAAGAAATCGAGGTAATATTTTAGGAGGTGGCGGCATTTCTGGCTTCGGTGCTTTCGGTGCTTCTAGTTCCTAAATTCAGAGCATCATAACATGCATTCAGTAGTTTATGACAAAAAACTGGAATTCAGGACAACTGAAAATGGTATTTTTGTTGGTATAACCTGTATTCGTATCCATGACTCCATGTGCTGGGTGTCCCCATATATTGCCTCCTTTGGATGACACTTCAGTGTAGCACTAGAAACTGCCTCCCCATTTTCGTTTGTTAAACGTAACTGATATACACCCTAAATTTCGTAAAAATAAAGTGTAGAAATAATAAATTTGAAAAAAAAAAAAAAATCTTCCATTTCCAGAAAAATTAAATATTTTTAATAAAACAACAGATGATGTTTTTGTCAGGAGTGGAACATGGCTAGATAGCTAATCATGCTCCGCTAGCGCTTCAATTTTACCTTGCTAGTGTTTGAAAAAATGACTCATACTTGATCACTAAGATATAAGTAATACTTGGTCTTCAGGATATGTATAGCTGATATCCAAAGTGCAAAAGCCGAAGTCCCGTGATATAGCATATTTCGAGCCATGTGCCAATGGCTGTCCATTGCGAAACCAAGTAACTTGCAAATTGGGATCATTAATTGGTATAACGACAGCCTCGAAGTGTGATGGTTCACCTTCACCGCATTCAACATCAGAAATTTGCTCATGAAATGATGGAGTGTCATAAACCGGCGGTGGTGGTTCTGCAATGCCACAAGTCACCAACAGACAAAATGAAATGCTATTGTTAAGCTGAGAATTCACAGACATTTCGGACCGTGCAAATGTATTTAAGCATTTAAGTAAAGATGTTCATGTATTTCAAGGAAGAAAAAAGTTTATGTATTTTAGTGTCAAAAAAGTTGATAGCTATCCATAAGGAATTTCGAAGTTCTAGAGAAAGAACAAAAACTTATACCGTACCAGGTGTCTTTTCTTTTGGTGCTTCAATTTCTTGGATTCTACGCCACGACTCTTCATGTGTGGTATCCAATAAAATGTCTCCAATACCAGCGACCTAAATTAAATATTTTAACCATAACAACGGTTTGTGTTAACCATATAACTACAAAAAAAAAAAAAAAAAAAAAAATGAAATAATCGCAATTAGATGTTAACAGTATGCATGTGATGTGATTAAATAATAATAAATAAATTTAGCATCTTAAAATCTTTAAGATCAAACTTTGCAAATACCTTAATAGATGCAGATGAAGCTGCTTCTCCTTCGCTGTTTATAATCTTAAGTGTATAGACACCATTATGATCGGGATTAACACCACCAATATCCAGAGCTGCCCAGCCCAGTTCGCTTCTTGTTTTTATCAGCTGACTAGCACCAAGCGGTTGCCCATTACGTAGCCAGACTACCTTCAAACAAGAATTATTGAAACTCAATCAGAATGCCGTTTAACAATGAATGCTTGTTTCAGTGAATCTACTTTTCAAATTCATGCAAAGATTTTATAGTAAACAGGTTGAGACAGGATAACATCAACCCAAAATGTAAGCATAACAAATTTAATGGTGAAAAACTGCCGCATAAAAATGGAAATAAAAAGAAACTTTAAGATCAGGATCACGAGCAGGTTGGAATGTTGCTTCCAGATGCACGACGGCACCTTCAGAAATATCAGTTGCCGACTCGAGTTGTGTGAGAAAGCGCGGTTTCTCCTTTTCTATCGTTTCCTCAATTTCTTCAATTACTATCGGTGTTTCAAGAATCTGGATCTTTTCCCAGGATATTGGATGTTGAGCATCACGCACTATTGATTCATAACCTAAAATTAAACAGATTGTTTTTCATTGCACTTGTAACAGAAAACAAATGCAAAAAACGGTACTTCAAAGTTTGGTGAAACCGAAACATTTAAACTAACCAGCAACTTTCACTGTAGCACTGGTAGTAGCTTCACCCTGTTTATTTATTGCTTTGCATGTATATACTCCAGAATCTTCCGGAAGAACATGAACTACTGTTAACGTGATATTTCCAAAATCATTTTCATGACGATAGCGATTTGCTGAAAATTTTTAAACTCTAATAAAAAACGATCGTAAGGGGGCCGAAAAATCAGTGAAAATGAGAAATGCAAACACCTTAAATTTTCAGCTTCTTTTTCTTATAAAATTCAGAAGTAGAGCTGACATTTCAAAACGAAAGAGTGGAAAAAAAAACAATAAGCAAATTTAACAAATTTACAATTCTTCAGAGGAGCGCCATTCAGATACCATTCGATCTTCAAGTGCGGATCACCAACTGGTTCTACACATCCAACCAAGTGAACAATTTCACCTTCTTGCAAGTTATCAATGTTGTCAAAAGCTTTAATCCAATTTGGTTTGCCGAACTCCGGTTCGGGTACTTCCAAGCGCATGTTTTTATCAACCGATTCCAATTCTTGGATTCTTTTCAAAGAATCTGGATGTTGAGTATCTACCACCAAACTATCCGCACCTGAGATAGAGTTTCCGAGTTTAAGCAGAATGTGTTATTTCTTTAAAAAGGACTTTAGTTTTATTTTATTGTGAAGTGCAAGCTTAAAACAAATACCCAGAATAGATATATTTGCGCTTGTTACAGCTGCTCCTTGTTCATTTACTGCTTTACATGAGTAGACACCAGAGTGGTGCGAATAAACGGGTGAGATGCGCAAAGTGACACATCCAAAATCATTGGTCATTGTATGCCAGCTACTCTGTTGCAACGGGGCATCATTATGGAACCTAAAGATTTCTTTAAAGTTGAAATCTAGAACTTCCGATTTCTCTAAACAAGCTTTCAAGAATGGAATTTATGAAGTCAAATGTTCGTATTTCGCGCCCTTTTTCTTGTTGCAGGAAAATTTCATAAAATTGGCACCTAATTTAAAAAAAAATAGCAAAATTTACCATTGAATTTGTAGTTTGGGATCATTAACAGGTATAACCCTTGCTTCTAGAAGAACAGCACTCCCTTCCGGCACATCAGCTATACTTTTCAAGGGTTGTGTAAAAGTAGGTTTTGCATAAACTGTTGATTCTGGAACAGTTGGAACAACTTTTGGCGCTTCAATTTCCTAAAATACCTTTACTGGATGAAAAAAAATAATGGCCAGAATCTTTCAGTGAAGAAATAATTTATTGGAGTAGATTGTCATACTTGAATTCGTTTCCAGCTTTCTGGATGTTGTACTTCCGCAAGGATACTTGCTCGAGTCTGGCACTGCAAATTGCCGGATGTTTGATCCTCACCCATTGCATTTCTTACCAAGCAACGGAATTCACCTATATCTTCCGGTAAAACATAATGTATGTCGAGGGTTACCAAACCAAATTCATTTCTCATTGAAATACGACTACCAGCAGCTAATGGACGACCATTATGAAACCTACAAAAGAGTTAAGGGTTTCTAACAATTAAATTCGGAATTCACAAAAATTTCTCTCCTCAATTTACAATTGTTTCCAGAGTACTCGACTTTGGATGATCAAAAATTTCACATTCCAGAGACCGGAATCCACCAGAATAAGAATAAGGAAAATAACATTGCACCAATTATCTTAATAATACAAATTTAAAAATTACTTCCATATTCCTTTTCAAAACCCACCATAAAATTGCTAGCTGTGGATCATTAATAGGTTCATATTGTGCCTCGAAGTGCGCTGGTTGTCCCTCAATAAGATTTTCATTAGAATTTAATTGTCGAGTAAAATGAGGTGACCCGTGAATAGATTCTGGAGCCTCTTCAGGCCCTTTTTTCGGCTGTTCCAATACTTGAATCTTTTGCCAGCTACTCTCATGCTGCGTATCGCCAAGAATGGCTGAAAATAATACAATTTTCATGCAAATTAAAAAAATTTGAACTTTTCATCTCGAATATCATAATGTACATTTTTTGATTCTTTTTTTTCTGGAAGTTTCATTAAAATGCATGTCAAACCTGATCTGGTCTCAACATAAAGCTGCCCTTCTACTTGGTCCTGTCCTTGTTCGTTTGTTGCTACAACCGTATATATACCAGCATCTTCCGGAACAGTATATGAAATATCCAATCCGATAAATCCAAAATCAGATGTATGATGGAATCGATTACTGTTTAATAGAGGAACACCATCTTTGAACCACTGTATTCTCATCTTTGGATCGTTAATTGGTGTTACCCTAGAATATCGAACAATGAAAGATTTCTGTGAGCAAAGACTGAGATAAAGCAAAAAAAAAAAAAAAAAAAGATTTGTCTATATACGTACCGAAATTGGCGATCATCAAAATAAAATTTAAATTAAAATTTCGTTTTGAATTAGTAAAAAATAAAAGAATATTTTGTTGTAGAAGTTAGCAGAGCGATGCTAACGTGTAGTCAAAATTCTTCAAATTTTAATACACATTTAAATGTAACGATTTAATACAAAAAAAGTAAAACCTCGTTTCAAAGTGGGCTGGTTGGCCTTCGATCCTTTCGATGGCTTCCATCGGTTGTATGAACTGAGGTGCCAAAGGCTTTAATTCGGGTGGTTCTGGTGCTACTTCTTTTGGTGCTTCGATTTCTCGAATTCTTTGCAAACTTTCTGGATGTTGGCTTTCACTGTTGATTACTTTCTTGCCGATAATTTTAAACACTGCTGTTGAGTGTGCATCTCCTGAATTTAGCATTCTTTACTTATAACTAAATTTAGTATGATCCGTTCGAAACCGGGTTTCAAGTAATGATCATTAATAAAGAAAATCGATCTCTTAAAAACTTCAGATTGCAGAGTTCTCAGAACTGCAGACTTTTAAATATTAATTTAAATTCTAAATATAATTTATTAAACATCGAAAAAGCAAAAACCAACCCAAACTATTACTGACTACACATGTCCATTCGCCACTATCTTCAGGAAAAGCATAGAGAATGTCCAACGAAACATATCCAAAATCGTGCGTTTTCCGGAAACGATGTCCATTTGCGAGCGGTTGACCGTTTTGATACCACTCTACCGTGAGTTCATTATCGCTCGTTGGTTCTATCTGAAAAATGCTAAGCTGAAACAAAATTCTAAGCGCACTATTCAGACTAATTTTTTGTCAAAATTGGTGATTTTGAAAAAGTGATTAAAAAAGTGGTTGATAAAATATTCTGTAGAAATGCCAGACAGAAATACATATTCCTAAATGCAATTTAATTTAGTTGATTTAAGTGTATAGAGGAAATACAGTAGTCACTTATTAACAAAGAAAATTTTAACCACTAACAAAAACTAAACATTCTATCTTTTAAAACAGATTTCATCGATGAAGATGTGTCACTTCTCAAACGAATGTCTTTTCATAAAGAGATCTATTGAAATTAAATTTTAATGAAACCAACCTGTCCTTCCAGATGAATGGGTTCGCCTTCACTGAATTCACCAATTTGCGCAGGCAAAGCCACAACAAATCTTGGCTTTATTTTTTCAGGTTCAAGGTAAATCGGTTCTTGGGGACGACGGTTTTCTATATCTTGAATTTGATTCCAAGACTCTTGATGCTGAGTATTCAAAAGCAGTGATTCCGTTGCTAAACATACAATTCTCAGTGCATTCAGATATAGTTCCAACAAATTCAGTAAATATTCTACACACATATACAGTAACTAACGTTGGCATGTAACGGTACATGAAGTTGTTGCTTCTCCAAATTCACTAACTGCTCGGCATGAATAGATTCCGGAATCTTCGCCATACACAGCCAACAGATCCAAAGTAACATAATCCAAATTACGTGCAGGCATGAAACGACTTCCTGAAAGCATAATTTAATTTTAACGAAGAAGAAAATTTAAACGAGTAAAATCGATGGTAAAAAGGTTTCAGATGAACCAAACTGTTAACCAACAATTGGCTTCCTAAATAATAGCGCTACAGTTTCATCATGGAAACTTACAATATGATCTTTCCTATGTTAGTCGTTCAAGAGAATTTTATTTCAGGCTTTCAGAATTAGCACATATCTAAATTTTGTTAATTATATAATCCACTAAATTGCATCACCTACCTTCCGGCAACGGTAATCCATTTTTGGTCCAATATACTTTCAGTGTCGGATCATTAACTGGTTGCAGTCTACATTCTAATCTAACACTTTCACCGTCAAAGATACCATCGAAATTCTATAAGAGATCACGGACATTAGGATTATCACAAAAGTTGTTTGCATTATCAGGAGAATTCAAACTGAAATAATACTCTGTTGAAGGTAACAAAAGCTTACTTGTAATGGTACAGTGAAAGTTGGTGGTGGAAACGAAAGTTCAGGCGATGGTTCACGTGGTGGTTCATAATTTTCTATCTCCTGGATTTTCGCCCATGAATCTGCATGCTGAGTATCAAGATAGATATTTCTTCGTGCTGCAAAATAAAATCACGAGCATATTGTTAAGTCTGTTATGAAAGAAAAAATCCTTTTTAGAAGTAAAAAAAAAAAAAAAAAAAAAAAAAAAATTATATCACATTGCTGCGTCAATGAAAAAAGCAAGCAAAATATGTCTGTTACACTTTCACTCATAATAGTATCACTAATTCCAGCAATATTTACGTTTGCATTCGATGAAAAATTCAGTAGTTGCTTCACCAGCTGCATTACTAGCTTTGCATGTGTAAGTACCCGAATCTTCAGGATGAATATGTAGGAACTCAAGGCCTACGTAGCCGAAGTCATGCATAGTTCGAATGCGTGATCCAAACATAATTGGATAACCATTAAGGAACCATTCAATCTGTAAAATTTACGATGAAAATCTTTCAGCGAGATTTCTTAGAGTTTCAGAATAAGTAAATCTAGAATTTTCATGTAAAAAATGAGACATCTTTTTATTGACTGCAAGAAAAATGGAGAAACTTTTCAAGCAATGAACAATATAAGTTTAGCTGATTTGATAACTCATGCAAATTTTTTCCAATTAAAAAAAAATAACACCTTTAAATTAGGGTCATTAATTGGTTGCACCATGCAATCCATGTGCACTGATTGTCCTTCTCTAAGGACTTCTTTAGGACCGCTCAATTGCTGAATGAAAGATGGCTTTTCAGGCATTAATTCTTCTTCAGATGGTTTTGCTGGTTGTACTGCTTCAATTTCCTGGATCCGTCGTAAGCTTTCAGGGTGTTCGGTGTCCAAATAAATATTTTTCAATCGTTCCACATTAAATTGTGTGCTTGTCTCAGCACGACCTACAACGGAAAATTAGAATATTTTCACGGCCATCAGACGTAACCGAGACGTTCATTTAAATTAATTAATTTATATAAAGCATCCAAAATTACTATTTTGCATAAATAAAACACTCAAGAAACATTAACTTTACCTATACAATGTAGACAAATATTTTACAACCTAGGTTTTGATTTTTCTCGAGCAATTACTTTGTCTTCTTACTTAGTTATTCCCAACTTAAGCCGACCCTGATTCCAATTATGAATCTTCTTTGTCATTTTTTCCTATTTGAAAAAATAATGAAAATAAACGAGAAATCACCCTCTGGATTTGTGACAAGCAATGTATATGTCCCAGCATCTTCTGCGATAACATAATCAATGTCCAGAGATACGAAGCCGAAATCATTCATCAAGCGATAACGGCTACCAGCTTTCAATGGGTGTCCGTTATGAAGCCATTCAACCTAAATGTTTTATTTTTCATGTCTGGAAGGCTCACAAAAATTTCCACCTGGTTACTTTTTTGGAAATAAATGTTCAACATGTGAGAATCAGAAGAACGGTCTATCCGATTGACTTCAAGAACATCTGGACTATACCCTAAACTGCCCTTACACCATTCTTGTGTAGTAGACAGGCTTTTTCCACATCCGTTTATCTGCGTTTATCTGCTATTGCTGAATTATTGGTCTATTGTTTCTACATTTAGTCTATGTTTTTCGTTAGCAAAATCAATTTACGCAAATAATCGATAGCTTATTTTAGCATGCTCTATTTGTAAAGTTACATAACTTACCTTGAGTTGATTATCATCGACAGGTAGAATTTGTGCTTCTAAATGAAGTGTTTGACTTTCATGGATATTATCCATTTGTGGTGGTAGAGTTCGTACAATCCGTGGTGCCATTCGAGGTGCTTCCGGGCGTTCATCCGGTGATTGTAACGGCATTTCTAGTTCACGAATACGTTGTACTGAATTAGGATGGAAGGATTCAGTTATCTGAAAAATTGAGAAAGTAATTCAGCATGGACGAATTTGAAAATTTCAAAGCAGCTTCAAACTAGCCAAAATAAGCAATCAGTTTTGTTTATTAGAGTATATTAAGAATGAACACTTGAGCAATTTATTGGACATACTGAGTGAAAAAAAAAATTTCTTCTGGTACTTTCTATAACTGGATGATTTAACAAGACCAAAAAAAATTCCTGAACAAAACCTATGTTTTAAGATACAAAAATACAAACCATGCTTCCTTTAGCTTTACAGTCAATATCAGCAACAGACTGTGCTTCACCAGCTGCATTTTTCACAACCAGAGTATAAGTACCACTATCTTCTGGATACATGTATAAAATATTGAGTGCAATAAACCCGAAATCATGAGTAAGCACAAAACGGTGTGCTTTCATTAACGGCCTGCCATTTAAAAGCCATTCATACTAAACAAAAAAAAAAAAAAAAATGCTTAAAACTTCTAAAAAAATTGCAAAGCTTTCTACTAAAGTTGTCTATGTGGATCACAGCATCTTTGCCGACATTTGACAAACTAGAAGCTTAGTTAATAATAAAATATTGAAATACAAAGAAATCTACAAAAGAAGATAGATAAACCGTTAAGGAATTATCATCAACAGGAGTGATTTGTGCTCCCAGATAAACATTGTCACCTTCAGTAACATATATCATTTCACCGATACCAATATGCTTGATGAATTTTGGTGCCTATAAGAATTTCCCTTTTTTACTTGTAAATATAATTAAATTTGACAAAACATCTGTTCTATAGGTTTAATGAAAAAGTTTCCGATATCAAAGATCATGAGAATCTCGGATTGTACAAAAATGATTTTAAAGAGAAATCAAACATATGCGAAAGCTTAAGGCTGATTTCTGGTTACAAGTGCCACCTAATTATAAACTTGGATTTGAATTGGTGATTCATAACAAACTTTCATTACCAAATACATTCTCCACACTGAATAGCAAATTGAGAGTGAATGCACTTACTTCTTTTATTACGTCCGGAACTTCTTGTGGGACCGGCTTTGGTGCTTCAATTTGTTGAATTTTAGCAACACTGCTCGGATGCTGTGTTTGACCAAGAATCCGTTCTTTATCTAAAAACATAGTGATTATTTATCAAAAAAATATCCATGCAAAATATGAATGGTAAAAACAAAGAAAAAAGATACCCTTGCATGTGAAAGTAATGGATGAGTTCGCTTGTCCGAGCGCATTCTTTGCAACACACGTGTATGTTCCCGAATCTTCAGCATAGACATCCAAAATATCCAAAGAAACGAAACCAAAATCATGGAAGGTACGGAATCTATGTCCTATATAAAAATCTTTTATAAGGTCACGGTAATACGAACAATTTTCGTTGGCATCTAAAGGAAAAAAAAGCGCATTCTTTTCAGATGCTAAAGACTATGATGAAAATGAATTAAAAGTAACCTGTGGGAATTGGCTTCCCATCCTTTAACCAGCTAACGTGTAATGTGTTATCATTTACTGGAATTATTTGACATTCCAGATGAAGTGGCTCTCCCTCTTCCACTTCACCAATATCGCCAGGTAATGGTTTTGTGAAGCATGGCGGTTCCTATATAGTAAATTTTCAATTAGTAATTACAAGTTTATATGGACATACTATGACTCGGACAACATTACTTCATATGATCTCGACAAAATTAATAAGGTATAAGGTCTTTATTGAATATATTATTAGAAATAAGGTATAAATTTACTAAATTTGTTGAAAATCAAACTGCTCAAATTTTTATAACAACTTACAAGAATAAGGCCTATAAATTTCATTTATAGGCATTAAAAATATTATCAAAAGTAAGGTTTCTTTTTCTTTCTGAAATCATATAGTGATTGCTCTGAAAATTGAAATTCACCTTACCTGAGGGCCTATATCCTCCACTTCCTGTCGACCATACTTATGTAAATTCTCGATTTGATGGATTTTGCCCAAACTTTCTTGATGTTGCGTCTCAGAAAGTATAGTTGCATGTGCTACAAATAAATTCGTTTCTGATCAATTTAATTTTCCTAGCCTGCAAAATGAATTAATTCCAAAGTTCCATTTCCGCCATTTTAGTGGAAAATTTGAAAAACTGACGTTTTACGGTTACTCTGCATTCCTTTGTTCCTTCACCCAGCGCATTTGTTGCTTTTATGGCATAAATTCCAGAATCTTCCGGAATAGCCCCACGAATATCAGTCGTTAAAAAACCGAATTCACATTGAGTTCGGACACGAGAACTAATCAAAAGTGGACGTCCATTAACGTACCATTCTACTTTCATCGTAGGATCATTCATCGGTTCCAACTTAAATGGAAATTCAACACATTTAAAATCTAGCATTTGAAAAAATTCAGATTACATAAAGCATCAATATGTACAAACCTTTAAAGCAAAGTGAATATTTTCGTTTTCGTTCAACTCCAAATCATGCAAATCACCGATGAATCGCGGCTCATGATCACATTCACGGTCAGCTGGATATTCCAGTGGACGAATGCGACTTTGTTCCAACTCCTGAATCCGATCGAGTCCTTTAAAGTAATTAACAAAATTATTCACGAGTTAGTTCAAATTCAAGGAGAAATGTTTAGGTCTATAGATAATTTAAAGCATTTCCTTTCGCAGAAAACTGTCAAAGTCTTATTACCTTCCGGATGATGGGCATCCAGATAAAGAGATTTCTCCGAATTGACGATCAATTCGAGGTTTGATTGCACTTCACCTAGTTCATTCCTGGCAATCAATGTATAGATCCCAGAATCCTCAGGGAATGCATACAGAATATCCAGAGCAGCATAACCAAAATCGAACATTGGTCTCAGTCTGTGTGCTGCTGGTAAAGGTGCGCCATTGTGGTACCTGAAAAAGCTCAATTTTTTTGTTGCCTACAAAAATATAAACTGAAAAGCTCACTGGAACAGCGGAATTCTAAAAATAAAATGAATAGGTAGGACTTCATTAATAATTTGTAATCAAATGAGAACAAATGCAACACATATTTCTTAATGATATATCTGAAACATTTGTTAATGTCATTAAAAAAAATTTTTATGGATAACTCTGAATTAACAAAAATTTAATTTTATGAAAAACATTCTTATAAAATTTCAATTTTTTAAGAACATAATTATTTTGAGATTAGTACCAGTTCACAGAACATGCAGCTGGCTGTTTTAAAAAGAACATACTCTAAAGAATATACATCCGAATAATATACTACTAGTGCAAATTTAATAAGAACTTCAGATTAGTAGCGTGAAATTACCATTCAACAACCATTTTCACGTCACTTGCGGGTTGGATCCGTGCTTCGAAATGCACTGGTTCATTTTCATTTACTTCAATGTGGCTTTCTAATTGACGTGCAAAACGTGGTTGTTCCATACTGTTAAATTCTTCCGGTCTTTCCACGGATGGTGGCCCAATGTGAACCTAAAATAGTTAAAAATGAAAACAAAATCAACAAAGATTTATAAAATATAAAATTTTTTGAAATAGAACAAAAATATTCATGCAAATATTCAGGAAATAAAATTTTTACAAATTACAATGTCTAAAAAAATTTCTAAAAAAGAACATATTAACTTTAAAAAATGAAATTGTAAAAGTGTAGAACTTAATTTTGAGCTTAAAAATACAAACCAAGTAAACTTTCTTAATGTGATGTACCTGATGTCCCTCAAGATATCCGATCTGAGCTAATGATTGTTCATGCTTAGATTCAAGTTGCAAATTGGTAGTGTGCAGTGTAGTGAGCTGAGCTGCACTTTGAGCTTGGCCACGTAAATTCTTCAGAACGCAAGTATAAACGCCTTCATCTTCTGGATATGTCGGATTCAATGTTAAGGATACGCAACCAAAATTATTGAATGTCTAAATCGTTAAAAATTTTATGCACGGTATTCCATGTATAAAGTTGATTCAAAACAATATCACAAAACAGAATTTTTAAGTATTTAAAGTTAAAGCATACTTGGATTCTGTTAGCATTTGGCAGAGGTTGTCCATCTTTCAGCCAAATTACTTTCAATGTAGGATCATTTACGGGTGCAATACGTGCTTCAAAATATGAACTGCCAAGCTCTTGATTGCAGTGACAATTTGATAGCTAAAAGTGAGTTATAAAAATCTGCTACTGAATGCAAATTGACATCGAGACAAATGTGCACAAGTTGAAAGAAACAGATGAGATAGAATTTTTTGAGCTTTTTAAGCCTCGAATTATTTCAATGCAAAAAAATCTTTGAGATCATAGGACAAACATTTGTAAGGAAGACTGGTGGATGAGCTGAAGCATCAATTTCAAGTCGATATTCACGGGCATCTTCCACATCTACTATATTTCTCTGTTCGAAATCTTTTACACGAGCTGCAAATATCAAAGCTAAGATTCACAGATTAAAGGAAAGAGGAAAAGAAGTTATTAAGTTTATGTATCGTCAAGCTAAACTGCCAATCTTTATTTATTTCATATCAACATGATTAAACTCTTCAATTTCTAAACATTATGAATTCAACCATTCTTAGCTTTTGGACTGAGTTTGCACTTAACTTTAATTTTATTTCAACTACAAATTTGACCAAAATTAATCTGAAAATTCTCACGCTGAACAAGTACGGTAGCTGTTGATTCCATAATACCCACTTCATTTGACAACTGACATGTATAATTGCCAGCTTCTGCTAGTGTAATGTTGAAAATATCTAGCGTAACCAATCCAAAACCATTAGACATTTGTATATTATCACCTAAAATCAATCTTTTCGAATTTAAATTCCCAATAATTTGCTCTGATAGCAAAAAGATACTGATTCAAAAAGCTGAAATATGTACTTACATAAGATTTTTCACTCACAATTTAATATTGTAAATATTTAGTGAGATATTATACCTTACTGTAACTTACTTTGTTTCAATGGTTTCCCATTGAAAAACCACACAATTTTTACATTTGCATCATCAGCTGGTGAAAATTTCGCTTCCAAATGGACATGCTGGCCATCAAAAACTTCCATTGATCGCAGCTCTGCATGGAAATTAGGCATTTCGGCAATTCTTGTAGCTACTTTGCTAGCTTGAGACCGATCATAAAGCGTAACATTGGAGGCATCTGCTAAAGCACTACGATGCCCTAAAAAACTCGCGGGAAATGCAAAATTTGAAAGATTTTTTTTTTATATTAGTTGAACATCTATCAATAAACAAATCTTTTTTGCTGATTTGGAAGCTGTTTGATTAAGGAATCAAATTAAAAATGAAGTAAAGCAAATTTATAAGAAGAGATGCAAATCAATTAACCTATAATATTAACAACTGCAGACTGTCGCGCTTCACCGAGTGTATTCACAGCCACGATGGTATATTCACCTTGATCAAACATTTTAACTGGATTAATTTCCAAAGCAGCATAACCATTTTCAGCCACTGTTGACAGACGTGAACTAGTCATCACTGCCTCAAATTTTATAAAATTTTTTTAAAATTAATTTAAATGTCTAACCGCAGAAAGGAACTGGATTGAAAACAAACTACTGATGAGTTATATGCAAAGTTTTCGCTACAAATCAAAAATTAAATTAGAGTAAAAAATAATAAAAAATAAGAAAGATACCTTTCCATTTATTAGCCAAGCTATTTTTAAATTCGGATCATCTGGTGGTGAATACTTACAGCTAAGCAAAGCAGTTTGACCTTCAATCAAACTTAAATTTTTAATTGTATCCAAAAATTTTGGCGGTTGTTTGGAAGCTTCTCGTAATTCATTATTATCTATTTCCATTTTACTACCATGCCTGAAATCTCCTGAGAAATGAATTTTAAACTTAAAGCAAACACTTTTAATTGTAAACTTCTACTAACTGATAAGCATAACATAAACTATTACAGTTTCTAGACCACTAATTTAGCTAGTTTTAGATATACCTAGCCATACGACGATCAACTTTTCTCAGTGTAATTTGGTCCTGATTTACTAAATCCAATTTTTGACGAGTCTGAACAACTATGCGTCCCTGAAAGAAATCCAAATTTCATTCAAATTTAAGCAATATGGAAAACATTATTTAAAAACTTTAGAACGAAGTTATAGCGGGCATGAAACTTTAAAAAAATCAGAAAAAAAATCTGCTTAGGATCATAGAACATAAAAAATCACTTTCAATGAAGATGTTCCACATTCATTTGTAGCATCACATTGGTACCAACCACCATCAGCCATTTTAGCGTTAAGAATTTGTAAAGTTGTCTCACCGTTTCCCTTATCATCGATTCTAAAATTGTGGAATAATGCGAATACAAATAATAGTGATATTCAAAAAAAACTTGCCGAATACTTTTAGAAGAATTAAAAGTTTTAGGACAAAAGTGATTGAAAAAGATTAAAATGAGCCACTAATCATATAGTGTAAAAAGACGAGCCAAAATGTCGCCATTATATATCATTAATTGGTAAACTGCATTTATTTCAGTTCTGACTGAAAATGGCAAATATAAAACAACGAAGATATAAAATAATATATTTGGAAATGACAAATATAAAACAACAATATATCCAGTTGATCTCAAAGTTATACAAATGCTTACTTAAATGAGCCACCATTTTTCAGTGGTATACCATCTTTGGACCAACTCATTCGAAGTTTCGCACCAATTGCTTTGCAATAAAGTGTCAACGAATCTCCTTCGTAAATTGTTACAGACTGAAATTTACCAACAAACTGTGGAGCACCACTCGATTTCTGTTCTGAAATACAAAAAGTTTATTGAAAACTATAAAATCATAAAAATAATCTATTAAACAATAATCATAAAATAATATGGCAAATAACAAGACCAAGCACCAAAAGTCTTACATGCAAGCAGTATTTAAAGAAATGCAATATCTAACATTATTTTAACATACCAAGAACATTAAGTGAACAACGTAGCTGTACAGCACCACCTTCATTTTCTGCAACGCACAAATAAGTATCACTATCCTCAATTGTGCATTTGTTGATGGTCAACTTTGTGGAACCATCGTTTAAAATGTCAACCACATAGCGCCCACCAGTTGTAATATGACTGCCATCAGAGCGATACCAATTAAGACTTGGTACTTGCTGACCTGCTGTCTAAAAATATGAACAAATGAAAATCAAATAAAACATGCAAAAAAAGTCTTTGGAAACCTCGAAAAAAAAGTAATACTTATAAGTTATCGATGAATTTAAGTGGCAAATCTGATATACTTGAAAATTTGATGCAAAGAACTGCTTGAGAGAAATTTTTCAAACACTGACAAATTTAGGATCATTTCAAAAATTTGTAAGTGTGTTTTTCTATAATTCATTCTTTCCAGTTTCTTTATCTATAGAACTTACTTTGGCTGCAAATGTGACTGATTCACCAGCATTCACTGTTGTTGAAGATGGAATGGTACTAAATTGTGGTGGTTTTTCACTCTGACCAATATGCTTTGCTTGTCCATTTTGAACAGCATAATCTTGACCAGCCGTAAACCTTCGCTATAATACTTTATTTATTTTAAATATATAGGTGGAATAAAAATTTCTTGTAGAATAAAGTGATCAGAAATCATTCACAATTAACAGCTGTAAACAATAAAGTCAAATTTTAAGTTAGATAGAGCAGACGAAAAATGTAACATCAATGAAGCTCAGAAATTATTCAAAAATTTGAATTTTCAAATTTCACCACATATCCTTTTAAATCAAATAAAAAAGAAAAAAGATAAGTATACTCCTCCCACACTTATTTCTTTTCCAATTCAATTCCTAATCAAGTATTTAAAATTACAAGTGTAAACTTAAAATGCTAACAAAAATATAATATCTCTATGATATTTCGAATGTAATGCAATAATATATATATCTAAATATAAAAGAAATATGACAGATAATACAGATATCTAAAAAAACGTAAAAGAAATAGAAATATCTAAAAATGTAATATCTAAAACATATATATATAGATTATCAGTAACATAACGATTACTTCACTTCATTTCATTCCAATACATGATTCTAACCGATACCATTTTGTACCAATCAATTAACAAAATGAAAAATGCCTACCTGAGGTGCAATCCGCTCAACAAGAGGCATATTCTGATAGTATCGGCTCTGTTCGATATTATCAAAATATGTATGATACGGGTGATGCTGTTCGTACTGCTGCTGGTACTGCAACTGCGAATTCAATTGCGCTGGTGAAGGAAGCTGCTGCCGCTGCCGCTGCTGTTGCTGCCGCTGCTGATGCCGCTGCTGCTGATAAGTAGGACGTGGTAAGAAAGGTCGATGCTCTTCAAACTGTAATTGACACGCCTAATTTACCATTCATTTTTAGTGCAAATTCTATACAAATGAATATTAAAAATTAGAAAGTGAATGAAACAAGAAAAGAAAAGTAAATATTTAAAAGCTATATGCATACAATTATACATTATAGAAAAAGAATGCATCAATTTAATATAATTATTGGCTTATTGTATTAAAATTAAATATTATTTATTACTATTATAACTTGAATTTCATATTTACTTCATCTTTTGCTCTCCTAATTATCAAATTAGGTATTATCACACTGATAACACATACAGTAACATTGTCAATTCATAATTCTTAGATTAAGCCTATTTGTGGCCGGTCTTAGATATCCGAGCGATCATAATGAAATTCTCAACGATTCATTGTAATCAAAATCATTTAGAAAATAATTATTAATCAATTTATAAACATTTCAAATATTTTCATTATGAAATAATAAATAAACATTGAAAAAGATTTTCTAACTTTTTTTTTTTCTTTATTCATCTTTAATTTTTTTGATTAAAATTAACACTCTAAAAAAATATGAATGCTTTTTAGCTAAAATTTTCATTCGTCTATTATTTAAATTAATTGAAATAATTTTTTTGCTTTAGCTATAATTAAAAGAAAAAAAGGAAGAAAACTTTAAAATAATTTATTTTTTTTTTGATATTACATCAGTTTATTCAATTCTTTGATTAATTAGAATTGTGTTAGTTTAAAATAAACTGAAAATGATATTATTAAAGCTCAAAAGCTTTTGTTTTCACTTCGGATTACTTGACAGGATAGGTTAACCTTTGACACTTAAGCTTATTTTGATATTACTTATAAGTAAACTTACTTTATCGTGATACTGTTCTTCTGATTGTGGTAGTTCTGATATTTGATATGGTTGCTCGTAAAATTGCTGCTAAAAAAAGTGCCCAAAAAGTAGTTGAAAATAAGAATTTCTTATTAATAAACTTGAAAAAAATAGATGAATAATCTAAAATTCAAGTGAAACAAAAAAACTTTTATGATATTTCTGATAAGAAGTAAATGGCCTGAATAGACATAAAGTATGAAATATAAGGAATTACTTGATAAGTCTGATAAGGGTGATAAGCAGATTGTAGATATCGCCGTTCGTATTCAGGCTTAAAAAACAATGATTTTACCAGATAAGGTAAACTGACTTATACTAAATTTGACAAAAAATAAGTTTTTAAAAAAATTGCATTTTTTAATGAACGATAACTGCAAAATGTTTTTTCACCAATAATTTAATTTCAAAAATTATTAAAAATTTAAAAATGAAATATACCTGCGTGTACTGAGCGTGGTATACTTTTGGTTGATTATAAACCTAAAAAAAAAAAAAAAAAAAACAATCATTTCAATTTTAAAGTCATATATCACTACAATAAAATTTTTATATTTGAATTATAAAAAAGAAAAAAAAAACCAAGGGCAAGCAAAATGATAGTAAAAATAATAATATAACGATAAAATTGATTGGTATTTAATGATATCAAAAAAGTTTTTAAATTGTTTGACTTTCTAATTTGTATTATCAGACAACCAAAACATCATATTTTTATCAAATTAAAATTGATTGAAGATTTCAAATAATAAGAATGAAAATTTTGTACATTTGAAGCATCAAATAATTTCCATACATTTGTCTAAATCAAATTTGTCATTGCTTCAATTAGATCAAATAATTTATCAGTCAAAATTTATGAGAAATGCCATTGGTGACAATGAATTCAAGTAATAACTCAATGTGATAATCCATTAATACATAAATTCGATATCAGCAAATTTTAAAAGTTTAACTTTCAACAAACTTTAATATTCCTTTTAACTTCTTTCTTTAGCATACTTTTTCTCTTCCTTAAAGAAATTCAAAAATGATAGTTCGAATTTACCTGTGGATGAGAAATTGCCGTTTGAGCGTAATGTGTTTGCTGCGGTAAATGTCTGATTGGTTGGCGCTGTTGTTGCTGTTTCGTTTGATTGCTCTCTTGCCACTGGGAAAATTTAATGGATGTATTTGAGAAAAATAAAAATAAACGAAATTTTTGTAGGACAATTTATAAAATAAGTCTTTTTTTTTTTTTTTGCTTTTGCATTTGCTTTATTTTTTTTAACCTTTTCACTTTTATTTTCTCATTTTTCAAATTACACATACTGTTTGTCAATAGCGCCAAAGTTTTTTTTTCGATAAAAGCGCATTATAATTTGTTGCATGCCTTTAGCTTTTCATTTTAATTAACTAATTATGGTTAATTTTATTAAATACAATATGTAAATTTCAAACTTAAAAAACTCAATTCAATTCTGATATCAACCATTTTTGCGTAAAATTTAAACTTTTAAAAATTTTTGATTGCTTTTGTTAAATTCACTTGTCATTACTTGTATAAACGAATTTATTATTATATAATAAGAGTTGCAATAAAAAATGTATTATTTAATTCAGTGTAACAAATTTTAAGAATTTCGATTCGATTGTTATCGCTAAGTTTTTCGTAAATTTCTTTTTGACATAACTTTGATTATGTTTAATAAAAGATGAATAAATTGAACACTTAAAACAATTTAACAATAAAACGATTCATCTATCTATAACAATTTTTTTTTTTTTAAATAAGAAATTCAAACAAATCAGTCATCCTCAAATACTGAAAATTGAAATGACTAATGTAAGTTATTTAGTAAATGATATTTGTTTTTCTAAAGTATACTGCTATACTGCTTAGCAGTGAACAAATTTAAAATTAAATAAAACAAAACAAAAAAAAAAAACTTCCGTAGACCACAAATTTGTGGCATACGTTTTTAGCATTTAACAAATAAATTTTTTAAGTAAATAATTTTTTTTTTTATTTTAATAGAATTCAGCTGCATTTTTTCTTTTACCTACAACCTTCCAGTTGACTTCTAACCTTTAGTTATTAATCAATTTGAAATCCTTAGAACACGATCTAATGCAATCAATAGCGGTATCAAAAATTATAACTAAAATTTTCGAATGGACAGATAATTAAATGAAATCTTCAAAAAGAAACTTTGGTTTAGATACTAATGGCAAAAACTTAATTTTTACATAATTAATGTTAATTTCAATGTCCACTTCATTCTGTGCTAATTATTTTCATTAATGATTTGATTTGTTTGAATTATAATAAAGCAATTTGATTTTAATATATGATAAAATAATATCTAGTTTTCTTTTTGTCTACCAATTTAACTAATACTTTGTAATTTTTAAAATTTTACAACATAATTTGAAATAAATTTATTTAAAGATTCAAACACAAAAAATTCCATTACCTGTACTGTGTTTGAATTGAAAATTTTCATATTTGAATTAAAAAAATTAAATTATTTCATCGTAATTGGATAAAATTAAAGAAAAAAAAAAAGCGAAACTTCCTTATTTAGGATAGCACCAATTACTGTTTCATTTATTTTCATTATCATAAAATTTTGAAACACTTAAGATTTCTTATGGTAAACAAAAATTAATGCTTTCATTTTAAGTATCATTAAATGTACTGAATTTCTGGCAAATGAATAAATTATTGCTAATTTATCAGATATTACAGTCAATTGCTTAAATTTTTTAATTAATTTAAAATTTTCTAGTTAAAAAAAAAAAGCAAAAACATTCGACAGAATGCTATGATATTTTAATAATTGAAGAAGTATTATGCATAAAATATAATTTCACAAGTCAGATGTATCAAAATTTAATCTAGTTTCTATTTCAAATACTACTTCAGATTTAATGAATCCCTTTGTAGCAAAAAAGATATAAGTAAGCTAGCTAATTAACCTTTAAATGCTGTTGAAATGAGTAATTACCAAAATATCAAATATAAAGTTGCACTCATTTCAATGTTAATTTAAACTTACCTAATAAAACATGGAGGTAAATTTTAATAAATGAAACTTTGAATAGCAATAAGTTAAATTTTGAAAAAATGAACTAAGTTGTGATTTTTTAACAAAAAAGTTTTAGTAAACTGAAAAATCTAACGTGCTGCTTTAATTGATGAGATTGTTCGTAATTACTTTCTACCGGGTAAAATTGTTGAAATTGTTCAACAGGTGGTGATCGCTGCTCATTCGGTATATACAACGGATATACTTCAACAAGCGCTTTACTCTCAACCTTAAACTTTATTGGTAATAGCAAATTGTTTAGGTATTTCTAGCAATGAATACATTTTTGTAAACAATTCTATAGCAACCATAATAAAATTCAGTCAAACAAAAAAATTCAATAATATTTGTTGTTGTAAAAATTTTAAATAATAATTTTTCAAAATAAATAAATAATTGGCATAATTAATTCCTTAATAAATGGAAGATAAGAAAATATAAACAAAAATTAGAACATTAAATTTTAAGCATCTGAAATATAAGAATGAAAAGTATCATCAAACATTAGGAGAAGAAAGTTAGAGAGAAGAGAAATTTAATCTTAGAGATAGGAGGGACCTAAAACTCTCTGTTCAGTTTATACACTCAATTAATTATCGTCACCAATGAAGCTCTCTAGAATCAACAAAACTAAACATTCGATTTGTTTAGTGCCGAATTATGCACAAATATAATACTACCAGATCATTGCTTCTATTTTTTTAAATCATAGAATAATAATAATTTTTATGTGAAAAGTATAAAGTTAAAGTTAAGATAAAGAGAATAAGAGATAATTGTATTAGATTCAATTATGCATTACATTAAATTTAATATTGTATATTCCTTATGGCTAAATAATCTAACAATGAATCAATTTTAAATATAACAATTTAGCATATTTTTCAATTTATTCTTACAACGAAATAGACTAATGGACTTTGAGCATTTGCGCCATTTCAAATAAACAAACATATTTGGTCAAAAAAAAGTTCAATTTGGTAATATAATTTAAAATATACATTTTGTGATATATATTTGAAATTTTTAATTTTCGTACAACAAATAATTAATCTTTAGGAATTGTTCAGAATTGCTAGTCAAGCATTTCTGAAAGAAAAAAGTAATAATAAAAAGCTGAAAGTGACAATGTGTATTCAAAAATATTTCCAACACATATGAAAGGTTAATAAGAAGATGTATTCAAGTGACCTTTTCAGATAAGTGATAAGTGATAGTAAATAACCTAAAAATATTTAATACCACACTAAAAAAAAAAAAAAAAAAATTACCTAATGAAATTATTTGCATTAAAGTTTCATCAAAACAAAATGAATGATACTTTTCTGATACAAAAAGAATTTAACAATTCAATGTTAATTTTCAAAAAAGAATATCTGACGATTACAAAAAAATTAAATTTTATTAAATAATTAAAATAATTCGAATACTAAAATGAAATTAATAAGACTAAAATTAAAAAGAAAAGGTATCAATTTCACATAGATTAGTTGAAAGGTAAACTGTCAGAAATGAAAAAAAAAACTGTCAACAGACGGGGAAATACTGAATTATAAAAATAATTGAAGATGAATAATATATGAAAAGGTATATTAATTCATCCACCTTTCCATCTCAAATGACCGAGATTTCTTGGTATTTCGATAGCGTTATTATATTATAGTATTTTAAACAATAACACAGCACTTTTATATGTAGAAATAAGTGAGAAATTTTTCAAAAAATTTTATTTCTTTTTTTCGTCCTCAATCTTTTCAATTTTCTTTACTCTCTATCATTTCTTTAGTTTCTCAAATTTTCAAAAGATACATTCATTTACTAGGATAGTTTTCGTTTTTCTTTCTTTCTATCATTAACTAATCTTTCATCCATTTGATCATATTTCTATTTGCGCTCAACAATTTTCATTATGGGAGTGCAAACGTTCCATCATCTCTTGCTGCCATCATCTCTTGCTGCTTTTTCCTTTTCACTTTTTTTTCGCATCTCAAAATTTCCATCTCATTATCACTTATCACTATCACTTATCACTATTAGTACGAAATATTCATTAATTTAAGAGAGAGAGAGAGAAAACTTTGCTTTCACATTTTTTCTGTCTCTTTTTCTCTTTTTCTTTCTTTCTTTTTTTTTTTTTTTTACTTTTCTTTTTGCTTTACTAATCCGAAAGAAAAGCAATGCGATGAGAATGAGTGAAGCAAATAGTATTATCGGTAGAAAAATTTCAAAGAAATGTTTAGTAATAGAATGACAGAGATAGAAGTAGTTAGTTTGAGGCGGTAAAATCCACCTACTCATCCATCTTTAGCGCTTTAGTTCATTTCTTTGCATTTGAAATTTTTGCCACATCATCCGATCGGTTTGCTAAGTAGTAAAAAAAAAAAAAAAAATCATTCCATCAGTACTTTTCAATTCTCGCCTCTCGAGATCTACAGGATCAAAATAAACACTGATAATGAATTACCCCTTAAAAAGAAATCAATAAGGTTCGTTTTTTCTTTTTTTTTTCAAAAATTTTTTTTTTGTCTGTGTTATTTACGCATAACAAAAATATAAAAGTATTTAGCAGTAAAATCATCAATCATATTATCTCTGCTAGACTAAATTGAAAATATAACAATTTCACACCTTTTGCTTAAAGTATTTTTAGTAGAAAAGTTTATAATAAGCCAAAGCCAAATGATATATTATGTTAAAATAGGCTTATTAGATATGAAAGTCATTAAATGTTAATTTAATTAATAGCGATTAATTATCAAAAAATTTCTGTTATTTTATATTGAAAACTGTTGTTGATTGCAATCAATTTAAAAAATAGAAACAAAATTTTTTTCTTGAATTTAAAAGATTGAATTTTTTCTTTTTTTTTAAAAAAAAAAAAATTATGGACTTAAAAATGAAAATTGTCTTCGTTAAAAATTTAAAAGTCATAAAACATCAAAGCAGAATGCTTATAAAATACAATTTATGCAACGTATTCGTTTTTTTTTTATTTTTGCTCTCCCAATTTTTTTTTTTCGGGAAAAATTGTTTAAACAATATCCAAACAAACTTTCTTAAAAATGTTTTTCTCTCTCTCTCTCTCTCTCTCTCTTCTTTTCTCTGTTGCTAACGACGAAAGTAAATAGAAACAAATTAATATGTGGGGAATAAAAGGAACACCGATAAAATAATTTGAAGCGGAAAAATAAACTTAAATTTTCCAATAATATTCGATTTATTGATGAATAAAAATAACAAATTTTTTTTTTAAAAAAAATAAAATTCTAAAGCTAAAGTTGAACTTTTTTTTTGGAATTGACTCATTAATGACTCATTACTTTTTGCTTGTATTTTTGTTCTACTTTTTATAATTAGTAATTAATGAGGGATGATTCATTCTATAATTTTTGTTAGTAAAATCCATTATTGTTCAATGAAACTTTATATGATTTGAGGTGTTTTTCTTTTTTATGTTTTAGCATCAATTACAAATTGACTCAAATTTTAAATTTAAAAAAATTGTGTGTGCACTTTATGTTTCACATTTTAGTGTTAATATATTGAAGTATATTAGTAAACTTCTATTTTTCATAAATAGCAAAAGTTAAAATATTCATCAATTCATTAGTTAAAATCATAGAAGTCATAAAGATTTTTGATAGCACTTTGCAATTGATAACTTTGAATTTTTCTGCAAAATTAGTTCAGAAAAATTTTTTTCTTTTTTTTTTGTAGATAAAACTAATCTGACAATCTTACACTAAACAATTTAAAATTCCATCTGGATTTTTAGCTCTGAAATTTGTTCATTTTCTTTTTTATGAGTCATCAAGGCAGAAACGAATTATGATTCAATTGCTGCAAAATATAAGGAGAAAGATAGCTCATATCTCCTAAACAAACACTATTACAACAATTAAATGATAAAACTTAGTTAGTGATGATAACGATGATAGTTATCACTGATTGAGAATACATCATCTATACTGATATATTAAATGAGGTCAGGTATGATAAGGCTTAATTGTTGATGATAACGATGATTAGCATCATCGAATGCCTCATGTGTATTGATAAGGCTTAATTAAATTATAACATCTAGAGAAACTTCTGGCTGACCCTCAACTCTTAAAGGAGGATAGAAAGTTCAACTACTACCTGGACCACCACTAATAAAAAAAACTGATAAACCATCAACAAAGCTACAAAAGTAAACCAAAAAGATAAAGCATTAACCCGAGGAAAACTATTTCTGGGGCACCAAGTATTACAGGTAATATTCAATTACCAAACCCACCAATCAAAATATCAAAATAGGTGATCAACATCGCTAAGTGAGAGTACTTCATATTGATATTCTAAATAGATCAGGTATGATAAGGTTTAATTGATGGTGATTAGCATTATGCAATGGTAATAATTACAAAAATCAATAGAGTAGATAAAAAAATTCAATTTAACTTGAGCAGGAATTTAAGATGAATTTTCGTGGCAAATTAAGTAAATTCTCGTCAGAGTAAACTTTTTTTTGGTTGAATATTAGGTGATTTATAAATTATATCAGCAATTTTATCTTCTTTATCATTTAATCAAACATCTTAGAAGAGTTCAACAGTTTAATGATTAGATGTAAATTTTTAACTTTAAAAAAAGAAAACATTTAACCTTTCCGTAATAATTTTCCGCAACAAGTGTGTATTCTCCACTATCCTTAGGTACCACCGATGAAATCTTCAGAAGTGCCAGAGATCCCTTAAATACGGCCATAATTCCTTTTGAATTAATCAAATCCACAATTTTTCCATTCTTTAACCACGTAACCTGTAAACAAATATCATTTAATATTGCTGAAATTACAATTTTTTTTCTATGAATCATAACATAATAATTAATTAATTAATCAATCAATCATTAAAGATTTGATTACTCACATTTTTATCTTATAAAACTTAATAAAAGATTCGCTTAAATTACCTAATAACTGAAGTAATCAAAGTTATTATTATTTCCTTTCTGCAAAAAAAAAAAAAAAAAAAAAAAAAAAAAAGTATCAAATGTTTCAGAATTCGAGAATTCACTTCTTAGTAATAACAATAATAATCTGAATTTGATTTAAAAGTAAATGCTACCTTAGGTTTAGGATTTCCCGTAATATTGCATTGTAATAAAGCATCGGTGCCTTCTGTTAATCGTAAACCTTTCAGCGGTGTTTGCATTCGTGGCGGTCCGCCAAAACCACGTGAATCAATTGACGCAAGTTCTGCTTCTGTCTCACTTTCACTAAGACCCCAAGGCTAAAAGAAAGAAAGGAACCGAACTACAAAAAATAATTATCAAAGAAATATCGCAATTGTTTGATTTAAATTCAATCTTTAATAGTTTCTACAAATGTATAATTATGTCATAAACCTTATGTTTAATAGTTTCACTTTAATAGTAAATATTATTGATCAGAAAATTCTTTGATAATCTGTTTGTAATCAATGGTAATAATAATTGTTAAATGATAAATAATAAATGATAATTTGAATTTTGATTAAATTTCTTAAAGTAAATATGACTTTAAGCTTAAGATTTCTCATAATATTGCAGTGTAATAAAATAAATGAGCAACTATATATCATTTCTTATCATTTATCTTTCTCCCAGATAAGCTAAAAGAAGTGAAAGTTTTTCGTATTATTTTCATAATCAATTAACAAAACAAAAATACTTAAAATACTTTTATATTTATTTTATTTGATAAGAAACTGATAATATCAACTTACAATTTCAGTAGTACTATCACAATCAAAAGTGCCATTTTGAACAAATTTTGTTTGACGTTGTGCAATAGTTGCTGGACGTTGCTGAATGACAGTTTGTCGCTGTTGGAATGTTTGCCGTGAAATTGGCAAATTTGTTTCTGTAAATTATTTATCCTTTTTTTTTTAAAAAAAAAAAAAAAAAAAAATTTATTTACTTGACAAAATATTTGTAAAAAAAAACAATTAATTAATTAATTTTCGGAATTTAATTTTAAAAATTTAAATTCTATTCCTTTCTCATTTTTCATATTCCATATTCTATGATTGATATATTATTTATTACTTTGATAAAAATGTTAAACCTTATCAGATAATAATTTTCACTGATAATAAATGCTTATTATCAAATCCTAACCTAGCTTTTGCTTTTGTGTTTGTGCAAGCATAGCTTGCTTTCGTTCGGTTGTAATCAATGATTGTTGCTCATAAAACCATTTCTCGAATTCATCTCGTGGCATTAACTTTAAAATAAAACCAAATAAATTTCATATAATTTTTTTTTTGAAATCAAATTACAAAAATGCTTTGGCAATATTTATGTTATAAATTTTGTTATAAAATTCTTTCCAGAAATGTTGTATAAATAAAAAATTTAATACTGAAATACAATGAAATTTCAAAAAAAAAAGAGAGAGAGAGAGAGATGATAAAAAGTCAATAATAGCAATTTATTAAGTTATTACTTTTCTAAATCTAATTCAATTCAGATCTTATCTAATCATACAATATTTCTTAGTCTAACTATTATTTCATTGTAATTCATTCCATTTCAGTTCATTTTTAACGTTGCTAAAATTTTATGAAAATACTAAATTCTGAGAGAAAATAAAAATTTAAATTTATTCTCTAATACTTTTATTTAATATCATATGCAAATGAATTAATAATTAAAAAAATTTGCAACAAATCAAAAAAAGAAAATACTTTGCTATACCTTTGCGGATGATTCGGCAACTCCATGGGTATTATTCGCCCGACATGTATATTCGCCAATATCATCAGCGAACATTTGAGGTATAATTAATGCACAAATACCTGTTCGAGCGTCATATTCTGTTTTCACACTAAACATAACTTTCATTTTAATTAATTTTAATTAATTTCGCCTTTTTTTTTTTGTTCTGTTTTGATATATTATTGTATTTAATTTAATAAAATCACAAAATTTAGGGAAATTTTAGTTCAAGTTCATCTTTTTTCTTTTTTTTTTTTATGAGGCGAAAATAATTTTAAGAAGATGAAATCTTTTTAAAATTATTTTGTTCTTTCAATTTATATTTAAATTAACTTTTTTATGAATTCGTATGAAATAATTGACAAGGTCGCCAACTATATTTGAGGTAATTGAATTTATAACTTTATTTAAATAATAAAATGACAAAAGAATATTCTTCTCATTTAATTTCACTCATTTCTTTAATTTTATCACCAATTTCATCTATTAATAATCATAATTCTTTCCGCAAAATTGTGAAAAAGGAAAAATTTTTTGTAGAAAATAGTAAAATTATATATCATTTGAATAAAATCATTAATGGAATTAAATAATTAAAATTTTTATTGTCCCTGATATTGGCATTAAAAAATTTGTGACCCTAAAAAAAGAAAAATCCATCAGTTTTAATTCGAAACTAACACGAAATAAATCTTTACAGCAAATAAAAGAAATTGTTCAAATAAATAAATAAACACATAAATAAAATTTTAAAAATTTGTAAAACGATATTTTCTTTTAAATGCAATGATTTAAATAATTTGAATAGCTGCTGCTTGAATTTTTATTTTCCTTCTGATAAGAATTTCTGAGCTAACAGTCTCCTAATTGATAATCAATTTTATTTTGCTTTTTCAAAACTCATCTCATCATAGATAATTGGATGAAAAATTTACTAATCTACAGTTAAGCGTATTGACGTAACGTTATTGACGTAAAACTAATAAAAATTGGAATGGAATTAGTTTAATACTTTTTTGTTAGTTCATAAACCTACTAAGCAAATAATATCTAATAAAAGATTTTAAAAAAAAGTAAACTGTGAAATATCAAAAAAATTCTTTCTTATTTTATAAGAGAGAATTTGAAGAAACATTGAATTCTTAATTCTTAAACTTAGATTTGAGAGCAATTATATCAGTTAATGAGATGACATTTTATTTTTTTTATTCATTATTCTTCTCTTTGTGAATTAATAATTTATATTTTCAATCAAATCTAAATGTCACTGTTAATACTTCATAAACATAAAATTTTTAATCGATCTGATTGATTGATCAAAAGTAATCGTTGTTAATTAAATTCAATGAAATATTAAATTTTAAATATTAAATGATTGAATAAAACGAAACAAACCGATAATTATTAATTGATGAACCATTTTTAAACCATTCCACGTGTGGTTCTGGGTGACCAACTACACGTGCCTCTAATATAATCTGTGAGCCTGGTTTCAACGGTGAATTTTTTAAATCTTTGAGAAAAATTGGCGCTGAAGGACCAATAGGCGTTTGTGGTGGTGCTGGTGAATTTCTATAAAAGGAATAAAAATTAAATGAAATATCAAATTTGTTAAAAAAATTTTTTCTTCATTAAATCAAATAAATTATTTTTTATTGTATGCAAATAGCATGTATATAACTATCAAATAATTAATTAACAATTATATTCAATAAAAGTTTTTCCACTTCATACAATCATTTTAAACTAAATTAGTAAATTTTGTTTTATTTGTTATGAAAATATTTCGGATGAAAAATGATTTTTTTTTACAATAAAACATTAAATTATAAAAGCATTTTTTACTTGCTTAGATAATAAATAATAGAATAATAAAAATAATGAAAAAATGATACTGAAATAAAATTTGGAATATTTAATCATTCAATACAAATACATTTTTTGTTGATGACATCATTTTATGTTATTAAATATTAATATGAGAAGAATTTATAATACCAATTAATTAATTAATTAATTAATTAAACAATACCAAACAATGCACTGTCTATTTCGATTTCTTTCTTAATTTGTACAAAAATTTTCAAACTTTAATACTGTCTATTTATTATCATTCATTTATTTCAATTAATTAAGATATTTCATTATGCTTTAATTACTTATAACTTTAGCTCAAAATTCATAAATGAAATAAACTGTAATATTTCTAAAAATATTACACTAAAATAAATTATAATTTATAAAGCTTTGGTAATTTTTATAAGTTCTGATAATTCTACAGCTACAATTTTTTATTACTATTTAAATTTTTTTTTTTTTTTTTGGTCAAAATTAATGTATTACTACAATAACTATAACAAAAATATATTGTATATTAAAAAAAAAGATAAAACTAAAAATGAAAAAAAAAAAAAATTGTAAAAATTTTTAACTAAGAAAATTAAAACAAAATTTAATTTAAAAAAAAATTGAATTAAAAAATTTAAATAGACAAAAAAAAAAAGAATGAGTACTAACGCGACACTTTTTGCGCCTGGAATAGGTGTTGGCGCTGGTGCAACAATAAGCATACAAGTAGACTGCTTAATACCAGCTGCATTCATTGCTTGAACCGTAAAACGACCGTTGTCGGATGCTTGCACATTTTTAATTGCTAAATGATGCTTAACACCAATACTTGAAATCTGCAATATTTATTTTTTTTTTTTTAACTTTTTTTCTTTTCTTTTTTTTTTTTTAATTTTTCAGTTTTTTGAAATATCTGAAATTTATATTTATTTGCTTGTGAGATTTTATGATTGTTATTTTTATTGCTTTGCTGAGATTTTCAAATTTAATTTAAGTAAGTAATGCATGCAACAGCAATAACAATAATAATAACAAAAAGAACAGTTTTTTTTTTTAAATTTTTTCCTTTATATTATAATATTTATGATAAGTTTTCTTTTATAATAATTATCCTTGAAATGTGTTAAATTTCTATTTAAATTAAATTAAGTTTTAATTTGTTTAAAGAATTTATTATTATTTGATGTGTAATTTGAAAAAAAAAATTCTACAACATTACAATGTTCAATTAACAAAGTAAATAGAAATAAGTAAAAAAAAAAACAAAGTAAATAGAAATAAGTAATTATGCAAACTCAAAAGATAAATACGAATGAATGAGAAATTTGTATCTGTTCGATAGAGAAAAAAAAATTGTTAGCAAACTTTTCATTAATTTTATCTTAATTTGTTTGTTTTTGTTTTTTTTTTTTCCTTTGGTAATATTACTTTCTCTTATTTTTTCTTTTGGTTATAATAATAATAATTGTAAAACAATCTATTCTAATTCAAAAAGTTGAAAAATAATTTTATCACTTTATTAACAATATTATAAATTAAAAAATCAAAAAAGAAACAAATTAAAGTTCTTTTTTTTTGGTTATCAGTGACAATTATTTATATCAGATATTTAATATTCCTCTCTAAATTTCAACAACTTTAATTTATTCAAAAAAAAAAAATATAATTGTTAATTGCTGTGTTAAGAATAATAGAACAATGAAAGAAAAAAGTGTTTTATTAATTTTTTCATCTATTAATTGATCTATAACGAATGTCTAATTTAACAAATAATTTTACAAATTTATATGCTAAAAAATTCTCTTACGATAATTAATAATTATAGGAATTGAAAAACGGAATAGAAAGAATGGATGAAAATTGAGGAAGGAATGAAAATAAGAAGCCAAAAAGTGATTAAAAAAAAAATTTCAATATGGAATTAACCTCGTAATCAGGACATTGTGTAACATCATGATCGTCTTTAAGCCATTTTACAACCGGATCAGGTTGACCTGCTACCTGACATTCTAATAGAACATTTTGGCCAACTACCACACGCTTATCTTGAAGTGGCTGCAAAATAATTTTATCATAAATGATCATCTTATATAAACTTTCGGTTTTTATTTTGTAGCATTTTTAAAATTTTAATTTCAAACCAAATTTAAATTATGACAATTTTGAAACTAATGACTGATTATTTTTTGTCTTTTTTTTTTTCAAAATAATTTCCATTAAAAACTTCAATTTTAGTTAAAATCAAAAATTACAATTAGTTAATTAGTATGTAATGTTATATGTGTCAAAAATTACATTTTAGAATTTTTGTTTACTATTTACCTTATTTCATTTTAGTGTTTTTCAAAAGTGGAATTTTTACTTAGCAAAAATGAAGAGAAAGACTCACACGTATGAAATTTGGCAAAGTTTTATTTTCAATTCGTTCTCCCAATGGTCGCTTGAAAGGCATTTTTGATAACTGATAACTGTTATCTATTCTCTAAAGTATGCTAAACATTCGTTTCGATCACTTTTTTCTCCTTTTCAATTTATCTAAAAGTTAAAAATTAAATGGAATAATTCTTATATATATATATTACATATTATTATGCTTTACCGATTAAAGGTTATTTTATATTCCAATATGAATACAAATATATTCCAATATGTTCCAATATATTCCAATATGAATACAATTTAAATAAAAATGCAGCATTCGAAATAGATATGTATTTCTCTATATCAGTAATCATTTTTGAGTTAACACAACAAAAAAAAACATAAACAAGTATTAATGTATGACTTTTGCTTCTGATCTAAATTTTGACTTACGTTTCTTTTCCACTTTTCTTTTTCTAATAATTTTAAATTAGAAAAATTTTCCAAAACTGTTATACTATTTCAAAAAAAAAAAAAAAAAAAAATAAAAGAGAGAGAGAGAGAGGAAGCATAAAGAAATTTGATGAGTGACACTGTTGACATCTGTATACAATGTATCAAATCTCCTCAACAATCTGATCTGATCTAGCTAAAGTATCATTTAACTGCTTACTTTATCTTGTCTCCTTCAATACCTCAATTTTACTTCTATTATTTGATATGTCACTAACTCAGTTAAAGTCTAGCAAATACTGAATATTTTAAGTACTAAGAATTTTAACAGCAGTTCATTAGAAGGTTTAATTTCTTATTATGTAAATATCGAAAGGTTACACTTCATCGTGTCATTATCACGTTAATATCAAAAGGGTTACACTTCATCGTGTCATTATCACGTTAATATCAAAAGGGTTACACTTCATCGTGTCATTATCACGTTAATATCAAAAGGGTTACACTCCATCATTATCACGTTATCATCGTGTCATTATCACGTTAATATCAAAAGGCTTACAAGCGAAAGGCTTAACTCCATCATTATCACGTTATCATCGTGTCATTATCACGTTAAGTATGTTTCGTACAACCAAATTTGCCTTTTTTCGTATTAGCCCTTTTCACGTTTCTAACAAGCGTGAACAGATTTCCTTCATAAAATTTTCCATTGCTTAGCTTAGAATGCGCTTGTCATTTTTATCATTTTTATTTGATCAATAAATGATGCACTGAATATTATGACAATCACTGATACTGATAATATATAAATGATAAATAAAATCATTAATTTAAATTCAATAAATTCACACAAATTTCAAATAATATTCAATGACATAAATTATATTACAGTATAGATAGAAGAATAAAATGACGTTATGCAGAATGATTATTCATTCAATTATTATTACAGTTTAAATAAAATACAACTACCTGACAATTTTCAATTAAATTTCAAATAGAAATAGAAATTTTGAATTCTAAGAAAGTGAATGAATGAACTTAAAATATAATTCATTTTGCTAAAGTTTATTTGTAAGTTCATCATTAAATTTATTGCTAAATTTCACTAATTGAATAAAAAGTTAAAAAGATTTGATAAGATAAAATGAAGCTAAAAATGGTGTAATATATATGACACATGACATGACATGATCTGACCTGATCTGATCTGATCTAATCTGATCTGATGTGATATGATATGACAGATATAATGCGATAAAAAGGATCAGAAAAGAGCAGACAAAAAGTTATTGCTTTAGCATCGAGCTTGGATGGTTCTTTTTCATTATCTTTACAGGATGATATGCTATGCTTTCAATTTTAAAGTGTAAAGTGTTTCCTTCTTTCCTCTCCTTCCTCTCTCTTCCTCTTCTTCCTCTCTTTTCCTCTTCTTCCTCTCTCTTCCTCTCCTTTCTCTCTCTTCCTCTCCTTTCTCTCTCTTCCTCTCTTTTCCTCTTCTTTCTCTTTCTTTCCCTTCGTCTTCCTTCTTTTTCTCTTTCTTCATTTGTCGCCATTTTGAACTTATTTACAGCCTTTTAGCTTATCTATATTACATTACCGCTTACTTTTCTAAATCAATTATCCTTGCAGTTTTATCACTGATATCGAATGATAATTATCAGTGATAACAATGATAACGATAATAATCAATTGAAGAGCATGAAGATTACTTTCATGTGACCTTTGACATACAGAAGTAGCTTAATCGACAATAACCTTCTCATATTAGTATGCAATTACTAACTCCAGAGATGCTTATTGAACTTTAACCTTTCAATTTATGAATATTATTATTGCACAGTTTATTTTTAATTATTACATCCACTAAAACTAAGTGTTGTTTTGGGTGACTGAAAAGTATTTTCTTGAGAATCATTGAAATAAATGGGGCGGAATTGTCCAATTGGAAATGTACAATTGTCACATTTAATAAAAATTATTGCCTAAATAGATGAAAGTTCATATTATAAAGATAAGAAATTTGTTCTTTAATAAAAATAAAAAAAAAAAAAAAAGGGACGAACTTTTCTCTTTTATAATTATAATTTGAAATGTAAAAAATTTTATAATAAATCATAAAAAGTATTTAAGTATTACTTTTACAATTTATTATTTTCATTCAACAAAAACAACAATAACTCTCTTTTTTTTTCAGCTTTGATCATCTATTATTGATTTTATAGACATCAAAGGAGAGGAAGAGAAGAAAAGGAAAGGGAGGGAGAGAGAGGGAGAGGGAGAGAGAGAGAAAAGCTATGTCTCTTTGATTTTATTTATTCTTGGATTTAACCCTTCAGACAGACACAAACAGTTCAGTTCGTCTTTTAATTTAAAAATGAAAGAAAAAGAAAAAAGAAGGAGGAAGAAGTAAATTTTTTATTTGTTTCAATAATTCATCGAATAGTTGCTAAAATAATTTGATACTTTAAAATGATTTATTCATTTTCAATAATTAATTTTAACTTTAAAAATATATAAAAATTACAATTAAATTTCATATCGCTTTTAAAAGTGCTAATTTTAAACATTTTACAGCAATATTTTTGCACTGAACTTGGTTAATTGTTTCTTTTGTAAAATTTCATTTTTAATCTTTCAAAATCTATTATTCAATTCAAATTATTAATCTATTATTATCAATTCAATTATTATTAATTTCTAATGAATTTTGATAATAATTTTAGATCTGATAAGCTTTACTCTTTCTAATGCATATCTCATTAAGATGTTAAATTAATTTTCAAAAAAAAAAAAATAAAATAAAGTATATTTTGTAATAAAAATGCAAAATTGTTGATTTCATTTTTTATCGCAGATAAGTTAGAAAAAAAATTACCTTTAACATTCATATTAATTAGATATATAAATTTGAGTATTTAAGTATGAATTATATCTTAGTAAAAAATAAACTTTAAAGATAATCAGGTAATTAGGTTAATTGTGACCTAAAATTATGAAAAGATTTGTTAGTCAATGAAAATATTAGCAATCGAAAAGATGAATTTCATTTTTTCGTTTTTTTTTTCTTTCTTTCTGTGATAGATATCAGAAATTTTTAGTAAAATAATTAAGATCTATATTGATTGTAAAGTGATCAATAATTAGCGCACTCGTAATTAATTAATTATTTAACATTTATTAAGCATATTCCATTAACATTTATCAAGCATTTTTATTTATTGCATTTTACAAAATTTATCAAATTATTAAAAAAAAAAAAAAAAAAAAAAAAAAAGAAAATTAATCAAGGTATGTAAAAAAAAAAAAAATAAACAAACACTTTGTTTGAAGTAATCAATATTTGGCAGAAGACAAAAAAAAAAAAAATAATAATAATAAAAAGTTATACTTTAACAAATATTAACTATTTGCAATCATAAATTTTCTGCAATTCCATTTTGCCATTATTAGTGCAATTTGCATTTTTCAAAATTGCGCTTTGTTTGTTCTTTTTGCAAACTTTCTTTATAAACAAAAGTTTGAAAATAATTAATTTCAATTTAGCAAACAATAAAAAAAGAAAAGAGAAGAAGATCATAGCATTAAAAGAAAGATTTTAGAGTGAAAATATAATATTATGAGGCGAACGATAATACATTATCGCAATTTTAATAACTGAAAAATTGCGATGTCAAACAAAATTATTTTACATTATCAAATTTGAATAAATTAAAATACAAGCAAAAAATTATTATTCTCATTTCAAATGAGAATAATTTTATATTTTTTAAATTACAACTTCTCGTTTTTTTTTTGCAACCTAAATGTTAAATGAATTATCAATCAGTGATAAGATAGATATGAGAGGGAATTATTTTCATGCCTTCCTAAAATGGAAAATTTTGATAATTTCAAGTTGATAAAAAATTTAAAAAAATTGAAAATTTATTTTGTTCTCATTTGCAAATATATAAAAAAAAAAAACATCTTTTTCTTTTCTCTTTTTTTTTGCAATGATTATTAAAAATAGAGAATTTTTTCTTTTTTTTATGAAAAATAAATTAATTAATGATTGGGAAATGAAGTATAGTGGGAAGAAAAAAAGGAGAAAGAAAGAAATTAAAATAAAATTATTAAATAATGAGGAGGGATTCATTGAAATGCATTTGAGAAATATGGCAAAATGAAAATGATATGGAAGAAAAATGAGTAAACAGGAAGAAAATCAAGAAAAAAACAAAAAAAAAAAGGAAAATAAGTAAACAAAAAGCACAATGATATTTTGATATTAATAAATAAAAAAAGTGTGCAAAATTTATTCTTAAATTCAAAAAAAAAAAATTACAATTTAGAAATTTTACAAAAAATAAATAAAAAAAAAAGGAAGAAAAGAGAAATACAATATATTAGTTAAAAATATTTTATTTCAATAAAGAAAAATTGAATTAAAAAAAAAAAAAAACAAAAAGAAAAATTAGATAATCTGTTAAAATTATTACTATCAATAATTTATAATTCATCATATAAAATGATCACGTAAAATACACGTAAAATACGTGTATTTGATTATTATATCAACGTTACTTTAACTTCTAATCGATAACATTTCACGTATAACACATATTCACAAGAAAATATTACCAATATACAATGAAATTATGTTAGAGTAATAACATTTCTTTTCATTTTAACATCTAATCAATAATATTTCACATAGATCAAAATATACAAAATTTTATTTCTCAAAATTAAATCAATCGTATATTATCATTCAAGTTGAAATAAATAATAAATGTAATTTAAATTAGATTTACAATAAAATTAAATTTTCAAAAAAAGTTTTTTTTTTTTTCTTTTTTTAAATTTAGATTACAGCTAAACATACCATTCTTTGAATTCTTTTTTTCTACCATTAATAGATGTTGCACAATTATTTTTAATATTATTTGTTGTGTTATTTCCATTTGGTATAACAGCGCCTTTAATTGGTTGATAGCCGCCATCAAGTTGATTAACTCGATTATGAAAGAATGGAGGAGCATTATGTCTCGATGATTCTCGCATCATTGGTGGTGATAATTCGGCTGGTATTGGAGCATAGCCAGATTGTTTACTACTACAAACCATTGGATATTGATCTGTTGATGGACCACTTTGTCTACATCTAAAACAAAAAAAATTTTTTCTTAACACTTTTCTCATTCATTTTAAATTAATTAAAACGAAGAAAAATGTTAGCAAAGATAGAAAAAAAAAAAAAAAAAAAAGATAAATAAAAATGATTCAAATATAAATAAAATTAAAATTTGAAATAAAATAGTACTGTAAGAGAGAAAAACAAAGAAAAAATCTTCGCTTTTTTTTTTTTTTAGAAAAATATTTTTTAAAAGAATTTTAATTAGTACTAAAAGTACAACAGATAATATCAGATACTTTTTTTTTTTTTTTTTTTGAATTTTTAAAAACAAAAATTATTCTAGGAATAATAAATTTACATTTTTGAATTAGTGAAACGTATAAATAAAAAAAAAAAAAAAAAAAAAAAGGAGAGTCAAATCTTACCTAAAAACACAAAAAACAACAATAGCAATGATAATTATCACAGATAATGAAGCAATTGAAATTAGTGCCGTACGTGGGAAATCTGTTGGCGTAGCAGGAGCCTGAAAATATTAAAGATAAGTATGAAAAGTTCATTAAGTAAATAAGTTTAAAAAAAAAAAAAAAAAAAAGAGAACGACATTTTATTTTAGATATGATTTCAAAATTTAAAATATAAATTTGCAAAAAAAAAAGAAAAATTAATTTAAGAAAAAAATGTAACACAATATTTTAGTTACTTGTCATTCTTCATTTGTTATTTTTAAAAATTTTCACTTACTTTCCTAATCATTTTTTCAATTTTATTAATTAACAATATATATAATGAATTTAGTGATAAGTAAAATGAAGTGATAAGAGATAAGCTAATCAAATAACAAACCTTAGCTGTATCAGTGATAAGTTCACCCATTGGAGTAGTTGGTCTAACTGCATAAATAGTATGGCTCACCAATGTTGTACGAATACGATGCTTAACAGTCGTAGTAGTAGTAGTAGTAGCTGATGATGATAACGATGATAATGATGATAATGATGATGATAAGGTTGGTACGGTAAGCAATCGTTGTGATTTATATTGTTGCTCAATGTTACCTGTAATTTTTTTTATCTTCTATAAATTAAAATTTAATTAAAAAATTATTGGTAAACAAACTAACAATTTCACAAACAATAAGGTCTGAAGGGTTTTTTTTTTTTTTCTATTTCATTTAATCATAACTTATTTGATTACGATAAATTATTCAATAATAATTTTAAGCAACAAATTTATAACTCTCAAATATGTTTTCACATTTGACTACTAATTTTTATTGTTGCAATTCAAATGTGCCCCAAAAAAAAAGAAAATAAATAAATAGGATAGAATGAAAAAAAAAGAGAAAAAAAGATAAACAAATTAATTACTAAATAATTAAAAAACTAGAAATTTGAATAAAACATTGCAGTCATGCTGAAGCAAAGAAAAGAAAAATAAACTTTAAAATTGACAGTTGAAAATAAAAATTTCAATTTAAAAAAAAAAAAAAAGAAAAAAGAGGTTTTTTAGGGAAGAAAGGAAGAAGAAATTCTATAGCTTGTTAGAATTTAAAAAAGCGCATTACTTTCTACTATTTAAACTTACCCAAATTCTTAGCTTCAGGCACTTTTATTTCTTTCTTTCTCTCTTCTGCATTGTCATTTACTAATGACGATTTAGTTGAAGCATTCAGCAAAAGAGATGTTATTTTTGGCGTTACTGATATTAAAATTTTATCATTTCGAGATGTTATCATATCATTTACTGATACAGCCTGATGAGATGTCGATTGTTTTGCATCTATAGTGATAAAGTTTAGTGGTTTAATTGGTAGATTACTATTAATAGTATTTGTTATAGTAGGAGATATTGTCGTTGTTGTTTTGCTTCGTGATACATTCTCACCGTTATCTATGATAAGAGCTGGTGGTGCAGCAATATCGCTCCACAAATCTTCAAAATAATTTCGATTAGGTTGCTGTGAAACAGCACTAGAAATTTGCATAAATTTAGTGTTTGTATTGGGTGAGAAAGGTGATAATGGTGCAGCAGAAGGTAGTAATGATAATGGTGTAGTAGAAGGTATTAGTGATAATGGTGTAGTGGAAGGTAGTAATGATAATGGTGTAGTAGAAGGTAGTAATGATAATGGTGTAGTAGAAGGTATTAGTGATAACGGTGTAGTAGAAGGTATTAGTGATAATGGTGTAGTAGAAGGTATTAGTGATAATGGTGTAGTAGAAGGTATTAGTGATAATGGTGTAGTAGAAGGTATTAGTGATAATGGTGTAGTAGAAGGTAGTAATGATAATGGTGCAGAAAAATTACTCGTTGTAGTAGCATAACGACACTTCGAATAATTAGCATTGTTTTTAGAATGATTATAACATTCCGAATTGTTATTAAAATATTGCAGATAAGTATGATTGCTATTAGAAAAAGCATAGTGTTTATGCATGTCATTTGGATAATTATAATTATTATACTTTGATATATCATACGGATGATAATAATATCTAGCATAATTATCAGAGTGGTTACTATCATATTTTTGCTGACTTATATTATTCCGAATTATTGATGATAAAAGATAATCGTTCATAGATGATGTAGCAGTGATAAATTTCTCATCTTTCGTCTCATTTAGTCTTTTTGCATCTTTTTGCATTGTGAAATTTGGAAAAGGCTTTTTTGTTGTAATATCATTGCGATGAAAAATGTTTGTGGGAATTATTTGGATTGGTACCAGAACTGATGTTTCCAGGTTTTTTATTTCAGGTGAAGAAATAATTGCAGTTTGTGTTCGAAATGATGAAACGGTTGGCCAAAAGAATGCAAAACGATCATCATTATCATCATTATCATCGTTATCAGCACGAAACAATGCTGGTAGCAGCGTGTTACCATTACTATTTATCTTAGGAATAGTGAATATATCATAATTATTATCATAATTTCGAGAGAAGCTAAAAGTTGAAGTGATAGTGGTTAATGTGGTTGTATTAATTGTGCTGATATGTGCTATATTATTAGTAGTAGTAGTAGTGATAGTGGTGATAGTAGTAGCTGTTGTTGTTGTTGTGATAGTGATAACGGTGATAAGGTTGGTGGAAAGAAACGTGTGAGTACGTTGAGTGAACTCACCGTTTATTGTTGTTGTTGTTGTTGTTGTTGTTGGTTGATGTTGTTGTTCCTGAGCCAAATTCTCAAATTGTCCCAATTGTGATATTTCAGTGCTAGCTGAAGTAATTGGTTTAGCTCTCGTTGTAGTTAATGTTGTTTCAGTTGTTGTTATCAGTGCTTTCGTTGATAATTTTGATTTATCACTTCCTCCAGTTATTCGTGATGTTGGCAGAATTGGTGTAATGAAACCTATAAAAACAAATAAAACTATAAATAAACATATTTTATAATTAAATTTGAAAAATTAAATTAATATAAACTTGAATATAATTAATGATAAAAAATTAGTTGAATTTTTCTTTTAAATATATAAATTTCAAAAAAAATTTTTCTCAATTTAAAATTAAAATTTACTATTATTTTAAAATTTCTAATCCGTTTTCTTTCTTTTTTTTTTTTTTTTTTTTTTTTTTTTTTAATCTTCTACATAATTTATTTAATAATTTGTTCAATTATTATTTGAATAGAAAAAGAAATAAAATAAGAGAATAAATAAATGTAATCTATTTCACTCTTTGCTTAAATATACATTTGAATAAATCTTTATTCTTTCCCATTTGCTAATTTGGTAAAAATCACAAACCGTTATATTAGCAAAAATTTTATTTGAACAATTAATTCAATTTAAAATTCACCTTTCCTTTTTTTTTTTAATGAAAAAAATTTCTCTTCTCTAAAACATCAGCTATCATTTAAAGTTATAATTTTAAATTTTAATATTTTAATTTTTCCTTTTAATAACCATTTTTTTTAAAAAATACTTTTAAAATATTCTAATTGATCTGATCCATTTTTTTTTCTTTGATTTATATCTTTCAATATTATACATAATATATTGTAATTTTAACTAGTATATATGATAAATTAAAATATTAACAAATAATTTATTTGATAAGATACATTTTAAGTAATGAAAAATTTCACTTCTCTAAAAAAAAAAAAAAAAAAAAAAAAAAAACAATCAATTATCAATCAGAAGAATACAAATTTTATTTTTTAAATCTAAAAAAATTTATTTTTTTTTTCTCTCTCAACTTTCTCATTAATTTGAAATTGATCTTCTAAAAGTAATAAAAAAAATTAATTAATTAATTAGCTGAACCAGATGCTAAATTAGGCGCAAATAACGGTCGTTTGTGATGAACAATTTGACATTTAGTGGAATGCCAGTCAAATAAACATTTAATTGGTGGTGCAATTGTTGTCGTTCGTTTTGATAAACGTAATTGTTTACTTCCATTATTTAAACGATTTTTTGTCCTCCATCGTTTGGTCATTTTCCTTTTTGATTTTGCAAATTATTTCAACAAATCTAGAGCTCCACAATTATCTATTATTAAGTAATACTTATCCGAAAGAAAGAAAAACAAAGAGATAGCGATATTGATAAATTTATTCTTGTAAATGCATTTTATTATTTATAGTTCAAAAATTAAATGATATATATTTAAAAGAAAGAAATGAATTAAATATACATTTAGTAAAATTTGTTTTTTTTTTTAGTAAAAAGAAATTTTTATTAAATTTAGTAAAAGGAAAAAAAAAAAGAAAAAGAAACAATTGAAACATATGTATAATTTTGTTCTATGCAAAATTTGAAAAAAATAAAAGTTAACATTAAAAGTACTTAAAAATAGAAATTAAAAAAGAATTTTAAAATTAGAAAAATTATCAGAATAGAAAATATAATTTGGATAAAAGGGACTAATAATTTTTTTTTAAAAAAAAAGAATAGCAAAAATTATTTTTAAACATTGAGAAATAACTAATTTCAAATGAAACACAGTGAAATGTTTAAAAATGAAATAGTTAAAATTATTATTATATAGTTAAAACAATTAAATTATCATAGCATTAATTTAAAATTGCCAATTTTTCTAAGAAATTTTGATTTTACTAAGATTTTAGCATAATTTGAGATGGATGCACAAATATTTGAACTGTTGTAATATTCATTTTGTTGCTAAAATAAAACAACAAATTTTCAAATTCAAATTCAGATCCAAAAAAAAAAAAAAAAAGAAAATTACATTTTTTACTAAATAACATTTGCTAAAAGAAAATAGACAACCTATCTGATATATATATATATATATATATATATATATATATATATATATTTATTTATAATAAAATATGCTTTAATACATGTAAATGTTAATTTTGCGGAGAAAATGATAGAAGTGGACAATTGGTGACATTTGTGACACTTCAAAATGATTATTGTTGACAAGTCTATAGCATTGATGATTTTATTAATTTTCTTATGATTCATTAATACAAATAGTTAGTTACTTTAAAAGGTTACTAAGAAAGTAATTCATCACGCGACAAAAAAAAAAAAAAAAAAAAAGGAACAAATTTCTCGATGATTTCCTAATTATAATGTCTTCGAGAATATACAAAATTGATATTTACATTAGACAAAAGGAACAAAAAGGATAAAAGTTACATATAATTTTGTTATCTGTTAGCTAATTTAGCTAAATTAGCTTTTTCGTTCTTCTAAAAATATTTCTAAAACTTTTAAATTTTTTTTAAAAAAAAAAATTGCTAAAAATTAAACATTTTAGAATTTTATATGTTAAATAAAAATTTGTAATCTTTTTTTTTTTTTTTTTTTTTTGAGAAAAAAATTTTTTTTATACTAAAAATATAAGAAATTTTTATTTAATGAAAAGTAGCTTTGCGATAAATGCTTTCACTCATTGTTTTCATTTAATTAACCTTTTCTTCTTTCTTTCTTTCTTTCTTTCTTTCCCTCTCTCTCTCTCTCTCTCTCTCTCTCTCTTTGCATTTTATTCGTTCAAATCTCTCAGATAAATAATTGTTTATGCAATAATCACAGCAAATTATTTAGCTCTTTCTATTATTATCTCTTATATTTTTTCAAATACTACGGGTATAATTTATTAATAGAAGACAAATTTAATTAGAATAATTATCACAACATTTTAAATGATAAAATTTATTGATTAAAATACTGTGATAACACTGATTAAGTTATCAGATTGACATGATTATAAACTTTAAATAATCTTATCAACAAAATATATTACAAAAATTGATTTTAGATAAGATTAGAGTAAAACTTTAAAAAATGAAAAATAAATTCAAAAGCTGTTTAAAAGAATGAAATGCGATATTATGTGTAGAAATAATTTCAGGTTGATTAGTAATGAAAAGAGAAATATCTGAATATGAGGAGAAGTGCAAAAAAAAAAAAAAAAAAAAAAAAAGAGACAAGTCAAGTAATTGTCCCCAAGGCTCATTAAAATTATTGAAAGAGGATTAGGAAGATAACTCATCTCGAACAGATATTTGTTGCAATTAGCCTACATTTCTTCTCAGTTTAATCGATCTAATTTAACAGTTTATTGATTAAAGCGCTAATTACTTCAAATTTTAGGGAGAATATAATTAATTTGAAATTGTGATTTTCATATTTTTTATTTTTTAGTAATAAAATTTCATTTTAAAAAACACATAATAAAATATTTTGGAATTTTTGAAATTTTTTTTTTTCTTTTTTTGCAATATTATTTTCATGCTTTTTCTGTGATTGAAAGTTTATTTTTCTTTTTTTTTTAAAAAATGGATTTTTTATTTTTCGAAATATTCAGAATTTCAAGTAACAACAAAATAACGCATCGATTTTGAGGTAAATTTTGAGGTTAAACTTTGATTTAAGTTTAAGTAATAATTTAATTCAAGTAATTTAATTTAAAATGATACCTTGCTAAAAGTATAAACACATAACTCTGTTAAAATTGTATACTTCAATTTTTTTTTTTTTTTTCCGAGTTGAATTCATCATTTTGTGACATCAAAAATGACATAATTTAATATACACTCATTCTTAATACAATGTATGTTAATTAATATTATTAATAGATTATACTTCATTGATGAAAATAATTTTAAATTATCTAAAATAATCATTAAATTAATATCTTTAATTCCTAATACTAAATTCAATTATAGCATTAGCAATTCAATTATTAAATATTTAAATGCTCGTTGTTTGTTATTAAATTCAACCAAAAATTTTTCCCTTAAAACTATCTAACTTTTTTATAAAAGTTTCATTTTTATTTTAATTACCTAATTATCTAATATTTAATTGTTTATAAACAAATTTTCATTTATATATTTCATCTTTTTTAAAAAAAAAAAAACAAAGAAAATCGATAATCAAAATTTATTTTGCATAATTTTTTCCTTTCTTTCTTTGTTGTTCTTTTTTTTTTTTTTTTTTTTTTGCAAACAAATCGCTTTTTACGATCAATGTTCGATAATATCTAAAAATATAAGAAAAAAAATATATATATTTTAATGAGGCGGAGACTGGTACGACACTGAAGCGCATTTAGCACTTAAAAGAAGAGCGCACTTGTCATTGACTGCTTTTTTTTTTTTTTTAAAAAAATATTTTATCTGTCTAACACGTCATTTCTATATGTTTTATTTCAACAATTGATGATCGATTGACATTTCTTTTCTTTTTTTTTTTCATATATCATTGAAATATTTAAAATTTTAGATGAAATTAACATTTTAAAAATATAACCAAAACCAATTGGGAATTTAGGCCATTTCTTACTTTTACTTTCTTTTTAACATAAAATGCAATCGTTGTTTTTTTTTTTTTTTATAACTAAAAGAAATGATAATATAATGCGTTTTAAGCATTTTCCATATATTTTTATATTAGCAAATATTTAGCTTAAATGAAGGCAAAAATATTAATTATTGTAAAAATGGTCTTTTTTAAAATTTTTTTTTATTTTTTTTTTTAATTCATTGAATAACTTTTTATGGTTTTTTAATTTCATTTTCTTCAAAAGAATTTTGTTTTTCAAAAAATGTTTGAAATTTTCTGAAAAAGAAAAAAAAAAGAGCAAAAAATATTGAATGTTAGCGAAAAATATAAGAAAGAATTAATTAAATCAAAAAAAAAAAAAAAAAAAAAAATTAAGTTTTGTGAGAATTAATTAATTAAAATAAGAATTTTTACAAATGTTAAATTGAATTTTAAATATTTTTGTTTTGTTGAAGTCAAAAAATTTTGTAATTTTATAATGAATGGAAAAAAGATTTGATGCTAACAGGAAAATAATAATTATTTCATTTGTATAAAATGTCTATAATTTATTTTTTTTATATTTTGAAATGATAAGTACATAGATTATAAGAAGTAAGCATATATGGACTAGAAGAAATTAGACAAGTATATTGGCCTAGGAACAAAAACCAGCCAAGTATATGGACTAGACAAGTATGAAAAAAAAAAAGAATAAAAAGTATAAGAAAATTTCTTATCGATCATTAATTATATAAAGAAGTGAAAGAAAAAAAAAAAAGGAAAATAATCTTAGCTATAATTAGCAGAAAATAAATTCGATGACAGTATTTTGTCATCGAATATTTCTAACCAAATTTATTCAATTATTAATGAATTTCAAAAAAATTAAAAAAAAAAAAATTAAAATCAAAAAAAAAAAAAGAGTAAAGTTACAACAATAAAATTAATTTTACATATATTTATGAAAAAAAAAGGATTAACCTTGAACTAATTTTGATATATTTCAAAAGTTATAGCATTTCAAAGAAGAAATCAATTAATATGTAATTAATAATTTTAAATTTTAAACATTACTAATGTTGAATGAAAGAAAAATTTTTTGTTAAATTTCAACTAATTGCTTTTGCATTTTAATAAAAGAACCAATAACAATTTTAAAAATTTAATAACACTCTTAAATAATACTATTTTATGTTGTTGAATTATAATTGAGAAAATTTTAAATTACTTTTGTTAAACATAAAATTTCAAAATATGCACTCATTAAAATGATTTATAATGATCGTAAAAGTTTTATAATTGAAAAAAAAAAAAAACAACTTATTTTCCCTTTCAATTAGCAAAAATCCCATTCATAAAACTTAATTCATGTGATAAAACGTTATATCAGTGATTAGTCTATTATCATTTATCATTTATCACATTATCATTTAATGATTAAGTTAGATTCCAAAGTAGCGATATACAATAGTTGTTGTTTATTAATTAAAAATACATAATCATCTACAGAATCAATTATTTCCATTTAAAAGCTTAAGTATTATTAAAATTATCAATATTATCACTTATCAATGTTACTTTCAATCAGTGTAAAATATGAATAAATTAATAATACATTGTTAATACAACAATTAATTAAACATTTTAACAAAAAAAAATTCATTAAATGTTAAGTTTGATCAAAAATTTTGCCATGAAATTCATTTATAAGTAAAAGAAAAAAAAAATAAACAATAATAAATTAAAATTACAGAATGAAGAAAAGAAAAAAGAAATAAACTCAAAAGAAATAAATAATTTTAGTGAATGAAAGAAAAGATAAAATATGAAAGTTAAAAAGTACGAAGTAAAAGTTAATAAGTAAAAGTTAATAAGGATGGAAGAAGAAATTCAAAAAAAAGGAAATAGAAGAATTCACAGAAAGAAAAAAAAAAAAAAACAAATTTTTTTTTTTGATTTGAATCAACATCAATTTTCTGTTTACTTCTTCTATTGCTTTCTTGCAAAAAAAAAAAAAAACTTTTTTTTCTTTTTGTTATAAAATTCCCACGGGAAAAAGGGAAACAAATATTTGGTAGGGAGAGAGAGAGGGAGGGACAGAGAGGGAGAGAGAGAGAGGGAGAATGATGTGAAAAGCCAAAGGGTTTTTAAAAAAGAGTAATAAGATAGCTTACTTACTTATCAATATTTCAAAAATGCTTCTAAATTAAGAAATAAAGATGAAAAAAAAAAAAAAAAAAAAATGAAATGAAATATAGGAAATGGTTATTAAGTTAAAAAAAACTTTGTTATTGAAATGATTGATATTCTAATCCATCGATGATAAAATCATAATTTTATCATCGATGATAAAAGGAATCTTATTGCCTCAACTGTATTTTAAAGTAATTTTAATAAAACTTAAAAAAAAAAAAAAAAAATTATCAGTATGATTAAAATTACTAATAATAGTAGAACTTATTTCATGCCTAATTAAGTATAATTAATTAAATGGTTAGTTTTATGTAATTTTATCATATATTTATTATTTGCTATTCTGTATTTACTATTTACAATTTACAAATTTCTATAAATTTGCTGCATTTATTGTTAACTTAGTAATTTACTTTAAGTATTACTACTTTACCTAATATATGCTAATATCGAAAGTACAAATCTCTGTCAAAAAAAAAAAAAAAAAAAAAAAAATTGAAGGCTAAAATTGAATTTTCCTAGTTTATATGAATTCATTCAAAAGATCATTCATTCATTCATTCATTTTTTTTTTTTTTCTCATCAACATTATGACTTATTTAACTTTCTCTCTAAACTTAGTTAACTTTTCATCTATATACTTAACTAACTTTCACTTCACACTTACTTAACTTTCTTCTCAAATTTAATTTTTCTCTTCTAGAGCATAATATATTGTTAGAAACTATTCAAAATGCAAAAAAATCGATTGCGCAATTATCAAAGTTAATCTGCGCAATTCATCTTCAAATTATCTCCAACAAAATTCCGCATAAATTATGTGAATAAGAATTGATGTTCATATATGCTTTTTTTTTTTTTTTTTTAAAATAGTCCCAATGGATTTTAGAGTCCCATAAGCTTATTTAAATGTTAGCATCCTGCAATTTACATGTAAATTTCGATTCGAAGTGTACATTTCTAATTAAAGAAAGAGAGAATGACAATAAAATCATTCGTCTTTGCATTCTATCATACTTCATTAAAATCTCAATAAACTTTAATCTTTTCTCGTAAATTATCTTTAGTTTTATTATATTTCAAAAAAATAACAAAACTTTTTTTTTTGTTAGTAAAATTTAAATTTTTGAAAAAAAAAAAGATTTTTTTTCTGAGTTACTCTTCTAATAAAGTAAAACAAATCAAACATGCATTTTAACATTTTCTTAAAGTATTATAAAAAAAAGAAAAGTTTTATAGAGTTAAAAAAAAATGCTTAATGAGGAAAATGAAATAGAAAATTTGTAGTTTGAATAATTATAATTACAACGATAATTAATTATTTTCAAACTAATAATTAATTAGTCTTATATTCAATGTTTGATATCATATATAAGCACATATGAATTCAGCAGACATATGCGCTGCATTTTGCGCATAAATAAATGTGTAGCGTAGAAATATATATATATTTTTTTTTAAATTTTTTTAAATTTTTAAATATTTTTTAAATATAAAATATATTTCATAAAGTATAATCTATTTATTTAATATAACACTGTGGCAAAAAGACACATATATATATAAAGAAATGTTAGTAGAATTTAAAAATATAATCTGAAATCATAAATATAAATGGACAACGTCCATTAAAGTGTTTAAAAAAATTTGAATTAAAACATTTACTATAAGCAAATAGATAATATTTAGTAAATTATTAGCAAAAATTATTGTTAAAATGCTTACCATTAATAAATAAACTAATATTCAATGATTTGTTAGAAAATGAATTAAAAAAATTTGCCATAAATAAAATGGACAATGTCCAGTAAATTGCTAGAAAAAAATTAGTAAATGAAATATTTACCGGTATGATCGAGATCAGTAATTTGACATTTTTCTTGCTCTTCAAATTCCACACAACCAGAACCTTCTGCTTCAATAAAACCTTCTTTAGAGGTTGCCTAAAGTAAACAAAATGAAAAATAAATAAATAAATAAATAATATCCAAAATTTCGAAAGAAAAAAAAAAAACTTTCCACTACAATAAGAAATATTATTGAATTAGTAAAAAAGAAGTGTTTAAAAGGATAGCAATGACATTAGCGATGTATAAATAATAAATGCATAAAATATAAATGAATTTCTGTCGGAGAATATTGATTTTTGGATGATAATAAAATGCATAGACTATAAAATTATAAAATTTTTTAGAGAAAAAGAAAACGAATTATTTATTAATGAGCAATTTATTAAGAAAAAAAAAATATAAAAATAAAATAAATAACTATAAGTAAAGCTATTATCATTTTTTTTTTTAAAATTTTCTTATGAAAAAAATGTCAATAATAATGCAACAAAGGTTACATTTCATTTTGTTGATTTTATTATATAAAATTTAGAAATATGTTAATTAGTAGAAATAAATTTTATTCGTATATTATAAACATGCTAAAAATAGCAGTTCTATTTCAATTTTAAATTTTTGCTATTTAAAAATTTTGTCAAATAGATTGCTTATAGAAAGTAATACTAAAGAAATAGAATTGTTAAGTTGCAGTATAAAGATAAAATTTTTTCCATAATTTTCTCATTTATAAACATTTCAAATAATAATTTTAAGCTATGATTATTAAAAATAATTATTAAATTATCACAATGGTCAAATTGAAATTATCAAAATAATCGCATTAAAAAAAAAAAAAAAATTCTGAAATGATAATAAATGTTTATCACAACGAAGTAAATATTTAGCATTTAAATTCAATAATATTTTCTCATCTATCATAATTAAAAATTTTCAGGTAAAACTAAAAAATACTAATATTATCATAAAATATTATAAATTATCTCCATGAAATGATCAGTTCAAGGATCAAAAAAAAAAAAAAGAAATTCTAATTAAGTAAATTTTTCTTGCTCAAATGAATTTAAAATTAACACATTGAAATTTTCACTATTCAATTAATTAAATTACTCTATGACATAACTTATAATAAGTAGATATGATGAAAATAATTTTTATAAACGTTTAAAAATTTCAAAAATTTTTAAGCAATAATAATTAGCAGAAGAAAAATTTTTCAAAATTGTATGCTTGCAATGATAAAACAGTATAAAATAAATTTATTATTTAAACACAATTTAATTTAAAGATATTTATAAGAGACAGAGAAAAGAATAAAAAGATTTTAAAATAGGAATAATTTTCAAATAGTCATAATACTAATGAAAAAAAAAAAAAAAAAAAAGAGGAAAAAAAGAGGAAAAAAGGTTTTTGGTTTATTGGAAAGCTTCTGGCAAATATACATTTTAGGAAAATTAGAAAAGTAATTTTGCTTTTCCTTAGTTGAAGAAAAGTATAACAAAAAATATACCTAAATGCTAAGCTTTTTCTTTTTTTTTTTTTTTTACTCTTTCAAATATTTTAAAAAGTATAATGCTTTTCTTTTCTAAGGCTTTTAGTTCTTTTTCTGATTAATGAAATTTTTCCCAAAAAAAAAAAAAAAAGAATTTTCCAAGCAGTTTTCGTTTGCTTTTCACTAAACATTTAAATTGTTTAACTATTGGTTTGATATTTGTTAAAAAGTTTTGCTTCACTCTTTTTTATTTTTCAATTTCAATTCAATTTCAATATCAAAATTGGATGAAAGAAAAGAAAAGAAAAGAAAAAAAAGAGTAAAATTGGTTTCAATCAAATTTTGAGACATTTTTCTCCAATACAAATAAAACTTTTGAAAGTATATTTTATGAAATTTAATCAATCATGTTGTTCTATTAAATAATGTAAACAAATTGAAAAGTAAATTTATTGTTGATAAGCATATATTAAAATTAGAAGAATCAAAATTATGCAAAGATTAAACAAATGAAACAAATTGAAATTATAAAAAATAATAAACTGGAAAGTAGGAAAAAATTTTTTAACAAATATTTTTTAACAAAAAAATTATTTTGCTAAAAAAAAAAAAAAAAATAAGATATTATTGAAGAAGAAATCAAATATTGAAAAAAAAATCTACCAAAGTATGAATATAATAAGAAAAGATAAAAAAAGAATAAAAGAGAGAGAGAGAGAGAGAGAGAGAGAAAAAGCTTAAGTTAATAATCCTAAAATTAATTCCAAGAAATTTTTTTTAAGCTTACTTATTTAATGATTAGTAAACGAGAAAAAGTTTAGCTTATTGGTTCAAAAGGAAAGGTGAAATTAAGCAAAGAGATGCACGCATCATGCATCATGCATCATGCAAATGCATGTAAATGCATGCAGCGAATGAGATTTATATTCTCAAATGAAATGATAAGCTTATTGAAGCGACTAAAATGATTGATCGATAAATGAATAAATGGTGATTTTTGCGCTTTATTGATAGAAAATTTATGGAAACAATTAGCGGAATATTTCTGAAAGCTTGTAAATATCAACTTTATAAAATAATGCAAATCAATATTAATTAATCATATTGACAAGACTTTTTTCCATTTTATTATTCAATTCTTCCAACAATATTTGAAAAAAGCTAAATTGAATAAATATAAATTCAAAATATTTTCTTCATTAATAAATCAAAAATAAAATTAAAATATTAGATAAAATTTTCTTAATAAATCAAAAATAAAATTAAAATATTAGATAAAATTAAGAATAGTTGGGGGGGAGGGGCGGGGGGGGGGCGCAAAATAATTGATCAATATTTAAATAAAAATGAAAATTTGCATAGATTTTTATGGCAGAATAAATTAAAAGAGCTAAATGTAGTCGTACTTTCTTAACTTATATATTTAGAATTAAGCAAAGTAAAGAGTATTAAAAGTAAAAGTAAAAAATAGCTAAGTTAAAATTTTACTAATAAACTAAGCATTTATAATTAATCGAAATGCTTGAAATAATAATAAACCAAAAAATTTCACACATAGCAGCAAACATTATAACAAATCAATTGAAAGTATTTTTTTTTTTTTAAAAAAAAAAAGAGCAAAAAATATGGAAGCATTTAGTTTCTCAAAAGCTTTAGCAATTTGCTTCTTAGCCAAATAACTTCAAATCATTTCTTTCGCAGACATCAAAACAAATCAAAAATTTCGAATTATTATTTTTTTTTTTCTTCTTTCACTAAAACTAGGATGAAATATGCTAAAAATTTTTACTAAAATTATTTTTTATCAATTTTTTTTTCTTGCCATTATTGCTTAGCTTTTCAAAGATTTCGACAAAATGTGTGAGTTATTTTGGAATGAATGAACACAAAATTTGTTAGTATTATTTGAAAAGGTTTCTTTTTTTTGATAACAGATATGATATGATATGATAAGTTTGAGTGATAGGAAGGAGCAATGAATTTAGCAAAAGAATGGGAATATATGAAAAGGAAAGAGATTTTTCTTCTCAATTTGGAAGCAATTTTTAAGACTATCATTGTCAATTTAGTTTGGAGAATGAAAAAAGCAAAGTGAAAAAAATATTTGAAATGTTTTATGTCAGGAATGAGTGATGTGCAGGAATTTCCTGATTGAGAGTGAGTGTTATGCGGAAATTTCCTGATTGAGAGTGAGTAATATGCGGGAATTTCTTGATTGAGAGTGAGAGATATGCGGGAATTTCCTGATTGAGAGTAAGAGATATGCGGGAATTTCCTAATTGAGAGTGATATGCGGGAGTTTCCTGATTGAAAGTAAGTAATATGCGGGCATTCTTTGTTGAGAAAAAAGTGAATTCTCTGTCCAAGGATAAGTAATATGGGGGAATTCTCTATTCAGGAATAAGTGATATGCAATAATTCTCTATTCAGGAATAAGTGATATGCAATAATTCTCTATTCAGGAATAAGTGATATGCAATAATTCTCTATTCAGGAATAAGTGATATGCAATAATTCTCTATTCAGGAATAAGTGATATGCGATAATTCTCTTTCAGGAATAAGTAATGTGCGGGAATTCTCTGAGCAATATATAACAGTGAATTAATTCTATGCTACAACTAACAAATTAGCTTATTGTTAGAATTTACGCTATCATAAGCAGTGCTATATTCATGATTTGAACCGGAAATGGAATGTAACACTCATTGAATGAATGTATTTGCATAGAAATGGAATATATAAAATAAACAAATTATAGTAAATTGATAGAAAGTGTAAATATATTCAATACAACCACTACTTATTCATCAAAATCAAATATTTTCGCTATTTTCTCGAATTCTCGATTCCAACTTTTAGATTAATTTCAAATTATATTATCTATGCATAAATAATTTCATAAATGTTGCTAATATATTATTTTAATTCAATTCTATCAATAAAAAAAAAAAAGAAAAAAAGAAGTGTAAGTTTGAAAATTATCAGAAAAAATATCCATTGCGCTTTTCTTAATTAATAAATTCATCTATTTAAGCTATAAATTTTTAAATTTTTTATAATCATAGAAAAGTCATAGAAACATTCATAAAAAATAAGAATTTTATTTCAAATAAAGGAAAAATTTTAGCAACAAATTATCGTTCTTAATGAGAAAATTATGCTTAGTAAAAAAAAAAAAAAAAAAATAAAATAAAATAATTGGTAAAATGTTAGGAAATTTTATTATTTGATTTATTAAGTTTATTTAATTATTTAATTTTAGGATAGAAGAAAAAGAATTTTAGAAAAAAAAAAATAATTTTAGAATATAAGAAGAAGAAAATAGCAGCTGTATCAGTTGAATTTTCAGCTTTAAGATTAATCTTTTCTTATTATATGCTATTGCTGAAAATTCGAAATTCTAATTTTAGTAAAAAAAAAAATTCTAGTTTTAGCGAAATTCTAATTTTTTTTTTTTTTATTTTAGGATGAAATTTTGTAAAAGCATATTTAATTAAATTTTTATATAAAATATTGCAAAGCATTTCTTTGATTGAAATGCCTGAATGCAGTACTAATTGCACATATAAATCAAAAGGAGCGAATTCATAATTTCTAAAATTAAATTAAAAAAAAAAAAAAAAAAAGATACAAAACAAACCATCCAGTCATTAACAGTATCCTTTGCCGGAGCATTATTCATAAATGAATTCTTTCTTCCGGTTGAACCTGAATATGATGACATATGAACAAGACGAGGTGAACCAATACGATATACGTGTTGTGATCCTGAAAATAATTCAATGGGAAATTAATTTGGAAATTTAAATTACTTACATCATTTTAAGCAACAATCAAATAAGCTGATAAATTTCACTAAAGATAAGAATTGAAAAGAAAAATAATTATAAAATCATTTAGTTAATTAAACATTTTATTTAAATAGAAAATTTGTTTAAATTGAAAAGATAAAAGATTAACAAATTAAAATATTACCTCTAAGTCTCATTTGCAAATAATATTAAAATAACGTCTAAACTTAAAATAAGATATAAATTGTGAAAATTTTTAATTACTCAAATAGATGAATGATGAGAAATGCAAAAAAAAAAAAAAAAAAATAAATTTCAAGAAAATAAATTTTCTTTTCCTTTTTTTTTTTTTTATTTACTCAATTAGCTAACATAATAATTCTAGAAATTGCGTGGACAAACATTGCTATTTCCTAAAGAAGATGATAGTATTTAATTAAATTTTTCTCTCATTTTCATACAAACTAATAATTTGATAACATTTTCTAAAATTTAATTAAAAATAAAGCAATCTATATTTGCTGAAACGCTTTCAAAATGATATAATTTTAATTTAAAACTTGTAAACTTAAAAAAGAAAAAAAAATTTATACACTTTTAAATAAATCTAAAAAAAAATTGATATTTGAATTGAAGAAGACAAAAGATTAGTGTACTTTTCTTTTCTTTTCTTTTTTTTTTCTTCGTTTCATAAAATATAACCAATTGTAAAATTTTAATATTACAAATAATTTTTTAAAATAAATTTTAATAATTGAAAAATTCAACGTTTCATTAAAACATAGAAATATAGCAAAAAAAAAAAAAAAATAATAATTTAAACTTATTTTGTTCAATTCAAATATCAATTTTATTTTAAAAAATTTATTGGGTAATTTATTCTATAAGGTAATTTAATTTTCAATTAGTTAACAAAATTTTTGTCGGAAAAGAAAAAAAAAAAAAAAAAAAAAAACGGAATTCTTCCATTGCAAAAACGAATTTACTTTTTTGCTTCTAATTTTATTTTTTTTTTTTTTTCATTCCTTTTAAAATAACATAAAGTAGTAAATATATGTTAGAATGATTTTGCACCTATATTTCATAGCAAATATTTGAGATTTCTTTTACATATTTTATATTTTTATGCAATTTTATTTTTAGATTTAATTTTTCTTTTTTTTTTTTTTTATTTTTAGATTTAATTTCATATCATTCAATTATAAAACGCAAAATATTTGCCATTCTTTAGAGTTTTATTGACAGATTAAATAGCAATATTTTAACTCAAAAAAAAAAGAGAGAATAAATAATAAAAAAACAAATGAATTCGTTCTTAAATTATTGTCTAATATTAAAATGAGCATTTATATTTTTGAATTTCTTTTACTTTTTGTTTAATTTTCAAATTATATTTGATTTGTAACAATGTTATCAGTTTAACAAAAAAAAAAAATATGAAATATATTTAAAATTTTATCAAATTTTTTTTCAACTTCAACAAATTTAGCCTTTTATTAACAAAATAATTTTTCAGTGTATGCAAAAAACTTTTATAAAAATATAAAAGTTTTAAAATTAAAAATTAACCAATATTTCATACCGTATGCTATTATTTCAAATAGAAAAAAACGAAAAAAAAATTAAATATGTAAAATATTATCAAATTTTCTAATTTTAACACTTTTTTTTTTCATTTCATTTTCTATAGATGTTAAAAGAAGAAATATTATCAAATTTTCTAACTTTTTCAATTTCTAAAATTTAAAAAAAAAAAAAAAAAAGAAAGAAAGAAAAGAAGAAAAAGAATAATTTGCTAACAATTAGAATATATTACAAATAAAAAAGTGAAATGATTAGGAGAGTGAATTTATCGGCTATTTCAGTAAATGAAATAAAAGCAAAATTTTCTATTAACATTTAAAAATCTTTTAAAATTACCAAGTTTTTTTTTTTTTTTTTTTTCATTAAGATTTATTTTAAATCGCTTTTTTAATTTTTCCTTTTCTTCTCTTTTTCTTTTCTCAAGAAATATTTAAAAAAATAAATGCTAATGAAATTGATTTGAGAAAGCTAAAATTTGTATTACTGTTATTATTCAGATTTGAAAGATTTAAATCTATCAAAATTAATTAATTTAAAAATTAATTAACTTTCATTCAATCATTTTATCATATTTAAATGAAAAATGCATTCAACAAATGCATTTTTTTTTTCTAATAATTCAAAAAAAAAAAAAATGATTATCAAATTTTAGGAAAAATTTCTTAGTTGTAAAATTATTTTTGTTAAATTTATTTAAAAAGTATGTGAAAAAAGAGAGAGAGAGAGAGGGGGAAAGAGAGAGAGAAAAATTAAAAAAAAGGGAAAATGGAATGGAATAAAACGGATATAAGTTGAGTTATTTCTTCTTTTTCTCCTTTAAAATGTCAATCATTTCATTCAAGAGTTTCAATAAGGACAACAAAAATGCAAATCATCAAGAAAAGTCTTTATTCAATCTCTCCTCTTTCCCTTTCTCTCTGTCCCTCTCCCTCTCTCTCTCTCTCTTTATGTCTTTTTGATGATTATAAAAAAGCAAAAGCCATAAAGAGAGAAAATACTTTCATAGTTTCTCTTCTTCTCCACTTTTTTTTTTTCCTTCATTTTATTCCAAAAAGTTTATTGACATAACTAAATTTTAACATTTAACTAAATTTAAGTTTCATTTCAAAAATGTATCAAATTTTTTTTTAAAAAAAAAAAAAGAAAAAAAAAAAAAAAAAAAAAAAAAAAAACTAAATGATTGAGTGAAAAAAAAGAGAAATTACTTTATTAAAAAAAAGAAAAAAAAAGAAAGAAAGAAACAATTTTTGATAATTATATTAGCAAAAGCAAAATTCTTTATGCAATTTTAACGTTTATCGTTCAAATAATTTCTTTTTTTCTAAATTTTTATATTTCTAATAATAGACAAATAAACAATAAAAATATTTGAATATTAAAAAAAAAAAAAAAAAATTGAAATTTTATATATTATCTAAATCATTCATCAAAAAAAAAAAAAAACTTATAATCTTTATAAATTTTTCTTTTCAAATAAAAGAATTTATATGTAGCAAAAAATTTAAATTCATTTTACAGATTATTTAAAAATTTCATTTCATTTAAAACGATTAAAATTGCTTCATTAATCTTTAGCTATCAGCAAAAAACAAAAACAAAAACAAAACTCAAATTCATATTGAAATTTATTCAGTATAAATTTTGTTAGTTATTAGCACAGCTATTTTTCTATCTATGATGCTTATATTTTTATTAATTCATAAATTTGAAATAATAATATTTAACATTTAGTAGAACATAATTTAAAAAAAAACAACGATTCCATTTCAGGTTTTATCCTATTGAAAACTTTGAAGTTACTTACAAATATTAAAATTAGTTTTGAAGTTCGGATAAGCTAGAGGATTTATAGTACTTCATAAAAGCAATTTAAGTAACATTTTGTTTTAGTAATTTTAAGCTTCATTTCTTCTTTCTAATGGTTTCATTTATTTTTGCCATCTTAAATTTTGAGTAATTTAAAAAAGTATTTTATATGAATAAATTGAAAAAGAGATCATCATTATCATCCTTTTTTTTTTTTTTTAAATAATCTTAAACTTGAAATCTTTAATTTCTTTTTTAGTAAATTTAGAATTTAAAATTTACACTTCAAGTTTTTCTTTTTTTTTTTGGCTGTTATATTAATTATGTAAAGTAAAAGTGAATTGATGAATGAAATATTATTTATTATTATGGAATGAAAAATAAAACAAAACTAAAAGATATTTTTATATTTGTTTTGAAAATGAATTAGCTAAAAAAAAAAAAAAAAATATTTGAATTAATTAGCAATTAAATATAGGATGAAGTAAATTTAATTTAATCAATTTCAATGTTTGTATGTATCTTTGCTATCGTATAAACAAATGTGATATATGTTTTTGATAGAAGTAAACACAAATAAGTATTAATTAGATTCAGTAAAATAAATTCAGCGTAAATATTTGAATGGAAGGAAATGAATATGAAATGAAGAAGAGAAGAAGGAGGAAAGGGAGGAGGAAAAGGAAGAGGAAAAGGAGGAGGAAGAGGAGAAGGAAAAGGGAGAGGAAAGGAGGAGGAAAAGGGAGAAGGAAAAGGGAGAGGAAAGGAGGAGGAAGAGGAGAAGGAAAAGGGAGAGGAAAGGAGGAGGAAAAGGGAGAAGGAAAAGGGAGAGGAAAGGAGGAGGAAGAGGAGAAGGAAAAGGGAGAGGAAAAGGAGGAGGAAAAGGGAGAGGAAAAGTAGAAGGAAGAGGAGAAGGAAAAGGGAGAGGAAAAGGGAAAGGAAAAGGAGGAGGAAGAGGAGAAGGAAAAGGGAGAGGAAAAGTAGAAGGAAGAGGAGAAGGAAAAGGGAGAGGAAAAGGGAAAGGAAAAGGAGGAGGAAGAGGAGAAGGAAAAGGGAGAGGAAAGGAGGAGGAAGAGGGAGAGGAAAAGGAGGAGGAAAAGGGAGAGGAAAGGAGGAGGAAAAGGGAGAGGAAAAGGAGAAGGAAGAGGAGAAGGAAAAGGGAGAGGAAAAGGGAAAGGAAAAGGAGGAGGAAGAGGAGAAGGAAAAGGGAGAGGAAAGGAGGAGGAAAAGGGAGAAGGAAAAGGGAGAGGAAAGGAGGAGGAAGAGGAGAAGGAAAAGGGAGAGGAAAGGAGGAGGAAAAGGGAGAAGGAAAAGGGAGAGGAAAGGAGGAGGAAGAGGAGAAGGAAAAGGGAGAGGAAAAGGAGGAGGAAAAGGAGGAGGAAAAGGAGGAGGAAAAGGAGAAGGAAAAGGAGGAGGAGAGAAGGAAAAGGAGAGGAAAAGGAAGGAAAGGAAAGAAAAGGAGAAGGAAAAAGGAAAAGGAGAGGAAAAGGAGAGGAAAAGGGAGAGGAAAAGGAGGAGGAAAAGGAGAGGAAAGGAGGAGGAAGAGGGAGAGGAAAAGGAGGAGGAAAAGGGAGAGGAAAGGAGGAGGAAAAGGGAGAGGAAAAGGAGGAGGAAAAGGGAGAGGAAAAGTAGAAGGAAAAAGGAGGAAGAAAAGGACAAAAATGTTAAAAATGTATAATTTGTACTTGGAAAATCAGATAAATGGAAGAAATGCATACAAATGGCTGTAATAAGATAAATTCAATTTTCAAATGATTTAAAAGAAATGAGAAAACTTTGAAATAGACGCATTGCTTTCCTTTCTTTTCTTTCTTTCTTTTCCTCTTTCTTTTCTTTTTTTTTTTTTTTTTTTTTTTTTTTCCTCACTAAATTAAACTTATATTTGGCTAAACTTAAATCTAACTGAAGTATACAAGTCTTTTGTTTTCTTGAATAGAGTAATCATTGAATAGCCTAAAAGCTTTTATAAACCTAACGCTTTCGCTTTAGGCTATTCCACTTTTTTTCCAAACCTTTTAAATATGAATAGAGAGAGAGAGAGAGAGGGAGAGAGAGGGAGAGAGAGAGAGAGTAGAAAAAGGAATATCAAAATAAGGAAAGTAAAGTGGAATAAAGATTGAAATGAAGGAGGACCATTTAACTATGTAATAAGGTAAAACCTATAAAGATGAATGCCTCAATTATCAGACTTATATTGACTATCATTTCATTTTAAAATGCATCATGGAATAAAGCAATTGAGAGTTGTTTAGTAATAAGATGCTTGAAAAATAAGCTCATCTTTAGAGATATGAAATTTTTATTTGAAATTATAAAAGTGATCCAATCACTTTTCACATTCTTAGACTATTCCAAAGCTTTAAAATAATAAAGCAAAAAGAAAAAAAAAAGAAAGAAATTGCTTTTTAGAATTTGAAAACTCAAAACAAAAAAAAAAAAAAAAAAATTTAAAATAAAGAGCATCAAAAACAGTAATAAAGAGAGGAATTTAGAAAGTAAAATTAGAAAGTCATTTGTAGATGTTAAATTATCAAAGGAATGATCATAATCACTTAGTCATAATACATTTCTGTAACTGATAACATTATCACTCATCATATGCTTATCAAAAAATCTCCAATGATTTTTTTTTATTGTTATAATTTGTTCATAACTTGTCAGTGATATAGATATATATCGCATGATATTTTACAATTGTTAATTTAATTTATGATAAAATAATTATGCAAATATTTGGTCATATTTTACTAAAAATTTGAATATTTCAAAAATTCAAAATTAAAAAGAAAACTATGTGAAAAAGAGTTTTTAATATTTATATATTTACTTCAATTATTAAACAACAAAAATAAGTAACATATAAAAAAAAACAGAAAAATGAATAAAATATAATTTGCAAAAGAATTTTTGGGAAAATAATAAAGTAAATTTGTAAGAGAAAGTATTAGTTTATTGATATGAGAGATTCTCGAATAACATTGTTGATTTTTCATTAGGCTTTTTTAGTATTACTTCACAATTTCAATTATTAAAAATCATAAATACTTGTTTAATTATGTTTAAATTTTGATTTGTAATGAAAAATAAAAAAGAAAAATTTCGTTCCTATTTTTCTTTTTCATTTTCATCAATTTTTTTTTTGTCTAATTCTTATCTAAAACAGTAATAAATGAAAAATTATATACTTGAAAAGAGGAAAAAAGCGCAATTCTAATTTTAATAACTATTTCATTTGTCACAAAAAGTTGCAAAAACTATTATTTAATTCAAATTTTTCTCTAATTTTTCACTTTATTTTTCCTTTATTTCCCTCTCTCCCTCTCTCTCTCTCTCCCTTATTCTCCCTTTTAATCCAATATGCTTCTTTTTTTTTGCATAATTAAATGAACAATTTCAATATTAATTAATCATTAATTAATTAATTAATTAATTCATCACAAATAGAAATTATTTTCATTGATAGTATCTGTGCTATATTTGATGATATTATTTACATATTAAAAAAAGAAACAAATAGAAAATAAATAATTTTAGGCAAAAAAAAAAAAAAAAAAAATTAGAAAAATTTAATGGAAAAGAAGAAAATCATTTTTTTTTTCCTTCTTTAATTTCAATTATAGATGAAAGATTTATATACAGTGAAAAAGTAAGTAAATATAAAGTAAGTAAGTAAATATGAAGTAAGTAAGTAAATATGAAGTAAGTAACAATTAGAGTTTTAGATTTAGTAAATAAGTTTATTAATAATGTAATGAATCATATTATACGCATCATTTAGGCTATTCAATTTTCGGTCTAATGAAGATTACTTTTATCGCTATCTTTTCTTACTTAAATATCTTCTAATCTTTTCACTCATTCATATACATAAGGAGTAAGTAAGTAAGTAAGTAAGTGAGTAAGTAAGTAAGTAAGTAAAAGTTAATGCTTAAGCTTAACTGATCACATTATTATGCATTTCATTTTCCATCTCTCCTTCCAACGAGTACTGAAAGTTATTTAAGGTGTCAATTACCTTAATTAATTATAAATGAAAAAGAAAAAATTATTTTTTAGGCGCTAAAAAAAATTAAATTTCGATAGTTCAACAAACATTCTAAACTTTGAATGATTCATACTAAACTATTGACTGAATAATTATGAAAAATTTGTTGTAAATACATTTTAGATAAATTAAATTTGTGAATACAAAAAATTATATAATTATAAAATTTCTCACAAATGCAAACAATAATACAATACCATTGCAAATTAAACAAATTAAGCATTGAAATAATTGTAATTATAAAGTAGAAAATAGTAAACAAAATTAATTTTATTTTTTTAAAGTAATTTTGTCATATAATAAAAATTGAAATGAATTACATCAATAATAATAAATGTAATTTATTTTTAAAACTTATTAATTCATTCATTCCTTCATTATCAATAATGTAATCAATGATAATACAATATATAAATGATCAATTTGGAAAGAAAATTAAAGTAGAAAAAATCATTAAATATATAAAATCACTAATCATTAAGCATATATTATGAGAAAAATTCAAATTTATCAAAAATCATTACTAAACTAAAATTCAAATTTATCAAAAATCATTACTAAACTAAAATTCAAATTTATCAAAAATCATTACTAAACTAAAATTCAAATTTGTCATAAATCATTGCCAAACTTTGATTATTGAAAATGCATTGAAAAGACAGCCAAATGTTATATAAGCTACCGATGACCAGTAATTTCCATTTTATTGAAAAATCCTTGAGGAAATGATGACTGCCTCTCTGTCTACGAGGACTCTCTCCTCTCCCTCTCCCTCTCTCTCCCTCTCCCTCTCCCTCTCCTCTCCCTCTCTCTCTCTCTCTCTCTTTCATTTCATTTTAACATCATTTCAAACATCCCTTTTCACTTCACATTTTCCACTTAGCTTTAAGCTTATCCAATTGACCTCTCTAACCAATTCACACATATATCTCTCATCTCATCCATCCATCCATCCATCCATTCATTCATCTAATACTTCAGAATAAAATATGAATATAAACTACCTAACTTATCGGTTTTTTTTCTTTTTTTTTTTTATATTTCATTTTATTCCCTCTCCCTCTCCCTCTCTCTCTCTCTCTCTCTCCTTCTTATTCAATATAATATAATTATTTTAATTTAAAAAAAAAGCGAATAGAAAAAAAAAAGTGAAAAGAACGAATTAAATAAGCGATTGCTCATTTATTTTACAACATAAAAAAGAAAAACAACAACAAATTTCTCTTTTATTTGTCAATTATATATGCATAAGAAAATTTTGAAATTTAAAAAAAAAAAAATTCAATCTAAAATTTGATTAATTAATTCTAAAAATTCTAGAAATAATCATCTGTTTTTTTTTTTTTTTTTTTTTAAGAAAAAATTATCAAAATATTCAATAATTTTCTTTCTTCTTTTTTTGAATAAATTACAATTACTTATAATTATTGTTTATAAAATAAAATAATTTACTAATAAAACAAATAAAATTTCAATAAATTAAACAATTATTATATTACAAATGAGTAAATATTTATATGAGAATTCATTAAATAACTCATTTAATCAAAAACAAATTTAAGTATTTTTATTAATTTTTTAAGTATTGAAAAAGAAACTTTCTGCTACAATATGACATTAAAGTTCAAATTTGTCAACCTAATAATACAACTAAAAAAAATAATTATGCATGGAAAGATTATTTAAGTATAAAATAAAAATAAATAACAAATAAAAATAAAAAAAGGAAAAAGTGTAAATGATAATAAAATGATAAACAAACCTTGTGCTAGCATATCCAATATCATTAAACCATTGAAATTGACACCTGTGATAAAACCTTTATAGCTATCATAGATTTGTTCACGTTTACGTCGTTTTGTACGATGTAATAAATTAAATGATGCACCAATTGCTATTCTCCATTGCATATTTAATGTCACAAGTTCCATATCACCACCTGATATTTTCAAGAAAAAAACAAACAAATAAACAAACAAACAAAAAATGTTATATTTATAGTTAAATTCTATCATAGATATTCCATTTATTTAAGCGATATTAAAGATATTTTATTTTTTTTTTTTTTTTATTTTCTCTCTGACATATATATATATTTTTAATTCATAATTAATTTACGATGTGCTTACTTCATTGGTTGGTTAAATTTATTTAATTGAATTCTAAAAAAAAAAAATAAGTAAATAAATAAATTCACTAAGTGAAATGAATAAATTATTTTTTTTTTTTTGGAAAATACTTGGATTAAATTAGATGAAAAGTAATCTAATACCAAGAGGAGAGTAATAAATTGGTTCACGATTATCGATGTATAAAGTTAAGTTAGCTTCTTGTCGATAAATGATAACAGCATGATGCTTATCATCATTTAGTAAAGCACTTGATAAGCCAACATCATGATCACGAGATCCAAGATTGTAACGAATATGCAAATGAGCATTTTTCTGTAATATCGCTTTTTTTTTTTTTCAAAAACTTTGAAAATTATTTCAACTACAAAGAATATATTATTTCTTCTTTATAATTGATCATATCAATGAAAAATCTATCAAATAAATAATATAAATATTATTTTTTCAACTTGTAAACATCAAATTTCAACCTCAAAAACCAAAATTCCAAAAAAAAAAAAAGAAAAAAAAGAACAAAAAAATTGAAATATTTTATGAAATGAATTAAAAAAAAAAAATCTAATGAATTAACAAATATTACTGATTAAATTTTAATACCAAAAATTTTAGTACCAAAAAAACAGTAAGAAAGTCGCCGTCAACATTACATTGTACACTTAATAGTACAGCATTAGCTTGTCGAGTACGAAATCCAATTGCCATTTCATCTCGATTTGTTGATGGTTGAATTGATTTTGGATATTCATAATAAATTGCTGATAATGATGAGTCAAATATATAAGTTGTACCAACTGTAAATAAACTAAATATTATTCTTTCAAATAAAGAAACAAAAAAATGCAATTTTAAATTTTTGAAATCAATTTAGTTAATAAATTTAAATTTTTTTAAACGAACAAAAAAATAGTAAAAATGATTGATTTAATCAAAAAAAAAAAAGTAGTAAAAAAAGAAGAGTTAATAAAAGTGATTAGTTAACAAATTTAAAATTTCAATATAAAATTTAAAAAGATTTAAAAAAAAAGAGAGAGAGAGAGAGAAAGAGTGAAACGAACAGTTATCACATCTTTCGCCAGCATAAGTTGTCATTGAACAATCACATTTTGTGGAATTCCATTTTTGAATACATTTTCCACGATTTAAGCATACTTTAGGTGAGCATCGAGTATATGGTCCTATTATAATTTCAATCAAAATTTCAATCTTTTCTCTAAGTCTATCAAAAGTTTTATCAAAAAAAAAAAAAATGATGCAAAAATGTGAAGTTAATAAGAAAATTTTTTTTTAAATTTGGAAATGGTAATTTTAATTAAATTGCGCAAACAATTAAATGAAGAAATTTCAACAGAGAAAGTAATAGAAAATTTAGGATAATTTCATTTAAATAAAAAATTTTAACTGTAACCGACTTTTTCTTAAAAAAAAAATCAATAATAAAATAGAATTTTGAAAATATAATTATGCCTTACATACCATGACATCCTTTAACAATACCAAAACTTTCTATTGCATCTTTTAAAATATCTAAATATTCATTACCAATTCGGAATGAAGAGATACATCCATGAAAACCGGAAATATTTTTAAGCCTAAAAAAAAAATTAATTTATCAAAAAACAATTATACAAAATGACAAATATAATTAAAATAAAAAACGAAAATAATTATTTGAAAATTACATGAAAATATTCTAAATTGGTGTTAAAAATAAAAACGAAAGTTTTTATTTTATATCACAAAAGATGAGAAAAAATAAATAAATAAAAAAAAACCTTAGAGAACCGGAAATACCGGATGGTATATCACCAATATATAATTTTGTATGTAAATTAACAATATGTCCTCGAACATTAGACATTACTATGCTGCTATTATCAACCACAACATTATGCTCACCACCTAATGATTTCTGAAAAGTTGAATTTATTCATTTTTACATAACACAGCAAAAATAATTACAGTATATTAAGTTTGAGTAATTAATTAATTAATTGGTAGAAACAATTTTAGATTGGATGATATGAAAAGAGAAAGAGAAACAAAATTTTAAATTAAAATTAAAACAAAATTAATTGAAAAATATGACTAATAGTTGAATCCAATTTAATCGGAATTGTATTAATCGAAATTGGAAATTATAAATTCTTCCAAATTTATTCCTATATATTATATTGAAATTAATCAATGCATTTTGACTATTCATACTTTTCATATAAAATGCCCAAAAATAAAATAATTATATAATAATATTAAGAAAATTTAACTTAAATAAGGAATGAAATACATTCTCAGAAATGATAAACACAAGGAAATAAAATTAAGTCTTATCAAAATTTATGCAGAAATTTTCAATTTTTAAACTCTAAAAATTTTATAAAAGACTTATTGCATCAGTAAATTAATTAATCCTAATTAAAAACAAGAAATTTATCTCAAATTTATCATCATTGATAATTTTGATTTCATTTAAGAAACCAATCTGAGATATTATTAAAATGCAGTAAGCACTAATTCTAATAGCTAAAACGATAGCTTATATGCTAATGCTAACATTTGAGTAAATTATTCTTTAATAAGATTAAATGATAGCAATATTTAGTAAAAATTTGCACAGGTGTTTTTCAATTAATAGTAATAAACCTGAAAAATGATGACACTATGCCATTTAAAGTCATTTAAAACTTGTCCATCTGGTAAAGCTGGTGACATTATCACTTCTGTTCGTGTGCTAAAGCTATAAGTGTACCTGAAATATTTGCTATTTAATTTAAATTAAAAAAAAAAAAAAAAAAAAAAAAGAGGAAGTAAATCATTTCTTTCAAATGAGAAATGAATATTTAAATCTTTTAACTCAAACATAAATGTTTAACCTTTGACATTCATAGAATCAAATAATTTTAATTTTTGTTTATATTACATTTATGATGTTAACAATGCAAATAATATGCTAGCTTTTTTGTTAATAGTAGCATTAACATTTCAAAAATTGTTTTTTTCTTTTTTTTTTTTTATTGTTAACTGGAATAACCTTTGACCTTTTATTGTTAAATATTATTATAATGGTAGTGAGAAATTGCTAACCTTATTCGACCGTAATGCAATTCCAAAGATGCAAAATTATTATTGTAAGTGGAATTAGTTAAAAATGCAAAGAGCATTGCTGACGGCGACAGTGTGCGAAATTTAAATGAAATTCGATAAATATTTTTAATACTCATCAAATGCTTATCATTTATCATTGCATATGCATTGTGTTTTTCGAATGTTACAGATGAAGATTTTACTTTCCTGAATTTAAAAAATTTATTTAAAAAGAAAAATAAAGAAGAAAGTAAAACAATTTATTATATTAATTGAAAAGAATTTTTAAAGTATAATTCAACTTTTTTTTTCTTTTTTTTTTGCAACATTTTTATTAAAAAAAACAAAAATTTAAAAATTAATTCATCATTATTTTCTTTTTTTTTTTTCCAAAAATTACGTATATATTTTAATTGATTTAAATAAAATTTAACTTTTTCAATTTGTTATCTTTTGATTAAGAAAAGCTTTTTGTTTTTTTTTTTTTTTTGTTTTTTCTCAGTCTTTATACTTTCATTATGTTGAAAATAATTCAAACAAATTATTTACAGAAATTGTCACAACATTTGATAACATTTGAAATTTAAGACTATTAAAGATTAAATATACTTAAAGTACTTAAATACTTAAAGATAATAAATGATTACATAGTAATTAATAAGTGCAAATACTTCAAAATTAAATCTATTCAAGTAATCCCTTTGAAATTACATCAATATTAGAAAATATTTATGGAAAATTTTAAACAAACCTAAAAATGATAATTTTGCTGATAATAATAATAATGATAATAATTTAATACATATTAATATAAATTAAAATAAATACCTATTCTTTAATTTATATCGATCACGTGATGGATTCATCTTTTCTGATGGATTATTGATCGGATTTCGACGTTTTACACTCTTCAAAATATCGAAATCATTGAAAAGCATTTTTATCATTTGTCCGCCAAATTTCTCTTCCAATGTGTCATTTGCGCGTGCGGTAAAATGTGTGGATGACATTGCGTGCAATGAATGTCCAGCAGATATCTCATCAATATCTAATACTAACTTAGAAGAAGGCAGAAAATCTAAAATTGATTAATATCAATAATTTATATTATATTCAAGTAAGTAAGTTTATTTTCTAATTTATATATAAATCATTTAAAAACAAATATTTAAATCAATTTTATCAATTTATTTCATTTTTTTTTCTTTTTTTTTTTTTTGATAATTTCAATATTAAAATTTAATATATAGATATGAAAAATTTAACATTTAATAAATAACAAATTATATTTATATGTAAGTATTTAAAATTCTAAAATGTTAGCGTTTGAATTATAAAGAAAATTCTTTTTTTATTTAAATGCAAAAATTTTAAAATTGCTTTTTTTTTTTTTTCTTAAATATTATATTTTAAAAAATATTTTATGAAAAAAAAAAAACTTACAATTATGTTCCCATTTCCCATCTAAAAATAGCAATAATTTCTCGCCACGTCGTTTAATACGCATTGAATGAATTCGATTATCATTTAAATTAATACCCCAATTGAACACCTGCAACTTTTCCTTTTTGTTTAATTAATTAAAAGATTAAAATTAATTATTGATTTGTAATTTAAATAAAACAATAACAATGCTTCACAAAAAATACTACTCGCAAACATAAAATCTTTTATTATCAATATTTTTACTAATTAATCTTTCATATTTTTTATATTAAGATGAAATATTTTCTATTTATAAATGAAATAATAATAAAATTTTAAATTGAAATTTTAAAATGGAATAATAGCTTTAACAAAAAATAAGATATTAGCCTTAAGAAAGAAAAAACGAGGATAACAAAGATTTAATTGAATTCAAACGAAAGTCCTTACGCTATCAAAAAAAAAAAAAAAAAAAAAAACTAAAGTGAGAATTAATTTGGTGACAATTTGGTGACAATTAATCACTGACAAAAAAAAAAAAAGAAAAAATTACATTATTTCTGCAATTTTTTCACTAAATAAAAATGCTATAATTCAAAAATAATTGATTATATACTTAACAAATATAATTTCAAATTAACTAACTTACTGATATCATTAATCAGTCATAAATAAAAGTTAAAATATGGAATAGATTGAACATTCAATTAAATTAAAGTTCAAACTCATAAAACACACTCAATATTCAATCCTTTATCAATGCATCTTTTCTTTTTTTTTTTTTAAAAAAAAATTCTTCTCATCTAAATTTATTTATTGAAATTTCAAGATAAATTACATGATGCGAATTCTCGAAATTAAGATGCAATTCAAGTTCTCCATCAATTAGTAAAAGTAAAATGCGATGATTTGGTGATTTTATTGATTTTGTATCCAATAAAACACTTCTTTCATTGATACTTCGAAATTTACATTCAATTGTTTCCGCTTCACTTTCAATAGATTTTGGTAGTAAAAGCGATGGTACATTATTTGTCGAAAAATCCACATATTCAGGTTCTAAATTTTAAATTTAATTTTTTTTTGTAACTTTAAATTTTTTTAATTTTGAAATTTTTTAAACTTTTCTTTTCTGATTTTATCATTTACTGTAACATTTTTATCAGTGTTAAAATAATTCTACCATAATTTAAATTATATATGTTAAAATAAAAAAAAAATAAGTTAAAATAATTCTGCCACAATTTAAATTTTATATTAATTCTACCATAATACATAAGAAATTATTTACAACAACAATGAAAAATTACAAATAATATTTCAATTTTAAACTATTATTCAAATTATTTCAAATTATGTATTCAATTAAATATATTTGCAAATAATTTTTAAAAAGTGAATATAAAAATGAAACAAAAAAAAAAAAAAAAAAAGAAATTTTTGATAAAGAATTAAAAATTAATAAAAAAGTGATAAAAAAAACCTTTATCACAAAGTATTCCTTCCATAGCTGATACTGAACAATCACATCGAAAACTATTATAACCATTCTCACATCGTCCAAAATTTTTGCATGGTGATAAGGCGCAAAAGTCCTGATTTACATTAGCTGAACAGCCATAGCTAATTCCTGTGATAATTATTTCATTAAATTTACAATCATTAATTATATTCCTAGCTATTGATAATGATTAATCAATACCAAACAATTATGCTATTAAACTTCATAGATCATTCATATGCAATAAACAAAGTAAACTTTAATTTTATTGAACTTTGTAAAAAATTTTTAAAAATTTTAAAATAAAATATGTGTATTAAAATATAAATTACAGTTTTTTATTTGGAAGAAAAAAAAAATAAATTATTCAATATTTGAAGTAAAAATTAATTCACTAAAATATATTATTAATTAAGATTTTAAGCTTTAATATTGTTTGAGAATAAAGAAATACAAAATACTTCGTTTAAAAAATGAAAAGAAAGAGAGAAAAAGAATTTTTTGAAAAAAAAGAAAAAGACATTTCAATTTAAAAACTTATTGACATGTATGACAGGTATCATTTGAAAGAAAGTATGACATTTTAGCTTGAATGAATGAGTGATGGCTTATTGATAGTTTTACTTCAGTAAGTCTAAAGTTTGTACTAATATGTACTTTAAGTTGAGAAATAAGTAAGTACGGAAGATGTTGACATGTTGAATAAATGAGATAGCAAATTTTGTGGAAGAATTAGAAAGAAAGAATAAGTTTAAAAAGTAGAAAAAGCAAATTGATATTTCCAAAAATTGACATTTTTTAAATTAAAAAAGAGGAAACATATGTAAAAGAGTAATTGATTTTGAATTTATGTCACGCAATTCCGCTATGATATAGCAGTTTGAACTTATGTGTCGCGCAATTCCGCTATGATATAGCAGTTTGAACTTATGTGTCGCGCAATTCCGCTATGATATAGCAGTTTGAACTTATGTGTCGCGCAATTCCGCTATGATATAGCAATCTGAACTTATGTGTCGCGCAATTCCGCTATGATATAGCAGTCTGAACTTATGTGTCGCGCAATTCCGCTATGATATAGCAGTTTGAACTTATGTGTCGGACAATTCCGCTATGATATAGCAGCTTGAACTTATGTACCGGACAATCTCGTCATTTTAAATATGCAATTTTGAATTTATACGTTTGTGATGATAATGAATTGCTACTCTGATATGGGAACACACAACTGATTAAGTGATTGATAAGAATGTGAAATCAATGTTCATTATAATATCAATTAACCTTTTTTAAAATTCTTTTGTTGTTCCTGAAAAATGCTTGCAATATTTGGGCTGATACCATTGATGCGTATACCTTTCAGACAGCCAATATAACCTTTTCGTAGATTTGCTGTCCAAATCGGAGAAGGTACATGAAAGTCAACCGGATCCGATTCATTACTTGGCCATGGTACAGCTCCCAAATAGATTGGTTCTTCTATAACCGTAAACATATACTAATAATATTGTGAAAAAAAAAAATATTCAATTTATAAGATTCATTTTTTTTTGCAAATGATTTAAGTAAAAAAAATTTACGAAAATTTTGTAATATTGAAAAATTTTTATACATTTAGGCAACTTTCATCAATCAAATTTATCATTTTTCTTCAGTATTTTTAAAAATCTTTTTTTTTTTTTATTTGAAATTAGCCGCATTTCATGTATTTAAAGTAATTTAAGTTCAAGTATACAATGAAATTCAAATTGCTAATTTCAAGCTTTTGTTAAAATTTACTTCACTAATTAAATGAGATAAAGCAAAACCGGAAATAACTCTATTAACCAAACCGGAAAAATCGATTAAACTGATTATATATTCAAAGTTATCTTTGAATAACGATTTGTTTAAATTATGGAATTAGCAAGGTGTTAAATAATACATAATAAAATTTGTTAGAAAAAAAATAAATTAATTAAAATATGCATTACCGATAATTAAATTGGCAGACACACCAGGTGTTGAAAAATCAGTTTTAATATTATCAACGATCACTGTACCACTCCGTCCCATCCGTTCAAGCGTTACGCTGTGCCATACCGCTCCATCCGTTATTTTTTCCGCTGTTGTCTATAAAAAAAATGAGCTACTACCTTTGTTACCTTAGCAACCTTAATGATACCTTATGATATTTTTGAAATTTTCGTTTCGTTTTTTTTTTTTTTTTTTAAATTATATTGATTAAATTATTTATTTGCTAACTTTGAACAATAATTTAATTTTTATTAAGCTATTTGGAAAAGACAAATTTAAAATTGCTAATCATGACAGAATTAAATTTGGCATTTTTTGTGGAAAATTTAACTACCTGTAATCTAATATGTCCTGATCCTAGATTAATAATCATAAATAGATGACCATCAATTAATTCAAATGCAAAATAATCATATCCTGTTTTTGTGGTTGGTAATGATCCATGATAAAGAATAAGGCCATCAAATTCTTGTGTTCGTAACTGAAAGCCTGAAATTCTCTGAAAAAAATTATACAAAATTATACATTTTTATTATAAAATTAAAATAAATTTTTTCCTATTATTTTTTTATTTTTTTTTACTTTTAAACTTTCATTTTTTTTTTTTTTTTTAAATAATCATAATAACATCAATTATAATATTTAATTTTATTCAACAAAACGAAAAAAAAAAAAAAGAGTTGCCAATTTAAAGAATAAATAAAAAAAAAAAATGATTCAAAAGAAATAAAATAATTAAAATGTGAAAAAAAGAAAAGCAATGAATGAATGAATGAATGATTCTCGTAGAATATTACAAAATTTCAATAATTAATTTAAATTTTATTAAAAATTAAAAATTACTCAAACTTCCGCTAGCAACAGAATTCCATTTGGGTAATGTAATAAAATGTTGGCCAGTATTAAATGAGAAAACATCTGCATATAATGCTTGTTTATTACATGAAAATGTTAATTCGCCAGCTGATCGTATGATTGATTGGCCATATCCTTGATCAGCTAATGTGATAAAATTGATCAAATATGCATCAGCTTCATACTTAACCTAAAAAAAAAAAATAAAAAGTCATATAAGTAATTAAAAGAAAATAAAAAAAATCATATAAGTAATTAAAAGAAAATAAAAAAAAATCATATAAGTAATTAAAAAAAAATAAAAAGTCATATAAATAATTAAAAGCAAAATAAAAAATCATATAAGTAATTAAAAGCTAAAAAAAAAAGAGAGAGCTATTCCTGACAAATAATATTTCTTTTTTCTTTTTTAAAGAGAGAGAATGAAAAATAAAAAGAAAAAACCTTTTTTAAACAACCATGAAAATTTTCCACATCAATTTCAGGAATATTTTTATTCTTTGGTATACCACCCAAATAAGCAAATGAATTAATAAGCCAATCAATTTCAGGCGCATATTGTCGAATTTCATCGTTTAAATTATCAACATTTAATGTCATCTAAAAGAAAAAAAAAATAAACAAATCAATGCTTAAATAACTAAAATAGCGCAAAAGTTTTTTTTTTTTTTTTTTTTTAAAGAGAAAAAACAAAAAAACAGAAAAAAAAAAACAAAAGAATTTTGTCGTTTTTTTTACATTTAAAAAAAAAATTTCTTTCCGTTTTTCATTCTTTCATTCAAATTTTCAAAAAAAAAAAATATAACAAAACAAAATTTTAATTTTTTCAAAAATCTGAAATAAGAAAAAATTTTTTTTTTGTTTTATTTGCAGTTCAATCGATTAGTGAATTGATCAATCTATCAATAAATCAATAAATCACGACAAAATTCTAATTTTTGCTGCAACTTTTTTTGAACAAAATGATAGCAAAAGTAATTTTGCAAAAAAAAAAAAAAAATAAAAATGAAAAATAAAATTATTAAATATATTCTTTAAAATAAGAAAGACACAAGCAGATAACTCTGATCACACAAAAAAGTTTACATTTTGATTATTTACTGAATTTTTATTACTCATTTTATCTAAATTTTATTAAAAATTACTTAACTCATAGAATTTATGCAAATTTTTTAAATTGGAAAAAAAGAAAAAAATGAACAGCAAATTAAGTTAAATGTTTATTTGTATTTAAAAATATTTATTTATACTTAATTAAACTAATTTCATCTCTTTTAATAATTCTATTAAAGTGCTTAAATTGTCTGTAAAAAAAAAAAAAAAAAAAACTTTCTTATTGTATTAAAATTTGAATCCAATAAAGACAAAAATTATATCAATCTTTTATCATATGGCAATGAACAATTTTAATTTATTAAAATTCTTTCTATTAAAAAACAATTTTAATTTATCAAAAATTCTTTCTGTTAAAAAACATTTTTAATTTATCAAATTCTTTTCATCAAAGACAATTTTAATTTATCAAAATTCTTTCTATTAAAAAAACAATTTTAATTTATCAAAATTTTTCTTATTAAAAAACAATTATCACACGAGAAGACATTGTGCAATCCATGCAATTGTGACTAATAAATCTATAATTTTTAATTAATAGTCTTTTGTTAATTAAAATTTGTTATTTTTTCAAAAGTAATTATTTTTCAAATATTAATAAAAATAATTATAGCTAAGCTAATTCATAGCTTTCCTATTTGTTTGGCTATCTTTTCAGAATTAATTTGACTAAAATAAAAATTTTATTGCTACAAAATTTGAAACTTTTTTCATAGTTTCACAAAATGCACTTTGTTATTAATAATAACAGAAAAAAGGGGAAAAAAAAATTGGTACAACTTAAAAAATAAATTTGAGTAAAATTTTGACAAAGAATTTGCATAAACAAATTAGAATACTCGAAAAAATACACATACGATAAACAAATTTTATGTAAATTGTGAAAAAAAAAAAAACTTTTTTGGTTAAATCAAGCAAAAATTTTGTAAAATTTTTTATTAAATGCATAAAGCATAAATTTTTGGTCAAAAAAAAAAAAAAAAATAGCAAAAACTGAAAAATTTTTCAAAAATTTACTGAAAATAAACAAAAAATTATTTCCAAAAAAAAAAAAAAAATGAAAAAAATGAGAAATGTTATTTGCTAGCAGAAAGATTGATAACAAAGCCATGCTAAAATCTCTAAAAATAAAAAACAAAAAAAAAAAAAGACGAAAAGAAATTTTAATAAAATACTTAACAAAATAAAATAAAATAAAATAAAAAAAAAAAAAAAAAAAGGAACTCATTTTTGGCACACCTCAATCGATTACTTACATGTACTGAAGCGACAGATGTCGTTCGCTGAAGTTGTTAAGTTATCAGTTTCAAAATTTTCTATTGATAAGATTATCATCACTGAAGTGATTAATAAATAACTCAGTAATATGAATGAAAGGAAAGAATTCATTTCATTTATTTTATCATTTTAAATTAAATTTAAATTTAAAAAAAAATTTTTTTTTTTTATTTTTTATAAATGATTATGCAACTTTTCAAGATTATTCATTTTGAAATGCTAAAATTAATTTTCAGCTGTCTAAACTTGAAATAATCATAAAATAAATGAGAATTATCATAAGATGAAATGTGTACTAATAATGAATTTATTCCACATTATGTTACTTTGCAAATTTTTTATTTTCATTTTGCAAAAAAAAAAAACAGCTAAACAACAATCCAAAATAGATTTTACAAGATGATTGTTGTAAAAGTTTTCCTGATCTGACTGATAAATTTTTGAAATAATTTAAAATGAAGCCACTAACATAATGATATAAGTTCAACAATTTATAGAAATTTTTGGAAATGATAAAATATTTAAAAACCGGAAAATAAAATTACCAACCAATGTTAATGTCCTGAAAACAGTAACTGTATGCCATCGATCATCATTATATCGACCGGATGGATAATTGTTGAAAATTCTTATTATCCGTTTTTCGGTTCCATCAAATTTTGATGTTGCAACAACTGCGCCATCATCCAATGTGATATGAATGTAATTCTATAACAAAAGAAATTATTTTTTTTTTTTTTTCGCTTAAGTAAAACTTTTTTATTTTATGTTCTCAAAAGATTTGCATAAAATGTTTTAATTTGAATTCTCAAAAGAATTATTTTAAAATTTTAGTTCGAACTCTCAACAAATGGTATTATTTCTTATTCAATTTTCCATCATTTTTAATATTTCTATTTGCTAGAAAATTTAAAATGTTTTAAAAAAATTTCAAAGATATACCAGACGATCACCACCGATATATAGTAGAGCTCGTGAATGTGTCGTTTTAAAAGACAATGTAATATTTTCTGATCGAAAACGTATAATTCCTGCCGAATTATTGCTAACATCATAACCAATCAATTCTCGACCATTAAATGATAAATGCGAATCAAATCGAACTAAAAAGAAAAAAAAAGAAAAAAGAAAAAAAAAGGTCAAAAAATTATCATTAAATTATCATTTCAACAAACAAAACAAAAGAAAAGATATCAGATAATCAAATCAAAGTGATAAATAAAATATTTTAGATTCTGTAATTTTGACAATTTTAATTTTGTAACTATCAAATGTCTCTGTGATTGGAATGTTTCAAATTCAAATTTCACTCTCGAATACTTCAAATTCAAATTTCATTCTCGAATACTTCAAATTCAAATTTCACTCTCGAATACTTCAAATTCAAATTTCACTGTCGAATACTTCAAATTCAAATTTCACTCTCGAATACTTCAAATTCAAATTTCATTCTCGAATACTTCAAATTCAAATTTCATTCTCGAATACTTCAAATTTAATTTTCAATCTCGAATACTTCAAATTCAAATTTCACTCTCGAATACTTCAAATTCAAATTTCACTCTCGAATACATACCTTGTTCACAACGTTGGCCACGGAAATCCGTAAATGAACAGTCACATTTTGGTCCATCATTTGTGCTATAGCAAATACCGCCATTTCGGCAGAAATAATCATTTTTGCTAGCAATATTTGTTATTTTGCAGTAATCATCGTCCGATTGTCTCATACCAACACTCTCGATTATTTGTGGTGCTGTGACACCTGTAAATTAGTCTAACAAAAAATTAAAAATTTTTTTTTTCACAAACAAAAAATGAACAAATGTGGTAAGCAAATAATGTGAGAACGTTAAGTAAAGGTGTATACAAGTACAAAGGTAAATTGATAAATATTTATATAAATAGGAAGCGCAAATATATATTTTAAATGAAAGAGTTAAAATCATAAATGTAAGATATAAATAAAATTAAAAAAAAATAAACAAAATGTAAAATAAAATAAATGTTAAGTAAGTAAGGGTAACCTTGTGGGTAAAGCCTATACAATAAATTTTTTACTCCACCAGCAAATGAAATTGTATGTCGTTTCAATGGTGAACTCATTGCGCCAAGCAAATAAGTATCCTTAAAAATTTATTTTTAATTTATCATAGAAATAAATTTGAATTAATCACTTTCCTTTTTAGATTATCATTGAGTAAAATTAAATTAAAAAAAAATTAATTACATATTCAAAAAAAAAAAAAAAAAAAATAGAAAGAAATTGTAACAGTTTTAATTACATATTAAGTAAGTTTAATTACCTATAAGACATGAAAAGAAATTATTAAAAAATAAATTTCAATTTAATTAATCTAAAAAAACTAAAATAGAATGTGGTAAATTACCTTCGGAACACCACCGATAAACATATCAGAGTTTGTTTTCAGATTACCAAAAACAAAACTATTTTGATTGAGAATTTTGAAAAGAACGGTGTCATCCAATTGTAATTTTACATTCTCCCAGGCCTAAAATAAATTTGAGAAGCTCAGAAAATAATAATTATTCAACATTTTATCGCATTCAAATAACTTCAAAATTACTTTTGTAAAATATTTAAGCGATAAAATTAGATTTTTTTTAAATTTTAAAATACAGAGAATTTTAAGTAAAATAAAGTTTAAAGTACAGAGAATTTTAAGTAAAATATAAATTTGAATTTAAGGTAAAATGCACAAAAAAAAAAAAAAAAAAAAATTTTTATAATTTATATTTGATCGGTTAGAATAAAAAATTAAAAGAGAAAAATCATTTTGTTTTTTGTTTTATTTCAGAAAATTAAAATTCATTAATTCATCCTATTAAATTATATTTTATCAATCGACATTAGCTGCTAGCTAAATTATTGAATTAGCCGAATAATCCGTTAAACAGTCAAAAAATCTGCTAATTAATTTTTTATGAAGCACAGATTAGACATGCATAATTTTTTGCAATCATATAAATAAAACCTGAAATAAGGTAAGTCGATGCCATCGATAGTCGCTTACTTCGATGTCATTTAATCGCATTGTGACAACTGGTCTCTCTGATGACAAATAATTTGTTTCATCTCCTAACCTATAAAATTTATTAAATTTTTGTAAAAATTTTCTATTAAAAAAAAATTATTATAAGTTTAAGTTATAATAGTAATAATAGTTAATGAGTGAAAAAAAAAAAAAAAACTTAAATATTCAATTTATTAGTAATAAATGCGAGAAAAAATTAGCTATCAGTTGAAGAGAATTACTTACATTATTAGTTGAAATTTAAAAATGATAAAAAATTATAAATGAAATAATTTGAAGAATTGTGTTATATACTTTTGATAACATTGATAACACTCATTAAAAAAAAGCGAACTTTTTTTTTGAGAATAAATTTAATAAAATTCACAACAAGAAATTAAAGAATTGTTTATTTATAAAATTTAAGAATAAAAACTTTTTGGTTTGTTTCTTTTTTTTCTGCTAAATATTTGGATAGATGCTAAGAAGATCAAAGTAACTGATATGATTAGCAATTTTATTATCATAAAAAAATATATCACTGATAACTTCATAGTGCTAATAGATGTATAAAGCCTAAATGTACTTTCTGGCAACAAATAAAAAAAAATTTTTTTTATTAAATGAGTTAAATGTATGGGATAAAAAAAACTTTTTGATTATTGAAATAAATTCAAAATTATTTAATAATTGTTATTCTAAAATTTAAAAATAAAAAAATGTTTTTCTTTTAATTAAACAATTTTACTTAAATATTAGTTATTTTAATCATTTTCTTAGCTAATATTAGTTAAAAATTTTTTTTAATAAAATGCCTAGGAGAGGTATTTTTCATTTAAATTAATTATTTTAAATTTTATTCTTACCTAAAATCCAATTGTAATTTCTTATTTGTAATTGTAAGAGAAAAAAAATTTCCTTGAATTCCACCATCATCTGTGTATAACAATAATGCATTAGATTGTTTGGTTCGAAAATTCAATGACAATTGATTTTCAAATGTATGCATCCATTTAGGATATCTGTAATCTTTCCTTCTTCTTATCAATTAAATAATTATTTAAAGTTAATTAAAAATTTTAATCAAAAAAAAAAAAAAAAAAAAAAAAAAAAAAATTATGCAAAATTTGAAATATTTATATTGTTGTAAATTGAATTATGCATAAGTTACCTGGCATATGAACCAGGTGCTCCAGAAAGTAATATAGCATTCGATCCATCAGCTAATAAAATTATCAATAAAAGTAATAATTTTAATAAATTGAAATATTGCCATAATGAAGTTTTTAATTTGTTGCTAACAATAGGAATAGTTAATTTCGAATAATTTTGAAGGCAATTTATGATGAAAAAATTAGCAGTGCAATAAATTGATATTGATTTGTTATGATTATAATTGATCGATGATACAGCAGTGATTGTCATAGAAGTTGACAAAAACGAGGTTGATAAAATAGTTGATGATGATGATGATAGGGATGATAATGATGATGATAGTTGAGGTGACAATGATGCTGTTGTTGCTGCTGCTGCTGCTGCTTTCATAGTTGACAATTTTGATATAAACCATTTGGTTTGAAATCTTATTGGACTTTGTCCTTCATCATAAGATGTATTGAAAAGCGCAAATGGATAAATGTAAATATAACTTTTAGATAGCAAATGAAGAATGCTAAATGATTTATTAAAATTTGAATTGAAATTTTGATCAGTGGAAAATGAGGCAGCAGTAGTTGTATAATAATTGATGAATAAATTTATTGATTGATCAGAATTAGCAGTATTGATTGATTCTGATTTAATTTCATTTTGTAGGATTAATTTGCCTGAGTGATAATAATTTTGAGCAATGAATATTTGCAATAAATTTACAAAATAGCAATCAATTATTGAGCTAAATTTTTTGATCAAATTAAAATGATCAAATTGATATTTCATCCAAAAATATGCTTTGCTATTTTTTCTATGCAAAACACTAAATTTGAGAAACTTTTTAGTTTTTTTACGCCGAAATATCAATGCTTTTGCTTTTTTCAAATAGCGCATTTTCTTCATGTGACATTGACTGCTGCGACATTTTTTTTGGAGATGAAAAATCAAAAAAAGTTGAAATTTCATCGTCACATAAGTACAGCACTTCTTCAATATTTGTTTGTGTTTCTAACATCTGTTGATAATATCGATTTCCATAGCAAATCCTAAATTTACTTAAAATTATTATTCAATTTCATTTGTAGTTGAAAATTTTAAATATTTTTCAATTTAATTTGTTTCAAATTTAATTTGCTACCATCTGAAAAACAAAAAAAAAAAAAAAAACATAATTATCTCAATTTTTAAGCACAAAAAAAAAAAAAAAAAAAAAAAAAAAACATTACAAAATAAATATTTAAATTAATCGATGAGTTACATAAAAAATTTATAAATACCCTCAGGTATAGTAAATTAATATTTTCAGGTGAGAATATTATTATAAATGAATCGATTTTAAATTGAAAACAATTCAAAGAAATTATTTTCTTTATTTTCTTTTTTTTTTTTATCAATTCAATTGTTAAATAAATGAATGTGTGATAACATAGAAATGATAAAATAATTTCGTAGATATTTCTTAAAAACTGAAAAATTTACATTTTAAATTACAAAAAACTTTTGGTAAATATATTTTAAAAGAAAATAAAAATAACGGATTAAAGCATTTTTCTTTTATTTTTTAGCTAAATTTATTGTTTATTCAAAAAAAAAAAAATTTTTTTTTTTTTTGGTTTCTTTTCAAACAAACATTACAATGTGTAATTTCAAAATTTGACATATTTGACATAAATGACAAAACATTTCAAACATTATCAATTAATCACAAATTGATGATTATCATTTCATACTTAATACAATTTTTGAATTTATCAAATAGCTTAAAATAAGTAAAACAATTTTAGATCAATTATATCTCAAATTTTCAATCTAATATCACTAATTTTTAGCTAAACAATGATTATAATTTTTAATTATATAATAATTACAACTTAAACAATAATTATTTTTGTGCTCAAATTTTCAAATTATAATAACTAAAAAAATAAAATTAGTAAAAAATTGAATTATTCACGTTGAAGTAATGAAGAAAAAATAAGAAAATAAAAGGTTAAATAAATTAAATGCATAATTTAATGTAATTTCTATTAAAAAATTTGCAATAAAAAGAAGTAATTAAAATTAAAAAATAATTAAAAATTTCATTAATTCATTTTATCAAATCTCAAATGCTAATCATAATGAATTAGATAAGAAAAATAGCACTGCTAATTAATTAATATATAAAAATATACTATCTAAGAATACTATCAATAATTGCCTGAACAATCAGCAAACAATTTATCACCTGCAAAAGCAAAATAAATTTTAAAATTACTCAAAATTATTGATTAATCAGTTAATTAAATAGTTGTATATTAGATAATTTTCACCTGATAAAATAATTAAAAATTTGAAATTTAAAAAAAAAAAAAAAAACAAAAAAACACAAAGAGGGAAAAAAAAAAGAAAAGAAAAGAATATTTGAATTAAATCGTTAAGTAATAAATCATTTGCTCATTTTACTGAAATCGAATAATATCGAATTGAAATATAATAAAACGAAATAAGAATTTGATAATAAATTTTGTCTTTGTTAAACTAATAATACCACAAAAATAAACGAATTTTGAATTGATAACATATGTTAAAAGCAATGCAAAATGTATTGCTATCAATTGATTTCATATTGTATTTATATCATAAATTTAAATTCATATTTAAATTACATTTATCACACACTTCTATACATTTCTCTCCTCAATTATTCTCATTTCAATTATGTATTTGACAAATACTTCGCAAATGACATCTTTTTTTTATATTTAATTAATTTAAAAAAATGAAATGAATAAATTAATTAATTTAAATTATCTCAATGATATAACTATTACAATTAATTTAAATATTATTTTTTCATATTTCTTTAAAAAAAATAATTGTAGTAAAAAAAAAAAAAAAAAAAAAAAATTGAAAAGAAATGACGAATTTAAATTATAGAAGCAAGAAATGAGTAAACAAAGCTGTTGATTCTCGATTTCACAAAAAAAAAAAAAAAAAAAAAAACTTATGCAATTCAATCTTTCATGCAAAAGAAGAAAAATGCGGCGAAGCTATCGAATAGTTAATAATACTAATACTTATTAACAAAACTGAAATATAATTCAAGCCTGAAAAAGCTTGTCTAATTTTTTTTTTTCTTCATCTTGGCTATTAATAAATATTTTTTTTTTTGTTTTATATACCATTTGTTTTATCATTTCAAATAGTCTAATTTATCAGTGCTTGAGAAAGTTCATAACAAAATAAAAAAAAAAGAAAGTAAAATTCTCATTTAATTTTAACTGCAAAAAAAAAAAAAAAAAAAAAGAAACTATTATGTCAAAGAAAGAAGACGAAGTATATTTTAATAATGATAATTAAACTTGAACAAATGATATATTTTGATTTAAAAATTCTATCCAAAATAAAAAAGAAAAGAAAAGAAAAGAAAAAAAAACTTTTTAACTTTAGAAAAAAGAATGGAAAAGAGTGAAATGATAAATTTGAATTTATTGCAAAAAGTGTTTTTTAAACGATTCTCAGTTATTATTCCTTTTTTTTTAATGTAATAATGTTTATTTGAAAAATGACCACACTGCATGTTAAGGAGTAAAAGTATCCTTTAGCTGAATGGCCTTTAGTGACCACTTTAAATGAACTTTAAATTGAGCATTTTTTCAAGTGACAAGAAGACATTTGATAGAAATATTTTATATTTTAGAGAGTATCAGTTAAAGTAGCAAAGATTTAAGCTCTATTGCAAATAGTCTAAAAGCGCCTTTCGCTTTGCGCCTTGTGATAACCAATAGTAATAAAGTAAAACATGTATTTACCACTAGCTATTTTGATTATTATTATTAGCATTAACATTTGGACGAAAGTAATAATTTATTCAATTCAAAAGCAAAATTATGAATAAAACATTTGTTGGTCATTTTTTTTTTTTTTTTTGAAAAAGTAGAATATGTAAGTGAGGAAAGCATGTATTGGCCCAGTTTGGCTCGATCTTGCAGTATGGCTTTATCTAAACTATCTTCTGGCCAAGAAATGGAATAGTCTGAAATGCTCTGCTATATTCATTATTCAACCATTCTAACAAACAAAATGCACAACGAGGAAAATTCACTGAACAACAACAATTCGTACTTTATGATGCGCAAATGGCAAAAGACATAAATTTTGTAAATAATATTTTGTAAACTTAAAAAAAAAAAAAAAAATGATAAACTTTACCTGAATTTAAAAAAAAAAAAATTTTTTTTTCTTTCTTCTCTATTCATATTTTATTTATTTATTTATTTTTTTTTTTAACATAAATATGTAAAATTTAAAATGAGAAAAAAAAAAAGAAGGAAAAAAAAAAATTAGTCAATCAGATTGTCTATCCAAAAGTATATCTGTTGACAAATTTTAAATCGATCAGAATTGTGACACTTTCAGATGGATTGAATTACATTTCATTCAAGTTATAGTAGGAAAAAAAAAAAAGAGGAGTGAAAAGATTAGATCAAAACAATTCATTTATTTTCAACTCAAAATTTTTTATTACAATTTTTTTTTTTTCTTGAAATTAAAAATAAAATTGTTTATTTTATATTAATAAAATGCTTAGTTTGTAGTGAGAGGAAGAAAAAAAAAAAAAAAAGATCAAAATTATTAGTATAGTTGGAGGAATTGATAATATTTTTCTATCAGATAGCTGTTTAATTAAACTAGTGAAATCTAATGTAGTGCTTAATTAAATATTTTAACAGAGAGACTCGAAGAAGCATAGCTTTAGAGAAATGATAATTAGAGAGGCATGAGGAGAGTTTGTTGTTCAATAATTCATTTCTTATCTTAATCCAGTCAAAAATTATCAAACTTATCACAGATAACATCCTATTCTGGAGATAATTTCAAGTCATAGATATGATAATACTCTATTCTCGTAGCATTTCTGAATTAAGTAACTTCAAGTATTGACATTAAAAGTTTTTACAAGTTCCAATATTTTCATTTTTTATGTTTGTTGATTGATATTGCTAATAGCATTAAATTTCTTTTTAAATTTTCATAAAACAAAAAAAAAAAAAAAAAAGATATTATCGAAATATTTATATTTATATGAATTAAACATATTTAATAATTCAAATCAATTAATTTACAAAATGAAAATTTTGAAAACGCTCTAAACTTTTAGTGCATAAATTTCGATTTTAGCTTTTCGAAATAATTCAATTCACTTATTTACTTTATGGAATGTACATTTAATAGTAGCAGCAATATTTAGTGAATAGAATGAATGAATTAGTTAATAAAAAATTAATTAATTAATTAAATGTAAAATATATGATAGAATAAAATTTAAAAATGTTAGAAAAGTTTTTTTTTCAAGAATTAGCTAAAGATGATTATTCGTAAGAATTTTTCTTCTTTTTTTTCTCTTTTAA